AAGTCAGGCAATATGAATATTAAGATGCATCAGAAATAACCGACACAGGGAACATAGCAAGACAAACAATCAACCATAAGCATAGGAATATAGGCGACTGTTGCAAATGGTTGAAACGGTTATTGGTTGTTCAGGAGTCTAACAGCAGAGGAGAAGAAGTTGTGGTGTGAGGTTCTAGTCTGTAAGGACATGGACCTCCTCCCTGAGGGTAGAGGACCAAAAAGACCAGGACCGGGACCAGCTGTTATCCCACTTGCACCTCTCAGAACCCTGGAGGTGAACAGGTCATGTATTGATGGGATGGCACCAATCACTGTTTCTGCTGAACGCACAACACGCTGCAGTCTTTGCTTGTCCCTGACAGTGGCTCCCAGGTACCACACAGGGATGGAGGAGGCGATGGCCATATAAAACCATCATCGTAGTTGGCATGCAGTTTCCCAGTTGTTGCAGAAAAACCATCCTCTGCTGGGATTTCCAGATGAGGGAGCTGGGCTGATGGACATCTCCCACTTGAGTTCATGGGTGATGATGGTCCCAAGGAAGCAAAAGGAGTCCATGACTGGGTAGGGGGTGTCTGGCAATCTCCTGAAGTGTAGAATCATCTATACATCTGCAATAATATCAGCTCAAATATAAGCTGCTTTGATAATTAAACAATGCAAATAATGGACACCGCTGATTTGTGTTGGGTAAATGGGGTCAACCACAGCTGATTCTAGACTGTTTTTTGAGCTTGCTGCTGTTTTCGTGTGTCTGTTCGTTGTATTTAGAGTGTTTTGTCTTGCATGTTTCATGAATATTTTGTTCACTGGAAGCAATGACGTAAAATCTGATAGCGGTAAAGGAGAAAAATGGCCTTTTTTGGAATGATTCAGAGTGTGAACATTAGTGGACAAAGAGCTCCCATCCAAGAAATACAGAGTTTACAGGTTTCTTTAAACCACCTTTGCCACAGAAAAGAATCTCCTGGGCAAGAACTGAGATCAAAAAGTGGTCAGATCTTTTAATGGTCTTTCAAGCAAGAGCTTTAAACACTTAAAACAATTGCTTCTCTCTAAACCTCCTCCTGTCTTTAGACGTTAAAAATGTTTACATATTGAAGATTTTGCCCACAAGCTCTAATGGAAGTGTACGTCGTGTATTGACAGCAGGCCATATTGTGTGTTTTCTTGCCAACAAAGATCCTCCTATAGACTTTCTCCATCCATGTTGGCACCTACAGGCCTGCCGGATGATAGCTAATGTGATTTCATTTAATTTGTGTAAACGAGTGTCAAATGGGTGCTTCATGGACTTCTTACTGATGTATGGAGTTTCGAATTGTTAGGAAAAGGTGATTTCTGTTTGGTTACCCAAAAACAATTGAGTTCTACTTGAATGACTTCTTTGGTGTGGAAAATGTGTTGATCCAATGAAAAAGGGTTAACACATTAGCATGAGATGTCTTCTGCTCTGCTGAGATGTGATGATGAACACCGCGTGGATCCCGGTTTCATTAAGCAAACAGTGAAAAATAAATTAGCAGCCTGAACGCCATGTTCTAGTCGTGCACCGGCTCAGCTCACAGCATTCGTCCTTTGTCTCACTGCGCAGTGAGATCCCTCCGCTAGATAGTATTGATACCCACATTTGTATTGCTAAATGTATGGCACATAGTTGAAATTTTGGGGTTTCCGCACTATTTCGTAATGAAATACGCATATTAAAACTGTACGCATATTTAATCAAAAAACTGCCAGAGGGACCTAGTTTCTCTCTCATGAAAAACGAGTTCCCCTCATTTCGCCATTTCATGTTCCGCTGCTTTGTTGGGAGCAGGAAGACAGCCAGGTAGACTCTTACAGTGAACAATAGAATTTCTGTGATATTTAGTTATAGCAACAGCGTGATTTGACCGGTTAGTTAATCTTCTAATAAACAAAAAACACTGCGAAGGTGTTTTAATCGGATTTTTAGAAAGCTAAGTAAGCTAGCATTGCTAACTCGACGGGCAGCGGGCTAACTTTCAAGCACCGAGAATACGAGACAGAACCGTTTTTTTCCTGGGGCTGTTATTTTTCAGAAGACACGTTGACGACCACCGCACAAGACACGAAGACCGAGGAGATGGCGAGCTCAGTTGGAAATGTGGCCGACAGCACAGGTAGGCTGCTTATATTGCTAACTAATGGAGCTAGCTTGTAAAATAGCATTTCCTGCTAACGCGAGGAAGCGATTATTAACTGTAAAAATGATCATAATTAAAAATGAACATGGTTACACATGTTATACGAAGGCTTTAGGCCTACACTAAGTAACAGCTGTTTGTATAGGAAAGTGTCGCACAATTAAACCAAATGCGCCGGGTCTGCGCGTGTCATTGCCCCTTAACGTGGTGCTAAACTGCATATTACACGGATTACGTGTACATTTATTTTATTTTGATAGCGTGTAAATAGGATACTGCGATGAGGTTGGGGTACTGTGTTTTATATTAGCGTCAAGTTATTTTTTAAAGAAACCGATCCGGCATGGCGGAGAGTCCTGCTGACCCAGTCCGTGCAGACCGCACCGATGCCGCAGAGAAAGCTGAGGTTTCCTCCCAAAACTGCATTCCAGCTGAGTAATAATGAGTGGGACGTTGTATGAAATAAATCAGTCCTTTTCTCACGTTTAGGAGCGTGGTTACATAACTGTGAAGGGAAGGAAACTAAACCATGACGAGTTCTGCTGCTGGTATTCTGGCTATAATACAATTAACTTTTTATGTATATTAGTCTCCATGGGGTTTTCATTTAGGTGATGTGGAATTGTAAGATCTGATTGCAGTGTAAATTAGATATGCGTTTGGACAACTGAAAAAAAGTATTTCTTTATTAAACCACCTTTGCCACAGGAAATAATCTCCAGGGCAAGAACTGTGAGAACAAAAAGTATGGTCTTTGAAGCAAAACTAAATAGTTATTAAATACGTGTGTTAGTTGGTTTCATGTAAAGTTTTATCAGCTGACTGCTACTGGCAAGTTCTAACATGATTGTTTTTGACCAGCATCATTTAAATTAGAGACATATTCAGATGTAATTTAAAAAAACATGTTAAAAGTCTGGCTTGGCCAGATCAGATGAGCAGTGTTGAAATGTCTTTGTAAATACATTTGGCCACACCTTTCCTTAGAAACCTGAGTTACAACAATCTTTCGTTTGATTTCTGGACTCTAAAGGCATTGATCTAAGTTTGTTTGGGTGGAGGAACTTTTCCAAAAATGATCTCTGTCTTTTTAAAATGTAATCATGTGATTTTCCTCCACATGTTCTCTGCCACTCCCTATTTCCTCTAAGCAAATATGGTTAATAATGGTAATGCATATGTGATGAAGATCCTTTGTAATGCCTGGACTCCAGAATGCCAACAGGATTCTAGAACATCTCCCTCTGTGTCATTCCCTTACCCGCTTGTTTATTCCATCTTATCAATTTTCTTTTTTGTTCTGTGAGTGATAAAATATATTTGCATTAATATTGGATTGTTATTTTTGTGCTTAATAATCTCTAAGCACAATAAAACATTAAAATGAAATTATTTGATTAATTCAACACTAAATTGATTCAGTCAGCATTACGTTTTATTTTGCCGACAGTAATTTTAAAATAAAAGACAAAGTTTCATAAAGGAGCAGTTCATTACAGCTATTCAACTCACAACTCACTCTTAAGATTTGAATTATAATGTTATCGAATACAACAATGTTTTAAAAATGATGGTTTCCAAACATTTTCTATTATATCACCTTTGATTTTGTGACCCTTTGATTTTGTTTGTTGCTCCATTTTCTGTTGAGTTAAAATTGTTCTTTATTGAAAGCTTTGCCATCTGTTTGTTTTTCATTTGTCTTTCATTTATTCCATCACCTCTAACATGTCGTTTTCCCCCCCTCCTTGGCTCATGTTGGTGCTCCAGAACCAACAAAACGTATGCTTTCCTTCCAAGGGTTGGCGGAGCTGGCGCACCGCGAGTACCAGTCAGGGGATTTTGAGGCAGCTGAGCGTCACTGCATGCAGCTGTGGAGGCAGGAGCCTGATAACACAGGCGTGCTTTTGCTTCTGTCTTCCATTCACTTCCAGTGTCGAAGACTTGACAGGTGAGGTGTAATGGGAAAGGCTTTAAGCAGAATGTGGTGTGGAGATGGCAGAACTGTATTGGGCTTCTGGGTTTGAGGTCGCACTCATCTGAACTCTGTGGGAAATTTAGTTTAATGAGGTCCCCCCCCCAAAGTCCAACATGGCTTTGTTCTTCGGGTGCTGTGGTTTAAGTGTTGCTTCATCCTTAATTCCCAAATGGAGGGTTAAACTATAAATTGGAAGTTTTAAGTTTGATGTTTTGTTATAAATGTAATAATATTGCACTTATTTTCTTCCTTCAACCTTTCTACACGTTTCTGTCGCCTCTAGCAGTAAATGATAGTAACTGTTGCCTCTGGGCTCCTGGGTTTTTACGGTTTGCTCCTGTTTCTGCCCTGCAGGTCCGCTCACTTCAGCACCTTGGCCATCAAGCAGAACCCAATGCTTGCTGAGGCCTACTCCAATCTGGGGAATGTGTACAAGGAGCGCGGTCAGTTGCAGGAGGCCATCGAGCATTACCGCCACGCTCTGAGGCTGAAGCCAGACTTTATTGATGGATACATAAACCTGGCAGCAGCACTGGTGGCCGCGGGAGACATGGAGGGAGCAGTACAGGCTTATGTGTCTGCTTTACAGTACAACCCGGTAAGTGATTGTTGACAGAGTAGTTCTGTGGGATAATAAGTAGAAGGTAAATGATTTTTTCTTTTGTTCCAGGATCTCTATTGTGTGCGGAGTGACTTGGGTAATTTGCTCAAAGCTCTTGGGCGTTTGGAGGAGGCCAAGGTATGTTACCATAGATGTGGTGTTTGCTTTTGCTTAGACTCCCTTTTTTACACCCTATGTCACTTACTTGTTTTTGTATGTTTTTATTTCCCACTAAGGTCGTAGATCTTTTTCATTTTTCTTTCTTTTTAAATTTTTACATTTACGACACACCCAGTTTCTTAAGGTCAATCCTTTTAGATGAGTCAAGGACAGGAAGTAGCATCTCATCACTTCTCTTGAGAGGCCACAAGCTTCTCAAGTTCCACACAGAAAAGTCTTTTGGAAAAATTTGGACTGGAATCTGTCAGTGTCTGTATGAGACAAACAGGTTTATTTATTTATTTTTTTTAACTGTAATCTTCAAACTTTTGTTGATTACTTTTTAGACAGCCTCATTTTTTTCAGTATAAACTCCATAGATGTCCATAGTCGCACTGTCCTTTTCTGCACTGACCTTGTTTTTGGAGGTCAGCTCCGCCCCTTTCAGGAAGAAAGGCTGGAGTTTTGAGATTCACTCAACAGATCCATCTTTGGCCTTGCATTTTCATAAAATGACCCCGGAGGGAAAATGCTGGCTCGGTCTTGGGAAATAAATATGAACTGATGAGAAGTTAGTTTATCTTTGCAAAAGATAAGATGGTTTATAACCTAACTGCTGTACTCCTGTATTTTATACAAAATACCCAAAGATGTAATGTTTCTATCAGAGGAGATGTGTCCTTTATGGCTTCCCCCCAAGAGTTACCATCTCAAATCGTCCTATAAAACATTTTATTACAGTGGGCTACTTTGGTTGGGTCAAATCTGGAGGTGTGGAGTTATCCTGCTGGTTACAGACCATCTTATTTCATGCGAGAGGGGGGGTAAAGGAGTGGGGAGGAGCATCAGGGAGTCACAAGCTCCCCAGCTCTGTCGCTCCACCCCCCGCGCGCTTGCTGAGGATTGGTGGAGTGTGCGCGCTCAGAGCTGCCTTCCTGACCCTTCAGCTTCATACTTTCATCTTCTTTTATTTATGCACACATGGCATCAGTTTATTATTGAAGTCATGGTTGATGATGGGTATTCAGATGGTTACCTGTCCCGATAACCTCTGCTCTCAAATGTGTGACTATTGTAAGTGTGTGGGGTTAAGAGAAGCCCTTCTCCAGTGCCTTAAACTGACTGAAGTGGCGTCAGGCAGACAGCTCACCCTTTGTACTCCACCGCCTGCGTCAGATGCTGGGTTAGAAAGTCAGAAACATGCGCAGCAACAGTGATGATCTCTTTATTTCAGAGCTGTGGAGGCTTCTAGATACAAGTTATTAATCCACAGACCTTTTTTCCCCTACTCATTGGCCAGGATTCAAGAAAGCAGGCCAGGATAAAGAAATCCAAGTTTGAAAACTATTTCATGAAGATGCTAGATGAATTAAAGACAAACGATGATTAATATTTCTTCCCTTTTTCCTTCAAATATGTAATAATATTCCCAAAGAGATGGGATCAGTTCATTTGGGCAAGATCAAGCCAGTAACTGTCCTCCTGTAAGTTGATTTAAAATTTGAATTGAAGGACAACTGGAAGGCTGACCTCATGTCACTGAATAACCACAGCAGAGCCTTTCTTCCCTCCCAGTTAGTCTGTAGGCATTCCTCTTGTTTTTCTTTGGAATAAAACATTCATTGCATGACTGCAAACTAAGATTACTATGATAGTGTTCATGTTTGTTGTGATTTTATGTTTTATTTCCATATTTTAAAAGAAGAATGTATTGTTTGAGAACTTTTACTAACGATCTTGTTTTCTGATTTTGTCTCTTTTGGTTTTTTCCACGACTGATACTGTTATTTAGAAGGTTTCAGGTGGGTGACACTATTCCTGCGTAGGTGCCTGGCGGGAAGGAACTCTAGGGCAGCCTCAGTCCGCTCCTCTTCTTCCAGCCAGCTGCGACCATCACTCTGACAAAGTCCAAAAATATGGTAACGGGTTTGTAAATGCCAAAAAAAGAAAAACCACCTCACTTCATGCTTGAGATCCTCTTGTCTTGTGGCTTCATTTTGAAGAGCAAAAGAAAAAAAAATGAAATCACGTAACTTACGGTTTATAGTAAGCCTTACATTAAATATACAATACTAATTTCCCAGATTTACGTAAAGTAATGAGAATCGAGGATTTGGAAGCTATAATCGTGACAAGTAAGAACCCTCTAACTCTTACATATTGGTTATTTTTTCCTTTTTTGTTTTCTTTTTCCTTTCTTTATTTGGAGTTGCAGCATTCTGATGATGATGCAGATTAGTGCGCTGTGAGTCTGCAGTAGCGCAGGGGCTGCGCAGCGAAACCCTTTAAGCTACCAAAATGGCGGAAAGCGCAAGCTTGCGACCCCACCCCCCATCATTCCTTTTGGCCTGTTGGTTGTGGACCTCTCCCCACTCAAAACCAGCCTCGCTTCCAGGTGCACCCAGATCTCTGACACCATTGGTCTCACACACCAAAAGTAATGTTTTGTTTGATTGTTACCTACAAGTGGCACTTCTGCTTTCTTAAAGCTTTCTTGTATTTTGGTCTAAAATTCCCCAGATCTTAGTGTTTTGCCAGTAGTTCATCTCTTTGCCCCAACAGCCCCTTCCTTTGCCCAGAGGTAACAAATGGGTGCCGAGGGTGAGCCAGTCTGGTTGCAGGTGTTCTGCCACGGGGTTGCTGGTCTGCAGCTCTCTCATCTGGCCATTCAGCGAGCACAGCGGCAGCGAAGCGGAACCTTTGCCAGGCGCAAGGTCGAGCGAGCAGCGTTAAAACAGTGCATTGTGTTGATGGCAGTGGCGCCACATCACGCGCTCGCGTTTGTTGCGCCTGCATTACAGGGACCATCACCTGCACTAAGCGCTCAACATCCAAGGTTGTGAAATAAATGCCAGTGTCATTTGGCTTCTCTGCAGCCACTGAAGCATCCTCATCTTGTGTTTGGTATTTAAATCAACGTTAACAAAATCAAAGTGCAGCAGAGGTACCTGGTTCGGGACGCACTGATTGGTGACAACGAGCTCATAACTGCAGGATGAGGGCCTACGTGTGGGTGTTGGTTGGATCCGCGCAGCGTAGGAAAAAGCACTGCAGCTTTGCGCGGCAGACTGGCGCTGGCGAGCCCGTGCTGTAGACTCACTTTTTGGCATCACTGAGAACAGACACTAATTTTGCTCTCTGCTCTTTTTGTTTTTTCTTGCTTTTATTCTCAATCTTTTTTTATTTTACAATCCCTTCCTCCCCCTGCCTGCTATACCTACCTCGCTCTACCTCCCCCCCCCCTATCCTGTGGTTTTTGATGAAACTCTGAAGGCTTGCTACCTGAAAGCCATTGAGACTCAGCCAAACTTTGCAGTGGCTTGGAGCAACTTGGGTTGTGTGTTCAATGCCCAGGGAGAAATATGGCTTGCCATACACCATTTTGAGAAGGTTTGATCTTATAATTGTACTCATTTGTGGTGTATTACCACTGTTCTAAGCTTTTTTTCTTTTACAGGCAGTGACTCTGGACCCAAACTTCCTTGATGCATACATTAATTTAGGCAACGTTCTGAAAGAAGCCCGCATCTTTGACAGGTGAGTCTAAAATTTCACTCAAAACATTGAGAACATCAGGCTGTCCAGTTTCAGTCTGTCTGAAAAGACTAATCGTGATATTTCAGAGCTGTGGCTGCGTATCTGAGAGCCCTGAGTCTAAGTCCCAACCATGCAGTTGTTCATGGAAACCTGGCCTGCGTCTACTACGAGCAGGGCCTCATTGACCTCGCCATCGACACCTACCGCCGTGCTATCGAACTGCAGCCTCACTTTCCCGACGCTTACTGCAACTTGGCCAACGCCCTAAAGGAGAAAGGCAATGTATGGAATGCCTTTCTGTTCTAAATAAAACAGCTTTTAGTTATTGTCAGTAGTCATTTATAAAATAGTTTTTCTGAATGTTTTTTAAGGTATCTGAAGCAGAAGAGTGCTACAACACAGCTTTGCGCCTGTGTCCAACTCACGCGGACTCCCTCAACAACTTGGCCAACATAAAGCGTGAGCAGGGCAACATCGAGGAGGCGGTCCAGCTCTACAGAAAAGCCTTGGAGGTGAGTTGACTCCAGTGCTCCTGTTCTTGTTATTGGGTTTGCTACACTTGTGAGCTCTAATGCTGTTTTTCATTAGGTGTTCCCAGAGTTCGCAGCAGCTCACTCTAACCTTGCCAGCGTGCTGCAGCAGCAGGGGAAACTACAGGAGGCCCTCATGCACTACAAGGAGGCCATCAGGTCAGTAGCTACTGACCACATTCTGTTAACTCTCACAACAGATGCATGAGATAGTCTTAAACACACGATTGTTAGTCAGTTGACTCTAGAGCTTAATCTTCGTCTGTAACGGTTTCAGAATCAGCCCGACATTTGCTGATGCTTATTCCAACATGGGCAACACACTAAAGGAGATGCAAGATGTACAGGGAGCGCTGCAGTGCTACACTCGTGCCATCCAGATCAACCCGGCCTTTGCTGATGCTCACAGCAATCTGGCCTCCATCCACAAAGTAAGAATAACCCTTTTTATTTGTCTCGGGCATGTATCGCATCAAAACAAAACCTGAACTCATTACTGAAAGTGGTAGACGTTTTCACTGTTTGTGCAACTTTTAATTAACCTTTTGAATGTGTTGATTAGGATTCTGGAAACATCCCAGAGGCCATTGCATCGTATCGCACAGCCTTGAAACTCAAACCAGACTTCCCTGATGCGTACTGCAACTTGGCACATTGCTTACAGGTTATTATTTTTTTCACTTCACGCCTACGTGTGTAAAACCTGGAGTAAATACTTGTAATCTCATCATCTTGCCACTTTCTCAGATTGTGTGTGACTGGACCGATTATGATGAACGGATGAAGAAGCTTGTGAGCATCGTGGCCGACCAGCTAGAAAAGAACCGCTTGCCCTCGGTGCACCCGCACCACAGCATGCTGTATCCGCTGTCTCACGGCTTCCGCAAAGCCATTGCCGAGCGCCACGGCAACCTTTGCCTGGACAAGGTACTCGCACTGATCAAAGCAAGTAACGTTTAAATTACTCTTTTGGGTGGGTGTGAGGTGGTTGGTGATGGCAGGGCCTGGTTGCGGGGATAGGTAAGGGATGAGCACCACTTATAATGTTTTACTATGAGGATAAGAAACTAAACAGCTGGTGGTTACTGGGCTGCTTATGGTGGGTGAGGGTTTGGCTCAGGGATTAACTTTTTTGGTTAAACAATAAAACTTTATAACAGTAATTTTGGCGTTAGATTCTCTCTTGCTTTGGTTGTAATCTCATATTGTTGCCCGTTCCACAGATCAATGCACTACACAAACCAGCCTATGAGCACCCGAAGGACCTGAAGGCCAGTGGTGGACGCCTGCGGATCGGATACGTCAGTTCTGACTTTGGTAACCACCCAACTTCCCACCTGATGCAGTCAATCCCTGGAATGCACAATCCTGAAAAATTTGAGGTAGATTCTTGTTTTAGTTTTGTTCAAGAAATCAACATTTACTTTGTTTTGTTTTGATGTAAACAGTGGTTTAAATCTCTGATGTGTCTGCAGGTGTTCTGCTATGCACTTAGCCCTGATGACGGTACCAACTTCCGTGTGAAAGTGGTGGCAGAAGCTCATCACTTCACAGACCTCTCCCAGGTATCTTCAGTGACTTTGAGCCACATGACTTCTTTTGCAGGAGTTTGGTGAAAACCCAAAAATAATTTTATATTTATTGCTTTTAAAACAAAGCACATAATTTCTGCTGAAGCTCTTTTATCTTTTGACTCCAGGTTCCTTGCAATGGGAAGGCTGCTGATCGGATTCACCAGGACGGAGTCCACATTCTGGTCAACATGAACGGATACACCAAGGGTGCCAGAAATGAGCTGTTTGCTCTGCGTCCTGCCCCCGTTCAGGTGAGCTGCTGCTCACAGAGCTCTGGAACCAACCTAGCAGCCAACCCCGTGGTGCTGATGAGTGTCCTAGTCAGCTGCTGTAAACTCGCCTTGCTTTCATTTACCAGGCTATGTGGCTCGGTTACCCTGGGACCAGCGGGGCTGCCTTCATGGACTACATCATCTCAGACAAGGAGACGTCACCTGTAGAAGTAGCTGAGCAGTACTCTGAGAAGCTTGCCTACATGCCCCATACCTTCTTCATTGGAGATCATGCCAACATGTTCCCTCACCTCAAGGTCTGACCTTCCTTCCAGTGCAGAGAGACTCAAGTTTGTGTTTTTAGCTGTTTGTTTCTTAAACAAGAAACAATGTCTTGTTTAACCCACAGAAAAAAGCCGTGATTGATTTTAAGTCAAATGGACACATCTTCGACAACAGAATTGTTCTTAATGGTATTGATCTGAAAGCCTTCTTGGACAGCCTCCCAGATGTTAAAGTGATAAAAGTGAGTAAAAGCATGACAGTAAGTGTTTGATCAACCTGCAGTCACTATTTCACTGTTAACCTGTGTTGCTTGAAAGGGCAGAAATAAAAACTTTAATCTGACTCGGGAGAAGACACATGTGGCCTTGTTTTAAGAAACACTTTGAAAAGTTTAAGTTTTATGGATAAGCCGTTTTCTGTGACCAGATGAAGTGCGACAACAACCAGGAATCTGCTGGAGACACAAATGGAGCTTTGTCCATGCCCGTGATTCCCATGAACACAGCGGCAGAAGCCATCATCAACATGATCAATCAAGGCCAGATCCAGGTCACAATCAACAACTTCACAGTCAGCAACGGCCTGGCCACCACACAGGTACGATTCATGTGGACACAGCAGAATCTCGATGGCATGGACCAAAAGTATGCTCATGTAGGAAGTCAAAGTTTATTTTGCTGCTTTTTAGGTCTTTTTTTCTCACTTTCTTTTCTATTTTAATTTGTGTAAAACCATAAAGGATGAATAATAACTAGAAATATGATGCAGATCAATAACAAAGCTGCAACTGGGGAGGAGGTTCTACGCACCGTTGTAGTGACGACCCGCTCCCAGTATGGTCTCCCAGAGGACTCCATTGTCTACTGCAACTTCAACCAGCTGTACAAGATTGACCCTCCTACCCTCCAGATGTGGGCCAACGTATGTCAAACAGATGGTGTTCTACAGGGCTGAACGATCTATTGTTTTTGGACTGAAATTGCGATTTCAAACAGTACGATCACATGACCGTCAAAGCTGCGGTTTTGACTGATCCAGGATCAGTTGTGTAACTTTTTTTTACATCTGGGGTTTTCCCCTGTGTTATGGCGGCGGCAAAGGCCAGCGCGGGGGAGGGGGGGGTTGTACCGTCCAGAGCCGTTCCCAGCTCCACAGCTGACAGAGCTGCATGTTCAGGTTATTTTCCTGTTTTATGTTTCCACACACAGCGCTGCTAGAGCCCATAATAATGGCACCAGGTGAGCCCGGGACGAGAGAGAACGCAGTTGAGTAAGGGAGAGAGAGACTCCTCCCACATCAGCAGGTTCAGGCTGACTTCTAAAGCTTGGTTTATGCTTCATCAGCGCGAGCGTGGAGTCGCGCACTGTAGTTGACTTAAAAGTTCAACTCCTCTTTTAAAAATGGTCTGAATGTTTCTGACGGCACACGTTAGTTCAAACAAGCTAAGGTGTCAGAATGCGTGCGTCTCTCACGGAACAAACGTTTTAGTGAGGAAAAACTATCAGACGGCTTCAAAAACGTGCAGCCAGCCTGTCTCGGTAATGCAGGGAAAACTGCAATTTTTGTTATTTAATACATTTAAAAGCTATTTCTACCTGCAGATTTCCTCCATGCATTTTTGGAGTAGAACTGTTTTAATAAAGCTCCTCTAGATAAAAATCACAAGCACAAACACAATAGAAAATAACCAAAAAGATAAGAATGGGACAAAATATAAGTAGCTTTAACTTTTTTTATTGTATGATTAAACAGTAAATATTAATGGGAATGAGTTGTTTACTAGATTAGAATCTAGACCATCTTTTCACTTAATCTACAGGATGCCCTGGCAGGCTAATGTTAAGACTTTGTTTGCAGAAAATCGTGAATTGAACCGAAATCGCAATTTCTGCTAGAATAATTGCAATTCAATCTTTTCCTAAAATCGTTCAGCCCTACTGTTCTGAGTGGTCCATATTCAGCTGGGAGCAAAACTTAATTCCATAAGCTTGTGTTTAGTCTATTTTCATCCTGTTGCTGCAGATCCTGAAGCGTGTGCCCAACAGTGTGTTGTGGCTTCTTCGCTTCCCTGCTGTTGGCGAGCCCAACATCCAGCAGTATGCTCAGAACATGGGCCTGCCTGCCTCTCGCATCATTTTCTCTCCTGTGGCGCCTAAGGAGGAGCATGTGAGGAGAGGCCAGCTGGCTGATGTGTGCCTGGACACCCCTCTGTGCAATGGTCACACTACAGGCATGGATGTCCTTTGGGCTGGAACTCCCATGGTAACCATGCCAGGTGAGGAAGGTGGGAATTAAGAAAAACCATCTCTTGGCTTCCTGAACTTACTCAAGTGTTTAACAACTTCAGAGCAAACGTTTAGAGTGCATTTTCACAAATCTTGTTTATTAAATCTGCATTAACCTTCCTGTAGGTGAGACTCTTGCCTCCCGCGTGGCTGCCTCACAACTCGGCTGTCTGGGCTGCCCTGAGCTGATTGCCCAAAGTCGCCAGGAATATGAAGACATAGCAGTCAAGCTGGGCTCCGACATGGAGTAGTAAGAAAATAATTGTCAAATCATTTAATTCTCTTTTCTGAAGGAACTTTGGCTCAAATAGGTTTTCCTCCCACAGCCTTAAGATGATCAGAGCACGCGTTTGGAAGCAGCGGATCTGCAGCCCCTTGTTCAACACTAAACAGTACACAATGGACCTGGAGAAGCTCTACCTGCAAATGTGGGAGCACCACAGCAACGGCAACAAGCCAGACCACTTGGTAAAACTCCATACGGTCGAGACCAGTGAGAATGCCTGAACTGGAAACCTTCTCCACCAAGTCCCAACTGTTTTTAACCATCATCGACAGCATCATTTGGTCGGGTTTCACTCCAGTTCTTCGTCCTTTATTGACTGTCTTATTTACAAACGGACTCCTTCCTGCACGGAGCCTACACATGTTCACATTTGAACTCATCGCATTATTAAGCCACACACGTGCATATCCTAAGCCAGATTGGGGCTGAATTGTTCAGGCTCCTCGTCTGAGACTTTTGTCCAAAAACACTTAATATGTATTTTGTGAGCATGAGAAGGTAGTGAATACCCCACGAACCCTTCAACTCTTGGATCAGAGGATTTTTCTTCTTCTCCTGTCGGTGTGTGTACAGGACTGATTGCAGCTTGCAGAGAAAATACCCAACTGTCTTCACTTGATCTGTTTAGAAATTAAAAGTGTCATGTGTTTTAAAATGACAATGTTGCACCATTGAAATAGTACTTTTTGTCAGCTTTAACCTAAATTATGGAACAGATGGCCTCAGTTCTTTAGTTGAAGCTGTTTTTAAATGGCTACAACAAGTAAATGTGCAAGTTTTAAGGAAGTGACGTCTTCCTTCGCACAATGCCAATTAGAATTATTTTGTCTGTTAAGGAATGTCTTTAGTTGTTCTTGTTGGGCTGTCTATGAATTGGACACTTGTTTATTTTTTTAAAGACCCAAGTTGCAGTTAAAATACCATCTGTTCATAACTTGATTTTGTTTTTTTAACACAAACCAGGGAATGGAATAGGTAAGTATTTTCTAAAGCATTTTTGTTTTATATTGTTTAACTGTATGCTGTCAGTGAAGCTGCAATTCTCTGAATATAATAAAAAGATACAAAAAAAGTCTTGATTACATCTGTACTCTGTTAAAGAGCACGGAAAAAATTAACTAAAACCCCCCTTTTATTTACCTGCAACAACTTTTATTTATATTTTTAATTCCCAGAATTAGTTACAGTGAATAGTAAGTTAGTGAATTAAATGTATATATTTTTAATAACAAAAGCATTTAAACATGAATGTTAAGGGGCCTGGGCTGTGCAGTGGTTAGAGCTGTTGCCCTGTAGCAAGAAGGTCCTGGGTTCGATTCCCGACCTGGGGTCTTTCTGCATGGAGTTTGCATGTTCTCCATGTGCATGCGTGGGTTCTCTCCGGGTACCCCGGCTTCCTCCCACAGTCCAAAAACATGACTGTTAGGTTGATTGGTCTGTCTAAATTGTCCTTAGGTGTGTGTGTGTGTGTGTGTGTGTGTTGCCCTGCGGGTTCAGACAATGGATGGATGGGTAAGGGGCCTGGCAACTTTAGAGCACAACATTTTATATGTATTTAAGATTAGTAATGTTCATGCCCATGCATCTAGTGGTGGGCGTAACCAGTTTGAGCCTTCCTTTCACGCCCTTCTCTGATTGGTCCAAATCCTCCATGACTACTTCCTACGTAATGTAGCGCTACATTTAAATGTAACTGAAATGTCAGTTAGCGACTTCCGTCCATTTTAGCAACAGACTCTTTCGATGGGTAACTATTAAGCGAGAGTAGGAGTTGACGAATATTTTTACATATTTAAAGAATTTAGGTGATGAACGTAATAAGAAATACGGAAGAAGCTAGTTCGGCGCGAGACGTTAACAGAAACGCTTACTAGCTAGTTACGCTATACTGCTGGTCGTTTTCTACTGAAATTGTACGATGTGATTTGGTTTACTAAAAACTATTATAGCATATAACACACAACTCCTGTCGCGTATTTTCTGTCTTAATAGAGGAGAGCATGAGCCATAAAGGTAGTTTGTTTGCAAGAGTCGCTACAAAGAGCAGAAAGATGGATAACAAGGGAGGACTGGAGGCCGCAGGAAAGCTGTCTCGCGGACTAGAGGTGATGAGTTTTATAGGTACTGTTTGGTAGAACTGTCGTTTTTAGGATCTGTAATACTAGAACAACTTTTGCTTAGTTGAGTTTAATCAATTAATAATCATCCAACTTTCCCGCAAGGGATTAATAAAGTTTTTTATCTGATCTAATCGGTAAGACGGGTCATGCTGGAACAAACGGACATCCTCTGGTCGACGTGTCGAGCGACTCCAGTGATGAAGAGTTTGAAAAGTGTGAGTGATGCTTTTATTTTGTAGTTTTTATTATTATTATTATTTTTAACGCAGATCTGTTTAGGATAAGGATTCCCCTACAGCAACTCCCCCGTCTCCATCCAACCCTGTCCTCTGCATCTTCTCCTCTAGTGGTTTCCAATCTGAGGTCCGTGACCCCCATGTGGAGCCCCCCTACATTCCCGGGGTCCCTATAGTTTTGCCTATGCTTAGGTTGCGAAATTACCAAGATTATATTTATAAAAATTACATATGTAAAATCCCAATAACACACATAATAATTTAAGGCAAGGTGGTCAACAAGGAAAAAGAGTTAGGAACCATTGCTCTGGCCCCTCCCCTTTGCTCTTCACTGGCAGCTACAGCCCAAGTCCTACCCATCTATTCACCGTCCCTCTTGTCCACATGTTCAAACCGTCTCAGCCTGGTCTCCGATATCCTCTCCATTTTTGATCCTATTTCTTTCTGAGGAGACTCTGCGCTCGCCCTGGTTCTGCCTCCTGTCTTCTATGTCTCTCTGTCTCTAAATCATACAACCATCACTTGTCCCACAACAGGTTTCCTTTCATTCTTGCTGAAACCTTTTCATCACTCTAACCTCCATCTATTCCACGCTGCCTGCACAGTCTTCTTGCCCTTTTCTCCACCCTCTCCATGACTCTGGACCGAGTCCGTCTCGCTCAATAACATATCCTGTCTTTCTGTGGCTAATCTTCATTCTTCAGGATTAAACTTCTGATGGTTTTCATAATTATTGATTTATTTTTGTTCCCTAGTTGTCGTGCACACATTCACACCCAAAACAAAAGTGACATCACGGAAGCCTCTCAGTGCCGCAAAGACAGACAAGTATGGAAATCTAAAGCATCTCATTTGAAAGCTGAATCTTGTTTCTGATCACAGTTTGTTTTGACATCCAACTAAAACTATTTTCCAGCACACATATTCTGGTGGAGAGCTCAGAAGATGAAGATGACTTTGAGAGGTGTAAGTGCTGCAGCTCTTTGTCGTGTCTTGCGAACCTTGGTCGAGAGCGTCATTCTCTCGTTTTTCTCCTGACAGTTTTGGATCAAATGAGAACCCCCGTTACCAATCCTAAAACAAAACCAGGAAGTGGAAGTGAAGACAGGTGAGTCTTGTTGTGTTGTGTTTATTAAATGTTTGTTAAATGTTTATTGACACATTTTCTTTGTCTTTGATCTGCAGCCTTAAAAACTTCATAGTGGATGAGCTCTCGTCTGACGATGACTTCACTGAGCCTAAACCATCCTTTAGAGGTAATCTTTTCTGTTTGTTCGGGGGGGGGGGGGGGGGGGGGGGGGGTCAATAATAACACACACACTACAATCCTTTGGTCTGATTCATCACTTTTTACACTCAGACGCTAGAGATGCACAGTTTGGTTTAATATAGACCTGTAGGTGCAAATGAAGGATAGACCGATATATCGGGCCGATATTTAGCTATCTAAAAATTTTTTTTTTTACATCAGTATTGGGAATTTGTGCAGGGAGCCCAGTGCTGCTGCTGGATTTTATTTAAAAGTATATTTTCGCTCCTGAAAAACACCTGCTTAATGAATGCTTCATAACATTATCAACTGACATTTCTTTTGTTTTCCTGTTTTATGTGTAAAACTTGGCCAGTTTATTGATTTTGGTTAATTGTTGGATTTTAAATGAGATTGAACAGTTTTATTAGTGACATTTTAGTGTGCAGAGAATGTTTTCTCTGTGTGTTTACTGTTCAGGCCAAACCTGCAAACGTTGTGCGCATGCGTCATCTCATTCATTATTCCTCGTGACGTGGTTTCAGCGCCACAGACAGACACAGCATAGTTAATGCAGCATTTCAGGCTGTTTTTGGTGTTCTTGTTTTCAGAAACTGCACCCGTCTGCAATGATGTCTTAAGAATAAAATACAGATTATTTGGAGAACTGTTTCCATGTGGATGAGACCTTGGCCAGATGTGTGCTTGTGTTTATAGTTTCTGCTTAAATAGGACCAAAAAAAAAACATCACACAGCTGCTCAAGAAAGACGAGAGGAAAGCTGTTGATCAGTTCCTTTTTAATGCAAACTTAAGCTACTTTATATTAAAGTTGAGATTTTTGGCAAATGAAAGAAAAACCAAAGCTGTGTGAAATAAATGTCATTAAACATGTTTCATGTTTATTATTCTGCAGTTCCAAAAACAAGACCTACTCCAGCGACCCGTCATCCGTTCAGGAAACCGCTGACTGAGTTTAACTCGCCGGTTTTTGTTAGCGACAGTGAGGATGAGGATGATGTCATCATCAGGAGCTCCTGGAAGACGCGTCATGCAAAGCCCAAACCTCATCTAAAGACCAAGAAGCTTGCAGATGACAAGAATGGAGAGCAGGACAGTTCACCGTCACCACCTGTACCCCTCAGGCAGTTTCTTTTTGATCTTCCTTGCAGCAAAGCAGAGACGCCATCTGTGTCGCCCAGTCCCACACTTTCAGCACCTTCTAGGCTGGATGAGTCCAGTAGCTCAGGGGAGGAGTTTGCGTCCCTCCTGGAGAGGCTCAAAAAGAAACACAAGCTCACCGGAAGCTCCTTCTCACCTAGAACCAGTGAAGGTAAACCAGAGCTTTGTTGAGTCTGAAGTCAAAGTCAGTTTAATTGTCACTTCTGCCACATGTACAGGACATACAGAGAAATGAAATTACGTTACTCTCAAACTCTCGCTAGATAGAAAATAAACATTTAGTATAAAAACAGTAACCAAGTTCAGAGAGACTGAGGGGGAAAAGAGAGGAGAGGTGGGAGAGCCGGGAGGGAGTTTAGCTTCCCAACTGCCTGATGGATAAAGCTGTCCTTCAGTCTGTTGGTCCTGGCCTTGAGACTCCGCTGTCTCCTCCCTGATGGCAGCAGCTCGAAGAGGCTTTGCATTGGGTGAGTGGGATCAGCCGCAATGCGAAGGGCCTTTTTTGTGAGGCGGGTGCTGTAAATGTCTGGTAGGGAGGGGAGAGAGACCCCAATGACCTTCTCTGCTGCTCTCATTATACGTTGGAGGGTTTTAATGCAGGAAACGTTGCAGGCTCCGAACCACACAGTGATGCCGCACGACAGGATGCTCTCGATGGTGCCTCTGTAGAAAGTGTACAGGATGGGGGCTGGTGCTCTTGCTCTTCTTAGTTTGCGGAGTCAGAGGCTGATTTCTCTTTTTGTCTCATTCCTGAAAGTGGAGTCTGATAAAGAGAACGCCGTCTCCGCACCTGCTACGAAGCCATTCATCACACCCACCTTTAAAACACCAAAGGGACAGCCTCAACCTGCGGAGACAAAGGGACAGTCCTCCATCGTGAAGCCCAAAGTCAGCCAGACGGAACCCAGACATGGCTCCATGAGCAGGTTCCCCACCGCCACACACGAACAAAGTTTTAGTTTTTAATTTCCACACAAACGTTGGTTTAACTCCTTCTTCCAGACTGGTGTTGTGCAAGACTCCGGGCTGTTTCCTACAGTCTCTCACAAACCCTGGTTCCACCTACGGCGCCGCCTTCAAGACCAACAAAGAAGAACTAACCTCTAAACTCTACCGGATGTACAATACCAGCGTCTTTGATAATAAGGTGACGAAGAACTTTCCTTTCCCTTCAATCAGATTTTGTAGATATTTTTATTATTTAAGTGGTTCTGGCTTGAGTGAGGTGTGTTTCCATGAGACGGTGCTGCACTCTGACCAGACCTGCCCCACAGGAATAGCCCCGCCCCTCATTTACGTTCTTGTGTACTTGACAAGTGTTCTTGGTTAGTACAGCAGGAAGTGTGTTCTACTGAGTACGGGAGGACGAGGACAGTATTTGGAACAGAACCATACTCCTCCTTGTTATGGTTTAAAAAAGACCTGACATAAAAGTCTAGTTTGTCCCTTAAATAACAAAATAACAATAAATAACAAAATAACAATAAATAACAAAATAACAATGAATAAATTTTATTTGTAAATTATTTGGTCCACTTTTGGTAAAATACCAAAATTTTCTGCTGTTAAATGCAGAAAAAAGTTTAACTTTCACTGAAACAAAGCTAGTTAAAGCTACGCTACTTTTATTTTGATAGTGGGTTAGCTAATTAGCATTTTGAAGAATCATGAAGGGTCTGGGGGGGGGGGAAACCAGCAAATTTGACAGGTTACACACACTTATTTACAATAATGGATAACTTAATTTCTTTCTTTGTATTTCTGATCTGAAACACCAGTTATGAGCTTTCTTCTCTGATGCTCGGAGTAATACGGTTTGCGACGCACTGCATTATGGGATACTTTGCTGTCCCACGTTTGCAGAAGGTACAATACAGATACAATGGTCTGAGCCAGGACACATCTGGGAGCTTTCAGCGAACTGGCCATGATACGTACTTGGGTTGGAACCACCAAACATGCATTTGCATTTTTTTCTTTCGGTTTTATCCCGTACGTCATTTCCCCTTTAGCTTCCAACCAACATGTCTGTGACCTGGAATAAGAAGATGCGGAAAACAGCCGGCCACTGTATCACGGGCCAGGAAAAGAATGGAGGGAGCCGCTATGCCCGTATTGAGCTGTCGGTGAAAGTCTGTGATTCTGCAGGTAATGCTTCCCTCTAAAATAACGGTGATTGGTAGTAACTCCCCCTCAAATCATGGATAATGGAATTAATTTTCCCTCCTTCATCCCAGATCGTCTCCGAGACACGCTGATCCATGAGATGTGTCATGCTGCCACATGGCTGATAAACGGGATCAGAGACGGACACGGAAACCTCTGGAAGTGTTACGCCCGTAAAGCCACGCAGGTGCACCCGGAGCTGCCGATGGTCACACGCTGCCATAGTTATGACATCAAATACAAATTCCAGTATCAGTGCACCCGCTGCCAGAATACGTAAGCCTGATTATCGTTCTGAATGAATTAGTCCTTAATGGTCCACACTTGTATGTTAACCTCTAATATTCCATCCATCTTGTTTCTCATCAGGATCGGTCGTCATTCCAAGTCCCTGGACACTCAGAGGTTTGTGTGTGCCCTCTGCACGGGTCAACTCACCCTACTGACGCCCTCCAAGCCACGTGCTCCCACGCCTTTTGCTGACTTTGTCAAACAAAACTATGGAGGCGTGCGTCAGGAGCTGTCTGGACAGAGCCACGCCGAGGTGATGAGAAAACTGAGCGCTGATTTTGCAAAGACCAAAATTAGTGAAAGCTAGCCTCTAACCACAAAGATGCACCACATTCAACAAGTCTCACACTTCTGAGCTAATAATTAAATAAACTTCATTTTTAATGACTTTAACAAGTTCATGATGTTTGTTTTAGATCTTTCATGTGGTTTTTCTGTAACGTCACTAGTTTCTGCTCCAGGGTTTGTGACCGTAGTGTCATTTGGAACCATACCTGTCTGCGTTTTTTTCTTTGGTACAAGAATGAAATCAGAGAAATGTTTGTAAATTAGGCATTTTTACTGAGTCAGTCTTTAAAATAATAGCTTGTTTGTTTCTTACAAGATATTTTTGTTTTTCATTTAAATATGTAAATAAAATGTTGTTAAAAAACAGAATTTTACAATTTCATTTAAAGCTCGGCACAGGAACAAATATTATAAAAATAAATATTAGGTTTTTTATTGTATGAACAGAGGTCCACTTTTAATAGGAGGCAGGAGAAAACTGGTCACAAGGTGTCTTGTTTTAATTATGATTGTGAGGTTAGATGCCAGTGATGGTGTCGTCATGGCTGCATCGTCATTCAGTTTTCAGATGCAGTTAGAAAATGCGTCATAACTGATGTTTGCTGCCAGTTTGGATTCATAACCGACTTAAAGTCATCTCCTGATTTTTAACTATCATAACTTAAATTCACTGAGGTACAAAGTCATTATAACCTCTTCATAATTAAAGTCATTCTTATCATTATGCCATGGTGGGACTTATTTATTGTTCAGCTCCAACTGAGATTAGTAATTAATACGGTTTTATTCAGGATAAAGATTTTATAGTCTGTGATGCACATAAAACCAAATAATTGTTTTCAAGTCTTGCTTTTATCCTTTTTAATATCTTAAGATGATCATGTGTATGACTGACATTGTGGTTCTGCTCAGATATCCTAATACTGTCAAATTTAATAATAAGGGGCGGAGTTAACTGCTTGATGTAAAACGAGTGGTAGAAAAACAAAGAGCAGCTGGAATCAGTTTTTACAATAGAAAAAAAAACTATATGTAAAAAATAAATACAAGTTTACATAAGTTTTTGCCATCAACGAGCTGCTTGGAAAAGTAAAATAAAAAGTAAACAAACTGCTTTAATATATTTAATCTGGTCTGTAAACACTACTCTGACATGTATAATCACTCATCAATGCACAATATACAAAAACAGAAGAGGAAATATGCACAACAAAGATGCAGATAAATATATCACCATTCAAAGCTTGGAGGTGGTGGGAGCCGAGGGGTTTGTAGGCAGCTTCCCTGATTGGGATGGTCGCACCTTAGATCCAGAGGCAGCACAGAGTAGAGAGCACTCCCCGTTCATCCGAGGTTCACCACGGGCATTTCTATAAACTCATTGAAAAGCTGAGTTACACAATAACAGCTAATCTGTAGATGCACCTGTTCTACCAGTAACTAGCACTGGCATGAATCATGTTTGCCACAGAGAGAAACCCTTCGCTATAAATGGACGGCTGTCAAAGGTCTGCAGCGACTAATTCAAATAATTATAGCAATAAATAAGGATATTATGTGATTTGAGCATTTTTGTGAATAAATCTGGATAAAAATGGTTTTGCAAGACACTCGTGTATGAGCAGCATTGTACACAAAGCCCCTCCCCCCCTCCTCTGGTCTCACTGACTGCAACACCAGCTTAAAAGTCACAGAGCTTCTTCAGTACAGGCAGGTTTTCTTCATGATACGCAAGAACTCTTCCTCGCTCACTTCTCCATCTTCATCCCGGTCGGCCTCATCGATCATTTCCTGAAGGACACATAAGAAATCTAGTTTGGAATCTCAGTGAATTTGTAAAAGCAACTTTATTTATGCCGACACAGCAAATAAATGTTTTTAGAAACCAGGTTTTCTCCTTTTCAGAATTTCTCCACATTTGCGATGCCTGGCTTTGTATCCAATCAATCATGACACAGTTATTGCTGGACATCTGGCTACAGGTAGAACCTCACCTGCAGCTCCTGGCTACAGGTAGAACCTCACCTGCAGCTCCTGGCTACAGGTAGAACCTCACCTGCAGCTCTTGGCTACAGGTGGCGCCTCACCCGCAGCTCCTGGCTACAGGTGGCGCCTCACGCGCAGCTCCTGGCTACAGGTGGCGCCTCACGCGCAGCTCCTGGCTACAGGTGGCGCCTCACCCGCAGTTCATGGCTACAGGTGGCGCCTCACCCGCAGCTCCTGGCTACAGGTGGCGCCTCACCCGCAGCTCCTGGCTACAGGTGGCGCCTCAACCGCAGCTCCTGGCTACAGGTGGCGCCTCACCCGCAGCTCCTGGCTACAGGTGGCGCCTCACCCGCAGCTCCTGGCTACAGGTGGCGCCTCACCCGCAGCTCCTGGCTACAGGTGGCGCCTCACCCGCAGCTCCTGGCTACAGGTGGCGCCTCACCCGCAGCTCCTGGCCATAGGTGGTGCCTCACCCGCAGCTCCTGGCCATAGGTGGCGCCTCACCCGCAGCTCCTGGCTACAGGTGGCGCCTCACCCGCAGCTCATGGCTACAGGTGGCGCCTCACCCGCAGCTCATGGCTACAGGTGGCGCCTCACCCGCAGCTCCTGGCTACAGGTGGCGCCTCACCCGCAGCTCCTGGCTACAGGTGGCGCCTCACCCGCAGCTCCTGGCTACAGGTGGCGCCTCACCCGCAGCTCCTGGCTACAGGTGGCGCCTCACCCGCAGCTCCTGGCTACAGGTGGCGCCTCACCCGCAGCTCCTGGCTACAGGTGGCGCCTCACCCGCAGCTCCTGGCTATAGGTGGCGCCTCACCCGCAGCTCCTGGCTACAGGTGGCGCCTCAACCGCAGCTCCTGGCTACAGGTGGCGCCTCACCCGCAGCTCCTGGCTACAGGTGGCGCCTCACCCGCAGCTCCTGGCTACAGGTGGCGCCTCACCCGCAGCTCCTGGCTACAGGTGGCGCCTCACCCGCAGCTCCTGGCTATAGGTGGCGCCTCACCCGCAGCTCCTGGCTACAGGTGGCGCCTCACCCGCAGCTCCTGGCTAAAGGTGGCGCCTCACCCGCAGCTCCTGGCTACAGGTGGCGCCTCACCCGCAGCTCCTGGCTACAGGTGGCGCCTCACCCGCAGCTCCTGGCTACAGGTGGCGCCTCACCCGCAGCTCCTGGCTATAGGTGGCGCCTCACCTGCAGCTCCTGATCTGTAAGGTTTTCTCCGAGCTCCTTGGCAACTCTCTTCAAGTTCTTGAAAGAGATCTTGCCTGTCTCGTCGTCATCAAAGAGACGGAAAGCTTTTAGGATCTCCTCTTTAGAATCCTTGTCAGCCTGAAATTTAATGAAGAAAAGGGGATCGAACATTTAACATAATCATGGAACATAACTCAAGATAGTTCACTTTTGACGACTATGCGATTTACAGCTTGTTTACCATTTTCTGAGTCATGACTGCCAGAAAGTCTGCAAAGGAGATTTTGCCTGTGCCGTTTTTATCCACCTCTGCAATCATCTTCCTGATCTCCTCCTTCTTCGGTTCAAACCCCAGAGCTCTCATTGCGACCTGGCTCAGGAACAGACAGATAAACGGTGATGCTCACACGGGCGTCTGTCTGCTGTTGGGATCACATCAGTGGTGCAGCTTCTTCTACCTTGAGCTCCCTCACGTCAATGATTCCAGAACTATCAGTATCAAACAGCTCGAAGGCCTCCCTGATCTCCTGCTTCTGCTCCTCATTCAGTTCCAGCTTGGGGGCTGTCTTCTTGCGCGGAGGGGGTACTGGACCCTGCAGGGAGGGCCTCTTGGCGCTGGTAGCCTGGTGGAGAGCAGACAGGAGCATTTACGAGATATTATTTACAGATTATAAAAAACGAGTTATTGATTAGGGTGGCCGGCTGATTTAATAAAGAAAAAACTAGTTTGGTTTAGGTTTATATTACTCACCATTAGTTCCTGTGTTTTAGACCAAAACGAGCAGCAAATGTAAAAATAAATCACTATTTCCGCTCGTGAAGCTTCTACGAACAAGTGGAGGCGTCGCTCGTACAAAGTTTAGCTTAAAAAACACCTGTCACACATCACAACCTATACTGAAAACAGCTGTTTATATTTCGAAAGAAACATAGCTTGTTTCAAGCTAATATCAGGTACGCCTCTTCGACGCGTTTGATTTCAACACCAGGTGAGCCGGAGCTCCAAAGCAGAACGCATAGTTACCATAGAAACGCCACGGCAGAGCACGAGGATATTAAAATGATGTCAAAAACAAACGCTCCCATCAGGCAAGAAGCTGATTGGATGCTGAAGAGCACGAGGTCCATTTTAGCAGAACGAACTCAGACATAAGGATTATATAATTTGATAACTCTAAAACGGACTTAGACTTAATACACATTTTCAGTGTTTAAATCTGTAATGGTAATAATAATGTAATGATAATAATAATTTATCATAATCATTACAGTTTTGTTCATACGTATATACCCTTCTTTTTTATTTTTATTTTCACTTTGACAGGTTATCATGCATTTTTAGGTAATTTTGGAGCTTACATTTAGCTGATTTCAAGTCAGCATAGGTCACAAAAAATTTGAAGCAAATTTCCAAGAAATGAGAGTTTATTTAAGGTGCTGTGCATATGGGCAGAATATATCTGATTTATGTAGTCTATAAAATCTGAAATTATTTGGAAGTTTTATCAAACTTTATAAAGCTCTGTGTAGAAAAAATACATAGAATCAAAATTCTGCAATACAGAATTACTGGAAATCTAGAAAAAAATTAAGTTTATATAATTAATCATTATCTAGCTCTCACTAAAGAGTGGTGTTTGGTTAGAGGGCGGGTCCAACATGACGCTGGTCAATGATTAGTCCAAATTGTGGCGTTCTTTGACGTATCTAAAATTTCATTGGCTCTTTACTAACTCTCGTCTGCCCAATGCCATGTCTTGGCCAATCACAGAGGAGCTTTCTCAGCTGATTTAAACAGCTCTGTGGAGTTACAAACGAGTGTCTAAAGAAAAGTGGTTACGTGCTTTTTTTGTTAAAATTAATTAAATTGACATCCTGTATTAGGTAAGAAGCATTCTTGCTGCATACATCCAGTTTGTATTCTTTATTAATCATGGCCACGCGCGTTCGACCGGTGAGTTAATGTAATTTTAAAACTTTCTTTACCCTAAAAATGCACATTTTGAATTATTAATCACCGCCCTATTGTGTTGCAGAATAGTAAACGCTGTGTGGTAATAGGAGGCTCCGGGTTCTTGGGCAGACACCTGGTGGAAAAGCTGCTGGACCGGGGCTACTCGGTCTCTGTGTTCGACATCCGGCAGAGCTACGAGTTACCTGGTGTGACTTTCCTCCAGGGAGACCTCTGCGATAAACAGGTGCTTCTTTCTGCGCAGTTCTGTCGTAGACGATAATGTGGTTAAACCGTAGACGAGGTGTGGATTTTATTTATTTATTTTTTTAGTTTGAACCCCAAAGATATGAATGCATTTTTATTTTATTCAGGTGAAGGAACAAACAGGACTTCAGAATATTTCTGCACACTAGATATGATGATGGCTGACTAATTTATCTGTATTTCCCTACATTGAGTCTTATTTTAATTTGTTTTACTTGACAAGTACAGTCAGATCTGCTTCTTTAGAGTATGAACCACACAAGCATATTTATACAGCGGCACCATTAAAGGTACACTGTGTAAATAAAATTACAGTGAAATGATCACAAAACATTCTAATGTCTCAATCATGATGGAAGGAAGGTTACGTTGACTACGTTTACATGCAGCCAGCATTAAGGTCAGTATTCGGGTTTCTGAAGAATTTGGAATAACCCGTTTACATGCACAAGTAAAGAGAGTTACCCCTGTATACATGGAACTCCTAATATTCCGATTACATAGCTGATGCACTTTCTGAGCTGAAGAGGATATGAGATTCTGGACTTTTGCCTCAGACAGGCTCATGGATGCATCACAGCATCGCCACATTAGAGACAGGAACAAGCACGACTCAGCTAGTTTCATCATCAAGGAACGTTTTCTAAGTGACAACTCGCTTCACTGAGAGGAATCTTCCCGAATGCTCTCTGGTTCCGCTGCTGCCTGTGACCGACGCGCTCTGAGCCCCTCTCCACATCTTCAGTTCGCTGTCCTCCTTACATGTGCGCTGACAGCGAGCTGCGCTGAGCAGTGTCCAGTATAATGCTCAGATCTCCTCAAAAGACCAAGATTCCTTGCGGATGGAACATGTAGGGCTGCAGCTATTGAATATTTTTGTAATCAAGAATTTTCCTAGGACTAGTTGTTACAGATCCCTTCCAGCACAACAGTTGAGAACTTGGTGGAGTACGCTTTGCCATAGATTTCATGGTGAAACCGGCGTGACACATCTTCAGTTGTGTGCCCCGACCTCATTGGGTGTTTCGGCCACTTATCGCAATACACCCTCTGCCGGGGTTGGCCCACCCCTGGTTGATCAGACCCGGGTGTGTGTCACTCAGAAGCACCACGCCATCATTTGGCAGCCCAAATAGCATCCCTTCGTTTAAGCCACAGCCAGTGACTGCTCTGTTCCGCTACAGTGGCGAGCTCTTTGATTGCCCTCCCGTGGGCCTGGCCTCTGATCCCTACTTCCGTCAAAAGCCTTATTATGGAACTGGCTACAAAACTTCTGCATCCCACTTCCACTGGCCACACCTTCACGTTCCCCCCCCCGTACCACCTGCGCGCTTCAGCTGCTAGGCTTGCATACCGCTGCAGCTTCCGTTCGAATGCTTCGTCAGCGGCATCCTCCCGACAGACTGTCAGCTCGACAATGAAGACACGCCGGCAGGACCTTGACCAAAGGACAAGGTCTGGGCGCAGGTTGGTTGCAGGAATTTCGGATGGGAAGGTGAGCCTCTGTTTGAGGTCTGCACGCAAATCCCAGTCTCGGGCCCAATCCAATGGACCAGGGGCGGTGATAGATGGCTTTGTCCGCTGCTTCTCCCCTTCCCGCATGAAGATTTTCCGTGGGATGGCAATCTGGCCATTTGGAGGCATAGCGTTGATGGTTACCCTCTTTTCCTCAAGTTCGGCAGCCAAGCACTTCAGTACTTGGTTGTGGTGCCAGGTATATCTCCCTTGAGTTAGGCTGATCTTGCAACCCACCAAGATGTGTTTGAGGGTTGCTGGGCCGGCGCACAGGGGACAGGCTGGATTATCTCCATACCACAGGTGTAGGTTGGTTGGGGTGGGGCAGCAGTAGCTCAGGTGGTAGAGCGGGTTGCCTCATGATCTGAGGGTCATGGGTTCGATTCCAGCTCCCACCAGGGGTATCCTGCTGTTGTGTCCTTGGGCAAGACACTTCACCCAACTTGCCTGTGTTAGTGGTGGTCAGAGGGGCCGACGGCGCCAAATGGCAGCCTCGCCTCTGTCAGACCTCCCCAGGGCGGCTGTGGCTACAAGTAGCTTACCATCACTAGCAGTGTGTGAATGTGAGAGTGTGTGAAAGCGTCTTTGGGTGTCTAGAAAAGCGCTATATAAGTTCAATGCATTATTATTATTATCGTATGTGGCTCTAATGATAAAACTTAGTCTATTTGCCTCCATGCTCCACATCTCGCTCCAGGTGATTTTCCTCCTCTCCATGCTTTCCTACTTCATCCAGCGGCCCTGCTGGGCTTGGGAGACAGCCTTTGCACATCTGGCTGCTTCCTCTTGGTGGCGTACCTCCTCCACCACCATGTGCTGTCGTTCGATTGAGTACTCTATTGAATTTTTTTATCGATTAATGGAATACTCCAATAAATTACCCTTTTGTGTTTGTAAACCATTATATCAAATAGCATTTTATAAAATATGAAAGACCTTTTGAAACGAGCACGCAATTGCCAGTTATTCTTCAAGTTTTATTCAAAATTAGTTTTCAAAACTTCAGCACTTCAACTTTACTTCACAGTAAACAAACGCCTGTGCAAAAAATAAGTATACAGCCTGAGCCGATTTTCCCCTCGTGTGAGAATCTACTAGCCTGCAAGTCAGACAAAAACTAGGAGGATAACTGTTGAAGTAGCGCTGCGAGCATCTGCGGCCCAAATAGAACCAGAACTGCTCACGGCGCATGCGCAAACATGGCTCACCAGCTGTTTCCCTATTAACACATGTCCGTTTTAATTTCTACACTTTTTTTCTCTCTCACACAATAACAAGGATTGTTGAGAAAGCATGTTTGCCGTGGTTATGTCAAATTATACTGATCACAAAACATTTACTTTCTTTCGTTTTCCTCCGCCAATCTCATAAATGTTTTATGTTTATTCATTTAGCAGACGCTTTTATCCAAAGCGACTTACAATTCATAACCTATAGGGCATGTTGTGATCTGTGGGGGAAACCGGAGTACCCGGAGGAAACCCACGCATGCATGGGGAGAACACGCAACTCCACGCAGAAAGGCCACAGCCCAGTTTAAAACCTGCAACCTTCGTGCTGCGAGGCACCAGTGCTAACCACTGCGCCACCATGCAGCCCAGTTAATACCTGTGTCCTCCTGCAGCAATCCCGAGGGACAACAGACATCAATAACAACACAATAAATGTCAGTATTTATCCTTAAAATATTCCCAAAAAGGAACATTGTGATTGTTTACAATCTGTGAGCCTGTGGGATAAACAAGTCTATATATTAAGGCTGGGCAATAAATAAATATGTAAAGAAACTAGGGATGGGCAATATATCGGCATCAGTATCGGTATCAGCCAATGTTAGTCATTTTTTAACACATCTGTATGGGTTCGATAAATAAAACCGGGCCGATATTAACAACCGAAATTTTTCCCATCTCGTCTCCATTTGTTTATCTGTTTCAGAGGGTGAGGGGGGTGATGTGTAATTGTTTAGTCATGTGAACAGTGATTGAAATCATCTCAGAACCGTAATTATGTGTGTGCACATAATAACATAAATTCAGCTTTAATAATTTTCATTCTATACAAAATCTGCTGATTTTAGAAGCATTAATGTCGGTATATCGGTATCGGCAAATATCGGTTATCGACCATAACGGTGATCTTGATATCGGATATTGGCATCAGCCCAAAACTTTCATATCGGTGCATCACTAGAGGGCAACCTCCAGCAAAATAACAAGAACATCAGACTCCCTTTCATCACTGGCAATGAGTGAAGAGGTAAATGTGTAAAGCAACAGTGTGTGTTAATGGTGAAAGTGTTGTAACCATTTGTTACTAATCAGTAAATGCATTTTGTCCTCACAGACTTCCGTAGAAGGAAACATGGCAATCAATATGGTGTCGACCAGAGACTTATACCCGCTCCCATGTATTTTAGAACAGATTTTTATGGTTATGTTATGAAAATGCCAACATTTTTCAACAACTGGGCATCTTTTAAGTGGTTTACTACAACATTTCGATGGTTATTTCCAGAGATTAATGATACAAACTACACATTGTTACTTTAAGGGGTTGGATTGGGGGTTAAACGACCAAAATGTTCCTGAGCAGGGCTGTGTATACAGCTCACCGCTCCCCCAGGGGATGGGTCAAATGTGGAGGACAAATTTCACCACACACCAGTGTGTGAAGTCTAATGGGACTTTAATCTTTAATGTGAAGCATAACTTGTTTGTTTTTCCTTCCTCTTCAGGCTCTGCTAACCGCTCTGAAGAATGTGTCTCTGGTTTTCCACTGTGCCTCCCCAGCGCCTTCAAGCGATGACCGTACTCTGTTTGAGAGGGTCAACGTTCAGGGCACGAAGACCGCTATTGAGGCCTGCATTGAGGCTGGAGTCCAGGTAACCTGGGAAATGTGGACATATATTTCAGTTACTCTCGAAAAATGGAAGAAAATGTTCCAAGTTTCTGATCTGCGTTGCTAGAAAATGGTCCTGACAAGCAGTGCCAGTGTGGTGTACGATGGGACGGACATTAAAAATGGAAGCGAGGATCTGCAGTATGCCACAAAACCCATCGACTACTACACGCAGACCAAAATTCAGCAAGAAAAGGTAGGAGACGATGTAAAATGTGGTTTTAGTTTCTTTAAATGAAACAAGTGACTCAGCAGCTGTTCAGATTGTAGCCTTTGAAACTTATGTCACAAAATCTACTTAACTATAATGAAATCACAATGTCCTCCTGCATCCTGGGCTCTTTCTGAGCTCACTCAGATAACTTTTATTTTGCAGGGTGCGCTTCTTCATCTTTCTCCTTGTGTTTTAGTTGGTGCTTGAGGCGTGTCACAAGCACAAGGGTTTCCTCACAGTTGCTATTCGGCCACACGGCATCTTTGGCCCACGGGACCCCCAGCTTGTTCCCATCATGGTGGACACAGCCCGCAGGGGGAAGATGAAGTTCATCATCGGGTCAGTGACATGTTTTTCTTCTGGCCTAATGTGGTGTGAATCTGATTAAAAGGTTTGAATTCTTCTTTTCAGCGATGGGTCTAATGTGGTAGATTTCACCTACGTGGACAACGTTGTTCATGGTCACATCCTAGCTGCAGAGCGTCTCAGACCAGACTCGCCCATCTGTGGAAAAGTGAGTCGGATGAATCCATCTTTCTGCGAGTGTTGGCTCTTGACGGTTCCTTCTGAGACTGCTAAAGGGCCGGTTTCATGCTGTTTCACACATTCCAGAGCAACAATAGGCACACTGTATGTTAAAATATTACAGCTGACGTTAAGGTGTCTTTTTCAAGAAATATAAATAAGTTTCTTCCGCCGTATCAATTCCACATTAGTGTACAACTGCAGACCTGAAGACTGCAGTTTCATGCTTGCTCACCAAACTTAATAACCACTTAGCTAGCAGTTAGTATGTGGTTGAACTCAGCATCAGGCGAGCAGATAGGGTGGGGGATGGGGGGGATCTGCCCCCCCCCCCCCAGATTCAGATCGACCCCGATCCGAATCAGTATGTAAGAATATAGTGAGAAAATCCCAAAAGAGTCTAATGTTTGAGTCATTGTTGAAGGGAGGTTGTACTGAAACATTTTTCATATCCAGCTGGTTATGGGGATTGTCAGTTATTCTCCTTTCAAAACAAAAGGAGGGACCTAGCTACTGTTTACCATCAGTGAGTGTGGGGTTACCATGTCTCCTGCGAGCTAATGCTGCAGTGCCGACAACTGTAATTTGATAATGGCCAAGAAAAAGCTCCAGAGTTGTTTAAAGTGGTTGTAGTAACCACATTTTACCACAGGGTGACAGTTTTTTAAACTAATTTCTACATAATGCACCTTTAAAACTCCCTGGATGGGGAAAAGTAGATCATTGTGACTTAGCAACAACTCCATCCAGTCACCTGCAATAGCTTTGCATAGTTTCCCATATCTGAAGGAAAGAAGCAGATGAGACAGGAAAATGCATGCGTGAAGCCAAAAACTGCTTTTGGGGATGTTTTTCATGAAGAAATAACAAAACTTGGTCAAAAGCTCCAAAAAGTGGATTTTGCACGATATAAGATCTTTAATTTTGTATTCTCCTCCAGGCGTACCACATCACCAACGACGAGCCGGTCCGTTTTTGGGACTTCATGTCTGAGTTGTTGGTGGGCCTGGGGTATGATGCTCCACGCCTCCACCTCCCGTACATTCTGGTATATGGCCTGGCCCTGCTCCTCTGGCTGCTCACCTGGATCCTCAGTCCTGTATTTTCCATTAAAACAACCTTTACTCCCATGAGGGTGGCTTTGGCTGGAACCCATCACTACTATAGCTGTGAGCGTGCCAAAGAGCACCTGGGCTACAAACCGGTGGTCAGTCTGAAGGAGGGGATAGCACGCACGCTGGAGAGTTATCCTCATCTCAGAAAGGGGGCGTGATGGTGGAGCTGCTTCTAGATACTGCAGAAGAGAAGATCCAGGATCCTGTTTGTGTTTGCCCTTTTGTATTGTTTTCACCAGCAGGTGGCAGCAAAGGGTTCTTGGTTTTGTCCAATCAGTGCATTGATGATTGAGACACCATTTATTACAGGGTTTTACTGTTTAATTCAGAATCACAGTTCCTATAAAGTTCTATAAGAAACAGTTTTCTGAATAAAATGACAAACATGGCCTCCATTTGGTTTAAATTTCATTTGGTTTGGATTTTAAGTGCATGAATGACTTTACGTCAGTTCAAAATACTAATCGTCAGATCTTGTAGCACCAAAGTCACCAGCTCAGATCAGTATCCTATTTAGATTATGATGGTTCTAAAATCTTTCTGCATACTCCTGCTTGGACTTTAAAACAGAATCTGCATCCACCTGGCTCATAAACCCCTCAAATACAAGATTTAGTAAAAGATCCCCGGGTTTATTAAAACATGTTTATAAAAAGCTGAACATCCTATGGTCTGAATGTGAGATTTTTCCAGTTTAATCAGTCTTGCTAGAATCAGGATTACCAACACGCCTTCAGGTAAGTAATTATTGGCAACTAAAACCCTCTCTCCCCCTGAGCCTGAGATCAGTGGACGGCGCGGTGGGCTCCTTTAAAAAGCAGCTGAAAACTCACCTGTTCAGGCTGGCTTTTGCGTTTATTTATTTATTTATTTGGCAAATGCTATTATCCAAAATGATGTACAGTTGTTAACCTATAGAGAATGTTGAAATCTGTGGGGGAAACCGGAGTACCCGGAGGAAACCCACGCATGCATGGGGAGAACATGCAACTCCACTCAGAAAGGCTGCAGCTGGGTTTCAAACTTGCAACCTTCTTGCTGCGAGGCAGCAGTGCTAACAACTGTGCCACCATGCAGCCCATCATGACCTTCATCACCACCCTCTCCTTCGGCTCTTTCTACCAATTCTGCCTTTCCTTTCCCGGGATCCACTGACTGGTCTTTCTTATCCATGTTCGCCTTCCCTCTCCTTACATTTTCTAATCACATTTCTTTTTCTCTTTTTAGTTATTTTTGTTCTTGTGAAGCGTCTCGTGGTTTTTATCTTGAGGGGCTCTAAATAAAAGATTAGATGGCATAAAAGAAGAAGAAACAATGAAAAACTGCAAAAATAAAGATAATTTCCTTGTCGTCACTTTGATGGGGACGTCCCTGTCCTGCCCTGCTGGAGTTTTTTATATCAGTTTTCAGAAGATGACAGCCCAAAGCAGAATAAACTGCACCAAACTGAGGTTGTGCAAACAAGTATTGACACAATATTAAATTAAAACATTTCCACATCAGCCAACTTCCAAAAGCCTGAGCTATCGCTTTATCTCTGGTTCTAGAATAGTTAGCGCTGATGGACTTTTTTGGTCGAAAAAAAAAGGCCGGACCTCAAACAGGTAAACAACCTGAGCCTCCTGCCACCACAAAGCCAACACTCCAGCGTGAAGCTATACTCACTGAGCACTCTGCACCAGCAGGATTCTCTATTCAGTTCAATTCAAGTTTATATAGCGCCAAATCACGGCAAGAGTCGTCTCAAGGCACTTCACATAGCAAACGTTCCAATTCAGGTCAGTTCATTAAGCCAATCAGAAATAAAGTTTCCTATATAAGGAACCCAGCAAATTGCATCAAGTCACTGACTAGTGTCAGTGACTTTACAGCAATCCTCATAATAAGCAAGCATAAAGCGACAGTGGAGAGGAAAACTCCCTTTTAACAGGAAGTAACCTCTTGAGGATCCTGGCTCAGTATAAGCAGCCATCCTCCACGACTCACTGTGGATCGAGAAGACAGAGCAGACACACGCATACGCCAACACAAGCCCATCTACACACATCCGCACACAACATATATACCAAGTAGTGTTTCTATGGTTACATTGTGAATGGGGGTGTGTGATTGGGGGGTGGGGGGGGGTGGGGGGCTGATTGACCGGTTTATTGCTAGATGACGCTTCAGGTGTCAGCCACTCCTCCACATTAAAACCTAGCATATACGCCAAAGGTGCTGCAAATCTAAATTCTATTTCACCACCAATCTGATATGTGAGAGTGGGATCGGGGATTCTGAAAATGAGATAGAAATCAGGATTAATCTTTTTCATAGCAGTCTCGCACTCGTTCCTAAGTTGTTGTACATTTTTATAATACCCGGGACTAATCGGAGCTCTGCTGATTTTCTGAGGTTCGCTCATTCTTCGCCATTCATTTTTTTATTTATTGTCTCTTTTTAAACGTCATGTAGGTCTGAGGCCTTAATCAGAATGGAGAATTTTTGGGGCCAGCCAAGCCACTCAACAAAAACGTATCGCTCTCCTCGGAATGTCCGGCGTTTTAAAACTTTTTCAATGTGGAAGGATCTCTCGGTCGAAAGGTTTACTTTCTGCAACTCGGCTTCATAAAATTACCCTTCAATTTTTCCCCATGAAAATCTTTGGGTTTATAAACTGGTGGCGAGCGATGAAGACACTCATCCACTGTGAACACTTCGTGTGTAAAACTCTGCTCATATTTTTTATCAAACACACCTCTGAGTTAGGAAATTCTCACAATGTCTCCCCTTTTAAACTTCATTTTCTTTGCAGGCTCCAGTGAGGTGGCTCCGTAAAGGTTGCGAAACACCTGCCTTTGATTTCCCGTGTTAACTTCAGCAGGGGACATATTGATGGATGAGTGGCAGCCATCGTTATAACCTCGTACTAAATCTTGAATCACATCTATGTAGCGATGGGTGTTTTTGGCTGTGAAATATCTCCACCTTCTACCTTTTAGAGTCCTGTTAAATCTCTCCACAACGCTGGCCTTTACGCTGCTGGCTGTGGCAAAGTGCGCAATACTGTGTTTCTTCATGAGGGCATCACATTTGTTATTAAAAAATTCTTTACCAGCATCCATCTTCAGTTTTTTAAGGGTCCCACTGTCTTTCAAAACTGAAGCAAAAGCTTCTGTAACATCTTTCCCCAATTTGTTTTTCAGGATTCGCACATAGGCTTTCTTTGAAAATACATCTATGACGGTTAATAGGTAATTAAAACCGTTGTTTGATTTTGACAAGGCCTGCATGTCGTATAAGTCAGTTTGAAACTACTTTAGTGACCCTGAGACAAAAACCTTATTTCTCGGAAAACAAACTCTTGCTGGTTTGTGCCGAGTGTGTAAGCATCCTGTTCTGAGAGAAAATCACGAGCCTTATCCCATGAAACTTTCTCCCCAGTCTCTCGTAAACCGGTTCTAAACCTTCCACACCTCTGTACCTACCCTGATGTTTTGGTGAAAAATAAACCTTTTTCATTACCTCCTCCATCTCTGACGGATGCTTGAAAAAAAAAAAGATACATATTCATTCTCATAATTTCTTTTTATTTCATAAATTGTACACATGTGACAATAAAGCTAGTCAGATATAAGGAATAAAATCTAATCGTACTGTAAAAAACAGTGGTACGATCTAGTCAGATATAAGGAATATAATCTATTCACACTGTAAAAAACAACCGTGCGGTCTAGTCAAATATAAAATCTAATCGCACTGTAACAAACAGCCGTGAGGCCTAGTTAAATATAATGAATAAAATTTAATGGTTAACTACTGTACTAGAAATGTGTATAATAAAGAAAAAAAAAACAAGTTGCAGAAGAGACAGCGTACCCCCCCACAGTTCACTCCACCACCGCAGCCAGTGCATCCAGGTCAGCTTTGGTCAGGTTATCGTACACCGGAAAAATGTCTTTGTGAATGGGCATCACAGCCCTGAATCTGTGCAGCTGCGTCACAGCCATGGTGAACAGGATCTCAGCGTCCAGCTGGAAGCCATGCAGAGTGAGAAAACTTTGAAGAGCCGGAATCAGCTTAGGTGTTAAAACTCTGCTGATGATGTCAGAAAAGTGAAAATCGTAAAATAATTCATTTTCAGCTACGTAAAGACATTCGTGTTGCCGCTGACTGGGGTGATCGATCTTGCATCCGTGACAGATTGTAGGTAGGAGAGCTTTGATCGCCATGTTGACCAAGTGAAGAAGCCCCATCTTCACTCGGTCCACCATGTCTTCTGAAAACACCCAATCAGGTAGATGTAGAGGCTCCTCACCGGTGCTCTGGATGTCGAGGGTCTGCTGCTGCTGTTGCGCACCGTCCTCCCGAGCAGGTTGAGGCAAAACCGGTGGCGGGTCAGGGATTGATGACTCTGAAGGATGCGGAGTATCAGGACTCGATGGAGTCTCGTCGATCCAGGGTCTGAATGGTACATTAGCAGAGACGGTCTCCGGAACCTCCAAGATTGTGGGGAGCCGTGGGAAGTTATCCTCCGAAAAGCATGATGGTGGCGGCGGCGACGTGGGCCGCGGACTGCCGTTGTATCTCGGTGGTGATGAAGCGGCTAGCACCCAGATCGGTTGCGGGGAAAAGCTGTCCGTGGTCCATAGTTCATCAACGGTTGACTGGGTGTAGAAACCCATCATGCTGATGCGCTAGATTGTCTGGGATGAAATGGTTTCTAGCTGAAAGCTCTTTATAACTTGATGGGTGGGGGGCGTGGCTTGATGATGCGACCGCCGCTCCTCCTCCTCCTCCCTAGGCGGGACTTAGAATTCCAGCTTTTTTCGCACTGTCAGAATGTCTTTCCAGCAGCGGCTGGTACAAAAAAGTGAAGTGATACGATTCCCCACTTCATCTATTTTCTGACACCAGGTCTCGAAAGGTACAACCTGTAAAAGGCGGTAAATACCGCATTCAGCATGCACATTTTCCAGCACAAAAAAAGCTCTGATCCTCTCTCCCGGGACGAGGCCTTGAAAGTCCACTGCCCATCCGCATCCTCCAGCCCCTCCCATGAAACGCTGAAAGCTATCACCGTGTTCTGGAGTTCATCCAACGATGGAAGAGTTTGCGGCCTGTTGCGTTTTACAGCCGGACGAGGTCTTTCACGATCATCTTTGTACACCCTGCATGGAACTGCGAGGTTGAGCACTGCTCAGTCGTTGTAGGAGAGAACCGCTGAATGTGATGAATATGGCTTGAGAGGTTCGTCCTCAGCCACATCATGGATTAGACACAGCCCCTTAGTGTCATAGCTGAACTGGTACCCAAAACTACCAGTATAGCTGTAAGGTTCCAGCAGCCTTATTTGCTCCAAGGACTCTTTACCGCCAAAAGGAGGAAGCTGAACTCTACACATGTAGAATGTAGATTTGATTTGCGGGGAGCACCATCCCCTGTAGGCCGCTAATGGATCGCTATGGATTTTTCACAGAGCAAGGTCTGTGATAGCGGCGACGGCGTGTCCATGCTCTCCTCTTTCACCTCCTTCTCCTCTCAGGTAGAAGTTGAAGCATCGGTTGTAGACACTTCGTCCATCTCCTCTTGCCATTTTCTTAAAGGTATTTCTTCGGCCTTTCACCATTCTGATAGGTTCTCAGTCTGTCCGCTGAAATGGATCAGAGCTTTTAAAGAGGCAAGCAGGGTTGGAGGGAGGGATGTGGGGTATTATGTATGAAAGGGAGGGGCTGTGGGAACTGTGGGGTGAGGTATCCTAACACAAACGAGTTATCAATCCTAACTTGACGTAAAGTGGTGCAGTTTGAATACATCAAAGAGATCATCAATATACATATACAATATAGGGTCATTAAAGGTCATATCACAAAAGGTCATAAAACAATACACCTGTTCAATTTGACGTAAGGTGGTTTGGAGGAAAGGTCATAAAAGTCAAAGAACAATAGACCTGTCAAGTTTGACAAAGGGTGGTTGGGGGGGGGGGGGGTGCATAAAGGTCAAAGAACAATGGACCTGTCAAAAAGTTTGATGAAAGGTGATTCCTTATATCTCTCTCATAGGGCTTAAAGGAGATGTACACTTGGATGTAATCTGTGTAAAGATGGTAGGAGATTCCTTTAAAGGAGCCCAGGATGTGCTGAAGAGGAAGCAGAAAGAGGAGGAAGAGCACAGGCCCAAGCACAGAACCTTGTGGGACACCATGGGTTAGAGAGGTGGTGGAGGACCTAAACTTGGAGACGGCCACAGAAAAGGAGCGCTCAGAAAGATAAGAGTAGAACCACTCCAGAGCAGTTCCTGATAGGCCTACCCAGTCTCTCAGCCTCTCCAGTAGCAGGTGATGGTCAACAGTGTCAAAGGCTGCAGTCAGGTCCAGCAGGACCAGAACAGAACAGTCCCCTGCATCACTGTGAGTCAGAAGGTCATTAGAGACCCTAAGAAGAGCTGTTTCAGTAGAATGAGCTCTACGAAAACCTGACTAAGCTATCATAGATGTTATGTTCATCAAGAGCAGCTGTGAGTTGTTTAGCCACAACCTTTTCCAAGATCTTGGAGATGAACGAAAGTTTAGAGATGGGTCTGAAGCTGCTATGGAGAGAGGCGTCAAGACTCGGTTTTTTAAGAAGCGGGTGGATTACAGCGTTCTTAAAGTAAGCAGGGACCTGACTAGAGACCAGAGAAGCATTAATAATGGAGAGCACGCTGGGACCGATGGACTGAAAAGCACTTTTAAACAAAGATGAGGGTAAGATGTCCAGGGGGCATGCAGAGGTCTTCATAGAGTTAACTAGTTTGGTTAACTCAGGCAAAGAAACAGGAGCAACGCTATCTAGGATGATGGGCCTGGTTGGAGTCGGGAGAGGCGGCAATAAGGCTGAAGGAGAGATGCTAGATCTGACCTTATTGACTTTGTTCACAAAGAAAGGCAGAACGTTTTCACAGTCTGCAACAGAGTGGATGGAGACTGTAGGAGAGGCAGGAGAGACGATGCTGCTGATGGTGTTAAACAGCACCTTGGGGTTCCCTTTGCTCTGGGACACCAGGTTGGAAAAATAGGAAACTATTGCGTCTCTAACTGCAGAGTTAAAGGATATCAGAAGATCCTTTAGGTGCAGCAGATGGACGTGAAGATGGGTTTTCTTCCACAAGTGCTCAATTTTTCTGCATTGGTGCTTTAGACTGCGAAGGCTGTCATTAAACTTTAATAAGCTGCAGTTCAAAGGAAGCAAAGTGACCAGAGGTTGTAGAGCTACATGGATGATGGTCTTTAAAAACAACAGCTAGGTCTCCACCACGACCAGAACCCCGGGGCTGACTAATAAAAGAATAACCACTCGGGCAGAGTTCAATCAGACCAGAATAATCAGATGTTTGCTGCCAAACTTCAGTCAGAAACAGAAAATCCAGGTTTTTAGAGAGAATTAAATCATTGAGCAAGAAGGACTTATTGTTAACAGAGCGGGTATTTAATAGAGCCATGCTGAGTGAGGTGGAGGAATCAGGAACTACAGAAACAGCTGGAGTTAGTGGACGTAAATTAGTAGGGTTAGATCCACGGTGTTTATATACCACTCATGGAGGGAACAGGAGGAGAAACCACTGAGGAATGAGGATAAACAGACCTTACAAAACTAGGACGGAGAAACCGCGCCGCAACGCGGCCTGGCGGGAATGCGGAAGTGGCGCTCAGGTCGCCAAACAAAGGACAAGAAGCTAGAAGATCACGCCGATGTTTACTAGATAAACCACGCTTTAAGAGAAGTCTTATTCTCACCTGGACTCCTGCTTGTTTACCTCTTTTCCTCTGATGTTTTCCCGGGACCGGATAAACATTGCTGGAGGCGTCCTGGTAGGAATCATTTGGCTCTGGGCCAGTGCGCCACTCAGGTAAACAAACAGGATGGTACATCCTCGGTGCATCTTGGGCGATCGTGAACGAATGGAAGGACAAAAAAGTCTGGCGATCATAGGGGATGGTAGCAGGGACACTACCGAAGAGGATCGCAGACAGGAGCAAGGTGGAAAAGAGGTGGTTAGTGGAGAAAAGTTTGAAAAAGTGTCCGGTGACCGCGGCTAAGCCAAGCACAGGCGCCATCTTGTTACCGACCGGTATATCGGTAGATATAACTGAATATCGTCAGCATAAAAGTGAAAGTTTACCTCATGCTGTCTAATGATTTTACCAATTGGGAGCATATATATAGTAAAAAGAATTGGTTCAAGCACTGAACCCTGTGGTACTCCACAAGTAACCCTGGAGTATGAAGAAGATTTGTCATGTACGTTTACAAAATGAAACCTATCACAGGTAGGATTCACACCAGCCTAGCGCTGTTCCTTTGATCCCTACAACATGTTCAAGCCTTTCTAAAAGAGCATTGTGATCAACTGTGTCAAAGGCAGCACTGAGATTTAACAAGACTAGAACAGACACAAGAGTCTAGGAGTCCATCTGTGTTCAAAGATGTTTCAGAATAAAAGAGGTAGTAAAGTTGATGCTTGGTGTATATGAGTTGTCTCTTATTTTGAAGTACGACTAGGGAAAGTTCCCTTCCTCTTTCTCACGCTGAATAGAGAAAATCTAATGACTAGAAACAGAATGCTGTTGATGTTAATTCTAGTCAGAGGTGAGCATGTGTCAAACATCCTCACGAGTCCCATTCAGAAACATGTGTCACTATATTTCATTGTTTTAACAAGTAAGAGAAACTGTTAGAAGCAGTCGTGGAATGCTGCTCAGCACAGGTGATCGCCGGGCAGCCCGAAGACTCAGATATGATCGTCTAACCTCATCTTTACCGATTCTGATCACTTCTACAGATGGAAAACTCTGAAGTAGAGATTGACAGAAGTAATGTTTTCATTTCTCTTTTCCTTTCTTGGTGCTGCATTGTTGCTATTCCTTTTATTGGTGTGGTGAAAGCAAGGTGGGGGTTAAGTTCAGATACTTTACATTCTCAATTAGCAGCACCTAATGATTCACTGCTGGCAGGAGCTGCAGAGCCAGGCCGTCTGACTGGTTTGGGTTAGAGGAAACGGGCAGGGTGATTCAGATACTGGAGCTGAATGAAACGTTGAGTCATATTTACTAGGTTCCACCTTAACGCTGAAGTTTTGTGAAATCTCTACACACCTGATTTGTTTTTGTGTCTTCTGATAAAAAAAACATACACTTTCTGTAACTACTGACAGCATCACATGACGTCTGATGGAACATGGATTTGTTTCTTGGCTTTCCCTTAGACAGTCACTCACACGGTGCAAACACCGTGTTTCAAAAAGACTTTTATCTGACTCTCTGCTCAAAACTGACCTTTAAGACTGTTAGAAGTCCGACCTTTGAGTCAACACATGACTGTTTTTTAGCATTTGAGGAAACCCCAACCCAAAAGAACTTGAACTTGTATTTCAAACCTAAATTCTGAACTCTTCCAGCCTCTGTGCTCTGTTGTTTTTCTCCCCGTCTGTTTTCTCTGCTCATTATCAGTGTGTGCTGTTCCTGATCTCATTCTAATGGTGTGTGTTCTTCTCCCTGAGTTTTCCTGCCCAGTGAGCGTGTCATGAGCATTCCCACAGGAGATGTTGCCGCCAGTCGCTTCATTTATGTACCCGCACCTCATCGTTGTCCTCTTCCCTTTTTTTTAATTTGCTTCACTCATTCTAATAAGTGACTGTCAGCCACCTGTGCGACAGGCACATGCTTGCTGACTCCCATGAACAAAGCACAGATGTAGTAAACAAAACCCAACCCCCCCAAAAAAAGACTTCTTAGCAACCTGTGCTACGCACGACCACTGCTCCACCCCATATCCGCCTTCCTTGACTGGCTGGGCTTGTTAGTAAGTGCTCACGCTCATACCTGTTTGCTAGTTTGCTGGAGCACCTGTCAGACACAACACTGACCAAACTCCTCTGTGTAGACACCAGCAGGTATGTTCTCTGATGGGTTTTTAGTTCTTTACAGAGATAAACTAAGAAATAATCTTGATACTTTCAATGATTAGCCTGATTAGTCATGTTGCAGGAGTAATTACCTGTTTAAGCTATGATTATCGCTCTGTGCATTCTTTTTTTTTCTCCGTCATCTCCAGTTGAGCGCTCGCGTTTGAAACTATTGCTCATTTATCTTGTGTAGGCCATTGTGCCAACAAGCCAGGATAAATATAATCTCTGCTCTCTTACAGTCTTGCCTATTCAGGACAACATCCTAGAGTTACAGAGTGAGTTCAAAGCTGAGGAGTGTTAGATGTCTAATGTTTGCATTTTGGTTGCTCTTCAGAATTTCCTGTAAACCGTAGTCTGAGCCTGAGAAAAGAGCAGGTTCATGTGTGTTTTCAGTTTCTTTAGTGGTGCCCTGAGAGGTTTGGCCTGTAAGAGATGACCCTAAATGAATGAATGACAAATAAATCGTTATCCTATTGAAACATTTTGTTCTGGGCCAAAAAATGTGAACACACACAGATAGATTTATGTGTGAGTTCATTCATTTGTTGGTGCTTTGGAAGGTGGTAGGACAGGATGGTCTGGATTTTTGAAGGATGAGGCTGGGGAATGTTCGGCCAGGCTCCATATTGGGAGGGGCGCGTACCGTGGGAAGAGAAGGCCTCTTGAGATTGTCATGTTTTAGTTAAGTTGCACTTTACTGATCACTCTCTTTCTCTTCATGAAGTTGCACACATAAATATATTTCTTGAGACACCAGTGAAGATAAGAGAAATCACCAATGTCCAAAGGTAAGCAGACATGCTGTGGTTCTGAGATGATTTTACACTGCTCGCTGACCTGATTTGACCTTTTAAAACCTGTTTTTTATCATAACATGGAAACTTCTTCACATACACACCTGGTTTTAGGGGCTCAGTTTAATGATGAAGGACTTGTCTTTATGTGTAAACTTCATATTTATTAACTTCCAAAAAGACATACAGTGTAAGACAGGAGAACAAGTACGTAAACCTACGACAACTACTTATCTTTTACAAATAAATGTTTATGATGAATCACTTTTAACGTGGGTTTGTGGGTAGGAGTTGGAGTTGGGGTTGGGAAACCAGACTTGTGTTGCTAATGTGGCATGGTGGACAAACGAGGGCCTGGGTGGGATTCGATCCCTAGACTTCCAGGTGAGAGTCACACGCTCTAACCAGTCAGCCAAAGGGGTATCCCCGTGGCCAGGGCGCACGATCGATCGGGATACAGTGACAGGATGCTCACCCAGCCACAGCTAACGCACCAAAATTTGCAACGTTTTGTTTGTGTAAAATTCTTCATTTTGTCCGCCTTTCTCCTAAAAAGCTAACCCTATTTGTACTGGCTATCTGATTCATCAAAAACTGTGACCTACCTAGCAGAAAGCATTCCTCTTCTGTTGTGACAAGCTAACTAAAGCAAACAAAAGGCCAGGCATTCCTTAAAGGAATGCATAACGCCTGCTGCCTCTCGTATCAGAGTTTTACACAAAGATGGAGTAATAATTACGTTTCAGCTTGGAATCACCGGCAACGTGTTGGTACTCAGAGTATGTTTGGCTCTCAGCCACTCCCACATAATACTGTAGCTCAGTATGTGTGAAACTGAGTTATAATGATTTGTGTGCTTGCTCATGTAAATTGGCTGTGGGAGCCATTTTGAGATTCATGTTTCGTGAGATAATCTGCTCAAAAGCCGACTCCATCAGCTAACAATAAAGGTTTTTCCAAACATCCAGCGTGTTCAGGGGCTATCGGCTACTGAGTACCCGATCAGAGTCCAGTAACAGTATCGCTGTTAGAACCACGTTTGAGTTCTATGAGGTCAGGCGGCTGTTGCAGCCATCTTGAATTAGACTGATGCCAAAAGTTAACCAATAGATGAACGCCCAGTGACTGAGTCTGAGAGATTCCTTAAAATCCATCCAGTGGGTCATGAGACATTTTTCTGCAAACAAAAACACCCAGACACAGAGGCAAAAACATCATAGCTCACATTTCTTGTTTTGGAGGTGGGTGATGAATCACATGTGTGAGTGTGTGTGTCACAGGCAGTGATTCCTACCGCTGAGAGGACTGCAAACTTCCAGTTCGGGACGTTTCACTAGAACTAAAGCTAAAAGTGAAAAATGAACAAAAAATACCTCCTTAATCCAAAACTCGTGAGCTGTGTTGGTCCGAAGGGGACCTGTGGTCTGTTGTGTTCACAAGCTGAATGTATAATTATCACACGCAGCCCACAGTGCACATCATGTCTGATGTGTGTGTGTGTGTGTGTGTGTGTGTGCACGTGTTTGTGTCTCAGAGGGCGACAGAGCGTCTGTGCTCCGCACCACTAAAGTACGAACCAAGCTGAAGGGAGATGGCAGCTGGTTGCAGCGCAGCAGCGAGCCTCAGGCTGAGGCTCGGGAGGAGAAGCCGTGGTAAACAGCTACTTTAAATAGTTTTCTGTCCACCTCATCCGTTACACTTTCACTCGCTCCACCAGAGAAGACTAAACATCCCCTGCGTGTGCACGCAGGATGGCGGAGGTGAGGGCCGGCCGACTGAACGGAGCTGCCGTGGAGACCAGCCCAGTGTCCTCACCAACCAAACCCACACCCTCACCAGTACAGTCGGACAGTGAGAGGTAACGAGCTGTCACACACTCACCAGTCTTTTAAAGGCAATTTTACTGACACAAATCTGTGTTTGGATCTCACAGCAAAACCCCAACATCAGGGTTCTTAATCAGGTAGGAGAAACACTCACAGATCAGGATGTCAAACACAGTTTGTCAGCTAATTCTACCTTAAGATCCTTAATCTGAACACACACTACACAGAGCTTCATGTGCATGATGCTTCATAAATCTTTCAGAGGCGTTTTCACTAAACTAGACAAGTCTCCTTCGTCTCCGAAATCCAATGGCACAAGGTACAAATCAAGTTGTTGGTGTGTGTGAGAGAGATCATCGACATTCTGCTTCTTGAGTTAATTCTAGCTCCTTTTTTCATAACAGCAGCACAAAACGGTTCACTAAAAAACCCTCAGAGAGCTACAAGAAAATGTAAGCGTGTTCAGATTCCTTTTCAGCTAATCTGCAGCTGGAAATACATTTAGTCAGGGTTTGTGTTGGTTCTGCTCTGCAGAGCCCCCCACACTGTGAGGAGCACCGTGGAGGACGTGGAGGGCGAGCTCAGCCCCGAGGAGCAGGAGAGACGGTGAGAATCTTCCCACAGGAAGCAGACAGATGTTTTCCGGAAAAGAAAGAGAGAAGATATTAACACCACGATGCTTCGTTTTTTCGCAGAACGGAGGTAGCCAGTAGTGTTGTGAAGAGATCTGCTGGCAATAGACGGTCCTATGTTCTTTCTGCTGCCAAGAAATATGAGTATGCCTGTTTAGAGTCTTCATAATGTCTAACCTGCTTTTGTAAACATATTCTTTAGTAATAAGTGATTATCAAAGGTTGTTTGTGGTTTGAAAAACCCCAGGACCAAAGAGGCATCACCTGAGCCATCAGCAGTCGGGACTACGCCATCATTTCTGGCTAAAAGGTTTGTGTTAGTGTCTCTGAGCGGAAGAAGAAAACTCATTCAGATGTTTGTTTCTGTGGATCTCAGCATGTTTATCCGTGTTTCTATGAGCAGGGTGCAGATCACTGATGAAGAAGATGATGAGGAGGATGTTGCGACTCAAACACTTGCCAGCAGCGAGGCACCGCCTCTCGCTGTTGCTCCTGCATCTGCAGACTCCCCACCTGAACCCAAACTCAGAGAAGCGTAGGTCTTCTTCTGTGGTTTGAATTCAGAACATTTGTACCTGCTGGCTCTGTGGCTCTGGGCTCAGCTCCTTTTCTGTTTTGGGTTTCAGAATCAAAAACACCGTTAAGGCAGACGCTCAAGTGGCTGTAGCTGTGGCTCCAACGGTGGTGGAGAAACCCCCAGAACCGGTGAAGCAAGTCCTGGTTCCAGAGTCCAAAACAGATGTGAAGTCAGATTCAAGCCCTGTGGATGTCACCAAGTTTGTACAGACAAGTACAGAACCAGAACCAGAACCAGTGAATTCCAGTAGTTCGAAGCAGCTCAACACCCAACTAGCCAAACCTGTCTGTCCACCTGAAGCTCCAGTATCTCCTGCTCCAAAACCAGAAACTCCAGTTGAAAGTACCCCGGTGATGGCTGAACCAGAGCAGCCTCTGGATTCTGCTGATCAGAAACCTCCAGAACCTAAACGTCTCGCTATTCCCACAGTATTTTTAGCTCCGGTGGCCCAAATGTCTGACGTCAAACCCCCCACAGTACAGAAAGAAACTGTATCAGAACCCAAACCAGAACCAAAACCAGAACCAAGACCAGAACCTAAACCATCTCCAGTTCCTGTGACCCAAGTGTTTGATGTGAAAAACCTCACAGTGAAGACGGAACCAGTAACAGCACCAGAACCAGAACCCAAACCAGAACCAAGACCAGAACCTAAACCATCTCCAGTTCCTGTGACCCAAGTGTTTGATGTGAAAAACCTCACAGTGAAGACGGAACCAGTAACAGCACCAGAACCAGAACCCAAACCAGAACCCAAACCAGAACCTAAACTAGAACCCAAACCATCTCCAGTTCCTGTGACCCAAGTGTTTGATGTGAAAAACCTCACGGTGAAGACAGAACCAGTAACAGCACCAGAACCAGAACCCAAACCAGAACCTGAACCAGAATCTAAACCAGAACCTAAACGTCTCGCTATTCCCACAGTATTTTTAGCTCCGGTGGCCCAAATGTCTGACGTCAAACCCCCCACAGTACAGAAAGAAACTGTATCAGAACCCAAACCAGAACCAAAACCAGAACCAAGACCAGAACCTAAACCATCTCCAGCTCCTGTGACCCAAGTGTTTGATGTGAAAAACCTCACGGTGAAGACGGAACCAGTAACAGCACCAGAACCAGAACCCAAACCAGAACCCAAACCAGAACCTAAACTAGAACCCAAACCATCTCCAGTTCCTGTGACCCAAGTGTTTGATGTGAAAAACCTCACGGTGAAGACAGAACCAGTAACAGAACCAGAACCAAAACCAGAACCTAAACTAGAACCCAAACCATCTCCAGTTCCTGTGACCCAAGTGTTTGATGTGAAAAACCTCACGGTGAAGACAGAACCAGTAACAGCACCAGAACCAGAACCCAGACCAGAACCTGAACCAGAATCTAAACCAGAACCTAAACTAGAACCCAAACCATCTCCAGTCCCTGTGACCCAAGTGTTTGATGTGAAAAACCTCACGGTGAAGACGGAACCAGTAACAGCACCAGAACCAGAACCCAAACCAGAACCTGAACCAGAATCTAAACCAGAACCTAAACTAGAACCCAAACCATCTCCAGTTCCTGTGACCCAAGTGTTTGATGTGAAAAACCTCACGGTGAAGACAGAACCAGTAACAGCACCAGAACCAGAACCCAGACCAGAACCTGAACCAGAATCTAAACCAGAACCTAAACTAGAACCCAAACCATCTCCAGTCCCTGTGACCCAAGTGTTTGATGTGAAAAACCTCACGGTGAAGACAGAACCAGTAACAGCACCAGAACCAGAACCCAAACCAGAACCTAAACTAGAACCCAAACCATCTCCAGTTCCTGTGACCCAAGTGTTTGATGTGAAAAACCTCACGGTGAAGACGGAACCAGTAACAGCACCAGAACCAGAACCCAAACCAGAACCTGAACCAGAATCTAAACCAGAACCTAAACTAGAACCCAAACCATCTCCAGTCCCTGTGACCCAAGTGTTTGATGTGAAAAACCTCACGGTGAAGACAGAACCAGTAACAGCACCAGAACCAGAACCCAGATCAGAACCTGAACCAGAATCTAAACCAGAACCTAAACAAGAGCCCAAACCATCTCCAGTCCTTGCGACCCAAGTGTCTGATGTGAAAAACCTCACGGTGAAGACAGAACCAGTATCAGCACCAGGACCAAGGTCAGACTTCTAAGATCTGACTGTTTGTTCTTGTTGTACAGTGGTTGTTGTTGTTGTTATTATGAATTAAGGAATGTTTTCTTTACTATTAGGTGCACCATTTTAGTTGTTGTTTAAAACGTATTTTTGTGAATCTTAGAGAAAATGTTGTTTATTTCAGGAGTAGAAACTTTTATAATAATCATCATTTAAAGCATCACATACCTTCTCTTTGACCAAACTCAAAAAAATACTTCTAACTGAAATAAAGTTAGCCAGGTACTCTGAAAATGTTATGAACAATCAGTATCTCACCTGCTATTGACAGCTGTGCAAATGACCTGGTAGCCCTGCAGGAACAGAAGATACTTTCAAATAAATATTAATAATAAAAATGTTTTAAGCCTAGTCTTAAAAGTAGACAAGGTGTCTGCCTCACGGACTAAGGCTGAGAGCTGGTTCCACAAGAGAGGAGCCTGATAGCTAAAAGATCTGCCTCCCATCCTATTTTTTAGATATTCTGGGAACCACCAGTTAACCTGCAGTCTGAGAGCGAAGTGCTCGGTTAGGAACGTATGGAACAATCAGATCACTGATGTATGATGGAGCTTGATTATTAAGAGCTTTATATGTGAGAAGAAGTATCTTAAAACCTATTCTGAATTTAACAGGTAGCCAATGTAGGGAAGCTAAGACAGGAGAGATATGATCTCTATTTTTAATTCTCATCAGAACTCTAGCTGCAGCATTTTGGACAAGCTGAAGACTTTTAACTACATTCTGTGGACTTCCTGAGAGTAATGAATTACAGTAATCCAGTCTTGATGTAATAAATGCATGAACTAGTTTTTCAGCATCACTCCTGGAAAGGATGCTTCTAATCTTAACAATATTCCAAAGGTGGAATAAGGAAATCCTACAAACCCGTTTAATCTGGGATTTGAATGACATGTCCTGGTCAAAGATAACATCAAGGTTCCTTACTTTGTTCTCGGAGATTAATGTAATGCCATTCAGGTCAGGCGATTGGCTAAGCAATTTCCTTTTCTGGATTTCTGGTCCAAAGATGAGAACTTCCGTCTTGTCTTGATTTAAAAGCAGAAAGTTTTGAGTCATCCAATTTTTCATGCCTTTAAGACAAGCCTGTAATCTACCCAACCGATTAGGTTCATCAGGGTTAATGGATACATATAGCTGAGTATCGTCAGTATAACAGTGGAACTTTATCCCATCCAATCCAATCCAATCCAATTTTATTTATAAAGCGCATTCACAAGGCATTACAACCAAACAAGGCGCTGTACACTAAAAATGTTGGTTAATTAAACAGGCGTTATATAAACATGTCAACCACAGATAAAAGATAAAAAGGAAATACAACAAAATTCCCAAAAATAACAGCTAAAAATCATTATGACACAGGGTGAAGTAAAAATAGGAAAAAAAAACATTTTACAAAGAACCTTAATAATACGGAAGTCGATAATTGTGGAGTCAGTTTATAAACAGTGCAGATGTCAGTGAGGTTCATAATTATGTTGTATAAGCTAGGTTGAAGTAGTGAGTTTTCAGGCGTGATTTAAAAATGCTAGCTGTTGGTGCTTGCCTCACTAGCAGTGGTAATGCGTTCCACAGCTTCGGTGCACAGACAGAGAAAGCCCTCTCTCCACGGCTTTTTAAACGTGCATTGGGAACAGCTAGGAGGAGCTTATCTTCAGACCTGAGAGCACGCGGCGGGTTGTAGTAATGGACAAGTTCACACAGATATGGAGGAGCTTGATGGTTCAAGGATTTGTAAGTGAGAAGCATAATTTTGAAGTTTATCCTGAACTGCACGGGCAACCAGTGGAGAGATTTCAGAATTGGAGAAATGTGTTGTCTTCTGTCAGCTCCAGTCAGCAACCTAGCTGCTGAATTCTGGACCAGCTGAAGTCTAGAGAGAGCTGCTTTACTGATGCCATATAAGCAGGAGTTGGAGTAATCCAGCCTTGAGGTGATAAAAGTGTGGACCACCGATTTCAGAAGACGTACACTCAGGATGTGCTTTAGTTTTGAGATGTGTCTTAGTTGGTAAAAACATGATTTAACTGTGTTATTGACCTGGGCATCCATCTTCAGAGCCTGGTCCATTTTTACTCCAAGGTTGGAGATTACAGAGGATACATTAGGTGAGAGATAGTTGAGGTCAGGTTGTTGAGTTGCCGTGATACTGTTAGGACTGAAAACGATTAAGTCAGTTTTGGAGTCATTGAGATGGAGGAAGTTGTCAGCTAGCCATTGCTTGACCTCTAGGATACAATCAGACAGAACTTGCGTTGACTGAGTTGGCTTAAATGAAAAGTAGATTTGACAGTCGTCAGCGTAAAGATGGTATGAGACAGCGTGCTTTCTGAAAATGGCTCCTAAGGGCAGTATATAGAGTTTGAACAGTAACGGGCTGAGAATTGAACCTTGTGGGACACCCCAACGTAGAGGCTGTGACTCTGATGAACAGCCGTCCAACATGACCCTAGCAGACCTGTTACAAAAGTATGACCTAAACCAATCCAGGGCAGTGCCTGAAATGCCAGCCCAAGTGTGAAGTCTTGTGATCAAAATGTCATGATCGATCGTGTCGAATGCTGCAGATAGATCCAAAAGTACCAGAACCACATGGAAACCTGAATCTAAAGCCAGAAAAATGTCATTAAACACCCGAACGTGAGCAGTTTCAGTGCTGTGCTGTTGTCTAAAGCCAGACTGACAGGTGTCCATTACCTGATATTCATTTAGATGGTTCACCAACTGTGCATAGACTACTTTCTCAAGGACCTTAGATAAAAACGGTAATTTGGAAATTGGTCGTAGATTAGAGTAATCGGTGGGATCGAGGCCAGGTTTTTTCAAGATTGGTTGTAGAACTGCGTGTTTAAAGTCACGAGGAACTTCAGCCAATGTCAAGCTACAATTTATAATGCGTAGCACGTTATTGCTAATTAAAGGAAACACCTCTTTCAGGAGTCGAGGTGGGATAACATCATCTGGGGAGCCAGAGGGTTTCATGGCTGCAACAGTTTTTTCTAGACAGGCCAAGGAGATGGGCTGAAAGCTTTGAAGTTGCCCGTGAGAGGGGATAAATTTATCTGGAACATGGTTGGTTTGGTGAATCTGAGCTCTGATTACAGTAATCTTATTTAAGAAAAACTGCAGGATTTGGCTACACAAGTCAGCGGACACAGAGGAAAATAGATTTTGAACTGGGGAAAGCACTGCATTTATGGTTTTATATAACACACCTTGATTGTTTGAATTAGCCGTGACAATGCTGGCAAAAAATCGATTTCTCGCTCCGCTGACTACTTTTTGATACTGAGACCAAGCCTCTCTCATGGCCTCAAAGGATACAGTAAGCCTGTCTTTTATCCATTTACGTTCCAGTCTCCTGCAATTTCGTCTCATGGAACGAGTTTGTTCCTTCAGCCATGGGTCTGACTTGGATTTCTTTCGACTTGATTTTAATGGAGCGACAATATCCATAGCAGCCAGGCAGGATGAATCAAGCACATGAAGTGATCCCTCAACTACAGAAGACGCAATAGTAGAATCATATGGAGCTGCGTTCAGAGTAAGAACAGCGGCAAAATCTGCAGCAGTATTGGGTGTGATTACACGAGAGAAGCTGGGACGGAAATATTCAATACGAGGGGCATAGTCCAATTTCAAGTTAAACAAAACTGGTGAGTGATCAGAAAAAGTTGCAGGTAAAATGCCAAGATCACAAATTTCCAGCTCATGACAGAAAACCAGGTCAAGTGTGTGTGTATGACCATGTGTGGGGCCATTAACACGTTGGGAGAAACTAAAAGCTGTCTAATGATTTTACCAATTGGAAGCATATATATAGTAAAAAGAATTGGTCCAAGCACTGAACCCTGTGGTACTTCACAAGTAACCCTGGAGTATGAAGAAGATTTGTCATGTACATTTACAAAATGAAATCTGTCAGACAAGTAGGATTTAAACCAGCCTAACGCTGTTCCTTTGATCCCTACAACATGTTCAAGTCTTTCTAAAAGAACATTGTGATCAACTGTGTCAAAGGCAGCACTGAGATCTAACAAGACTAGAACAGACACAAGATTCTTATCTGAGGCCATGAGAATATCATTTGTAACTCTCACTAACGCAGTTTCAGTGCTGTGATACTCTCTAAAACCAGACTGAAATTCCTCAAACAGAGCATTAGTGTTTAAATGCTGACATACTTGGATGGCCACTATTTTCTCCAGGACCTTGGATAAAAATGGAAGGTTAGATATTGGTCTACAATTCATTGGGTCATCTGAATCCAGAGAACTTTTCTCAAGTAAAGGTTTGATTACAGCAACCTTAAAATCCTGTGGTACGTATCCGGATAGATTGATTATATCTAGAATGGGGGCAGTAACCAAAGGAAATGCTTCTTTAAATAATTTGGTTGGGATAGAGTCTACTGTGTCATGTGAAACTGATGGCAGGGCAAACATTTTAAAAACTGTTTTACCTTCAAGTTTAACTTTTCTCAAGTTGAAGATCTGAATACAGTTTTATTATGTTGCAGAAACAATTTTCTAAACGTTAGTGTTGTCTTTGTGCCCCCTTATTTCATGTTTGTGATTGAAAGCAGCCTCACATTCCATGTTTCTGCTGTGCATCTGTTTTCACAGCTCCACTGGTGACACGCTCGCTGCCCTGTCTGACACCCTCATCTTGTTTGACTCAAACTCATCCAGGTATTTCTAAAACAAACAAAAAATAAATGAAAGGAACAAGGCACAAAACAATATAAAACAACAATCTCTGTCAGAAGCATATTGCTGGATTTAAAACAATCGTGGCCTAATTGACGTTGAGGAATTACTTACTAACACAAATCTCAGCTGCCTTCAGCAACCTGTTCACTGGGGTGTCCCAAACTACATTTAATTAAATGTGGCTTAAAGATGTGTGATAAAGAGATACATGTCCTTTCATGCCAAAGCGGGCACATTAACAAGCTGAACATTGTGTTTTCTTTTTTCTTTGCAGAGCTGAACAGGAGCCAGCTCCACATCCAGCGCTCAGCACTGGTGAACCAATGACAGACGATCTCCTGGGTTTCGGTGACAGGTTTGTTAAAAATACTCTCTGATCTACCGATTGTGCAATTTTCATAAAAATAAATAGTTTGAGATTTTGTCCACAAGGTGGCAATGTGGGACCTCCTTTAAAATCTTCCTGATCCTCAAATGGCCTGTTGTAGCTTTGAAGCCTCCTCCTTTTGTTCAACTTTTGTCTTTTCATCTCTGCAGTCAGGAACAATCAGCAAAACCATTTACTCAAATTATTATTATTAATAATAATAATAATAATAATAATAATAATAATAATAATAATAATAACAATAATAATAATAATAATAATTATTATTATTATTATTATTATTATTATTATTATGTATCAAATAGATGAAACAATAAACTAGTTTAATGAGACATAAAGACAAAGCACTTCTGAATACATAGGTTTTGAGTCAAGAGTTAATAAGTGAAAGAGAGTTCAGATGTTGGGAGGGAGAACATTACAGAGGTTAGGGCCTGAGTGGCTGATAGCTGTGGACCCCATGGTGGACAGACAGGTGGATGAAACAGAAAGATGGATGGAGGAAGATCGGGGAGAATGAGTGAGGATCCTGATTTGTAACAGATTACTGAGGAAGGGATGAGTCAGCTTATGGATGGCCTTGAATTCAAGGAGAAGGATTATGTAGTTTATACCTAATTTTACCAGTCATGCAAGACGGGAGTGGTGTGTTTGGTGGGTGGAGTTCTGGAAGTGATCTGGACAGCCAAGTTATAACAGTAGGGAGTTACAGTAATCAAGACGGGAAGTGACGAACAAGAATGTCAACACTGTGACAGTTCTTTGTTTTCTCACCGTTCAGTTCAAGGACATTGTGAGAGAACCATGTTTTAAGTTCCTGAAGCTATTCAAAGGGGGGAAGTAGGAGGGAGAAAAGAAGTGGACTTGATAGAAAAGTAGAGCTGAGTTTCATTTGTATAGCAGAGGAAATTAACATTGCATTTGTAGGAAATATGGCCAAGTGGAAGGAGATAGATTACAAACAGAAGAGGCCCCAGGATAGAACCTTGGGGGACACCAGAATTTACAGTGGCGAACATTTTTAATGAATGATTTGAGTGTGGCTAGAGAGATATAATGCTGATACCTCTAGCCCAGGATGCTGGAGTCAGGATCTGCTTGGTGAATGAAGCAGGTATATTAAGGTCATTTCAGCCCCTAAGTCAAATACAGAGTTTAGAGAATTATAGCTTACTCATGAGAACATCTATGTTCCTTCGTTAGTAACAAGCAAGCATATCATTTTAACTGGGGTTCCAAATTTTTTTCCATTAACTACTTTGAGTTTGCTGCCTGCAAACAAAACCACCTGATATTAAACTAAAACTGGTGGTGTCCTGGACCTCCTGTCTGATGACATTGTGATAGATTCTGAGTCATGCAGGAGATAGCATTCCTTTTTCCGATTCGTAAGAATTTTTTTTCTTCTTTTTGTTTTTTTCTTCTTCCGTGATCCATGGCTGCACGGCACCAGCTGTCTGACAAATCAGCTGATACTTTGTAACTGAAAGCCGTGTTTTATCTGCACTGCCACTGGAAATACAAAATACTGGTTTGTAGTGATTAATATTTGGGTTTTTGTTTTGTCACCACCAGCCTTCACATGCCGCCAAAGATGGAGCTGATGGAGCAGACGCAGACGGATGAGACGGCTAAAGAAGCACAAAGGTAGAGGGGAGATGACAGGCTCCTCTTAAACAAGCATCTATCCGTGCAGGCGTTCCCTAAAAGAAATGAAAAAGGAAAATTCTGATATGCCTTGTAATGATTTATAGGAGCTCTGACTGAGACGCTGGTCCCACGGATTATTTCTGACAGAAAGTACCAGAAAGAAGGAATAAAAAAGCCTCCGCTGTATTCAGATGGTCTCAATCCGTAAACAGTTCAGTGGATTTCAAGCTTTCCTAATGGAGTCGCTCTGTGAATACTGTGTGAGAACATCAACACCAAACTTCACTTGCCCTGTCTCTTTTTTCTTCCCTCCAAGAGGACAATACAGATCCCAGGAGCTCACACATGACAACATCTGTCACTGACTCAACATAGCTGAGCTTTCTCATGCACTTGATGAAAATCCAAGTAGTGTGTAGAAACAGAAAGGCTAGCTCTAATCTGATGAAGTTGGTTTCTGTGGAAACAATTCATAATTTAATGACCTCATTCTGGAGAAATGAAGTTAGTTGTGAGCAGACAGGTGGGCCAACGGCTAGTCACGGTGAATAACAAATGAGGACAACGGTTCACATAAACACTCATTTATTGGCCCTAAAATTTATATTACAATACAGAATTTGGCTCTTTTCAGCAAAAACGAGAAGCAGCTGCTTCTTTTAGGAGTTTCATCCTATTTCTGTGGAGCGTGCTGAGGTTCATCACTGGTGAGGCACTGACTCCTCTGAAGTCGGATGTATGCTGTGTGGCAATTTTGCCTTCATTGAAATGTTTAGTTGTTTTAAATTTTCTTGATAGTACTTTAATTGTGTCCATACTGTTCAACAATGAAGTAAAATCCTTCCGTAATATTCGGTTATGACTGAAAATCCAGTTTAGAAAAATACATTGTAGCCGCAGCTGCCCTGGGGCGCACTGACAGAGGCGAGTCTGCCGTACGCAGGCGGCGTCGGTACTTCCGAACACCACCAGCAGGCTAGGTGGATTACGTGTTTTGCCCAAGGACACAACAACAGCGACAGACTGAGCAGGACTTGAACCTACAACCTTCTGATTACGGGGCGAGCAGCAAATATGCAAGTTGCTTTAAAAGTGCGATCCGTTTTATATTAGCTACAATCTAATATTTTTGCATTACATATTACTGTCTAAAAATAACTTACACTGCTTTCAGTTACTTTTTAGTTACTTTTGGCAAAACGTTTCACTTAGTTACTGTATGTAGCAGAATCCTTAAATACTAGAAGTGACCAAATTACAGTTCACACAAGACAACAAAATACTATATTTTCCTCAAACTTTTACTAGCTGCACCTTTGCAGCTGCTTAGTGAACATGACATGTTTTTTTTGCTGAAGTGCTTTATGAAAACAATCAGCAGTAGAAGTTTGAAAAACGGTTCACTAAATTACTCCTTTATTGACAAAAGGAATTCATTTCTGTAACTTGCTATTTTTGTAATGCAGTATCCTAACGGTGCATGTGTAATCAAACATGGGTATTGGCAACAAAAGGAGACAGCAAAGGGATGTGCTATGTGCCCGCACCAGTCAGGGCCTCACCTCACCCTTCTCTCATGTGTTTCAGCAGGAAATGTGTAAATCCAGGGACTTTGACCATAGCAGGAAACACATTACAGACCAGCAAAGTGGACAAATTGATTTTCTATTATCATTGTCAGTGTTTGACTTGTCCAAATGTCAGCCTCCCCTGGCTGCTTGTCTCAGATAATTCTGACAAAAATAAAAATGTATGGGGAGATTAACTGTGCAGTGGTTAGAGCTGTTGCCTTGCAGTAAGAAGGTCCTGGGTTTGTTTCCCGGCCTGGGATCTTTCTGCATGGAGTGTACATGTTCTCCCTGTGCATGCGTGGGTTCTCTCCGGGTACTCCGGCTTCCTCCCACAGTCCAAAACATGAGTGTTAGGTTGATTGGTCCGTCTAAATTGTGAGTGTGTGTGTGTGTGATTGTTTGGCCTGCGTGTCTCTGTGTTGCCCTGCGATGGACTGGCTCTCTGTCCAGGGTGTACCCCGCCTGATTGCCCATTGACCGCTGGAGATAGGCACCAGCCCCCCCACGACCCTACGTGGACAAGTGGGTTCAGAAAATGGATGGATGGATGGATGGATGGATGGGGAGATTCACAGCACTGTAAAAGTTTGTCATTCACATGTTTTTAGACTAAATTTAGTTTTTGAGTGCAGAATTACAGTTGGGCCTGGGTCTAGCTACCAAGTTACCTGTTCATAATCTTCCAACACAAACTCACTTCCTCTGAACTTTCCTTTTAGGTGCATACATCACTGAGTTTTAAATGAAGGATGGTGATTTATTGCATCTGTTATGGTTTAGTTTATGGACAAAGCAGCAGAATTACCTTTTTATTTAGTAAAGACTCTGATTGTGATTGAGTTTTAGCCCCGAGTTCCTCTCCCATCCTCTGTTTATCATTCCAACTGCATTAAATCTTTCCATTATGAGTCAATGCCATCAGGATTCCTTCGACACGCGATGGGCCACTCTGACAATTGAGAGTGAAATCAGTGTGAAATTGTTTTTCAGCTCGGCTGATCCGTTTGATCCGTATCCGATAGGGACTGCATCCCATAACAGGTAATCATATTGGTTTGAATCTTGTGACTGTTTTCCAGTCAGCCCAGATACCATCTCAGAATGCATAATGCAGCACTTACTGATTATTTCTGACTTTTCTCCCCTGCAGCCCCTCTGACCTGCTTCAGCCCCTCTCAGATACTTCCATCAACAGGTACGACAATGATGATGCAAATTCCACCCCACCTTCTACACCGTAATCTCTGTTTGCTGCACTGATACGGTCATGTTGCTACATAATGTCCTCAGTGCTACTTCGTCTGCTCATAATTCAACAATCCTTAAACACAAAACCTCATGAAATGTTGTTTCACGCTCCCTGATCTGATGTACAGTGATCCCTCGTTTATCGCGGTAGATGCGTTCCAGACCTGGCCGCAATAGGTGAAAATCCGCGAAGTAGGGACACCATATTTACAGTATTTATTTAACAGGTACGTATTCAGTATTCAGACTTTTAAAACCCTCCCTTTACATAGTACTGTATTTTTACTTGGTTTTTTTATAGTTTTATTACAAAAAGTGCATTTTATGATGAAATTGATGAAAAAAAAACCAGGAATTTCTTGATATTTCGCATAGAAAAATACTGCGAATCAGTGAAAAATACCGCGAATCGGGCGAATTTCCCTTGAATAAGGCTCCAAAGAAAAAATCCGCGAAGTCGTGAATCCACGATAAATGAACCGCGAAGTAGCGAGGGATCACTGTAGTAATACTAATGTATTACATCATTTATCACAACCACCCAAGAAGAACAGTACCTTGAGTCCAAAAATAGCGTTAGTTGATCTTTAATGACTTTGTGACTGGATTGTTGATTAATTTGTTAATATTTTGTTCACTTTGAACAAATAGTCAATAAAAGCTTCAATTAGTTCATTCACACACACACGCACGCGCACGCACGCACACACACACACACACACACACACACACACACACACACACACACACATACATACACACACACACACACACACACACACACACACACACACACACACACACACACACACACACACACACACCATCACCAACATCATGTAAAACAACCTGTTAAAGGAACTTTGCAAACACAATGGAACTTTTGGTCCGTGACACCCGGCAGCCCAGCTTTGGCTTTGCTTCCAGTTTGGCTGCTCCGAGTCGAGAACATGCGATTCGTGCACATAGAGGAGTATGTGCAGCGGGGTGAGAGACGTTGATGGATGGGCCATGAGCCAACCATTAAGATTGAGGCATGCACAATGATAGGATGCAGGTTTTTCCAGGATTGTAAGTGCTATTCATTCATTTATTTGACAAAACATTTCCTTTATTGGTTGCTAACGGTATGTGAAGAGCATTTCTAACCAACATGGTAAAAGAAGGTCCAGAACAAACAAAACATTCCACTCTACACCTTTAGATGTCTACAGATATTTCTGCTTATATTAACCATTTATTAAATAAAGGCCCATCAGACACACCGGAGCAGTGTTAGCCCAATGTCAAAGCAGAAAAAGCAGTTTAAAGTTTTCAAGTCCTTAAATGTTGATGAACAACTGTGAACCATCACCCACCCACCCCCACCCCCACCCCCTCACCCCAAATCATGCCAGTGGAAGAACAAGCAAAAGAAAGACAGTGCCGTTTCTTTTTAGCAGTTGACTGCCCAGATGTGAAAAAAGGGGCTTTGATCCTTTCCCCTGAATAAATCAAGGGTAACTCCAAACCTGATGCATCTTTATGTTAACTGAATCACACACTCCTTCCGGTCTCTGCTGGTGTGTCCAGCGGTACTGCTAATGTACTGTGATGCTTTTCCTCTCTGCAGGAACCAATGTGACTCAACCTCTGCATCTTCTCTTTCCTCACTCCTCTTCTTTTATTTTTAGCCTCAGCTCTCAGAAGTCCTGGAGACGCTCATGGGAAACACCTGAGCAGTCTAACGCAGTTCACAGGTGAGAACATGCTTTGATTCCCTTCTTACACGTGGCCACTGCGTGTTCTGTTGTTCTTCATTCATCTAGCCACCCATCCGTGTCCATTACCCACTAAAAGCCTTTCGGTGTTTGCAACCCTCTCAGGCAAGAAAACACTGGAGCAGAACCAGAAGAAACGGCTGAAGATCAGCAGACGATGATCATGTTTGAGAGAAAGTAAGTCATCTCTTTATTAAAAGCTCCAGGTGGCTCCCTTTATCCTCATAACCTCCATTTATTTCACTGCGGTGAAGTAACAAGACCCTTGCAGCATTTACTCTCTGACCTGGAAGGCATTGTGCACTAGTGCTGATGAAAATGGGTCAGATGTTTGTTACCCCTCTCACAAGGAGGGTAAACAGTCCTCCTGCCCTCTTTTAAACATGCTTCTTTTTCTCCCCAGGTCTACTGAAAAAGACTCCCCATGGGACAGATGGACCTCACCCACCATCTACACCATCAGCAAAGCTGGGGAAGAGGAGGATGAGGAGGAAGAGGAGGAAGAAGAAAGGTACCTTTATTAGGATGAAGGTTGTTAAAGTCACTTTTTATTGTCGGCAGCCTAAAAGTGGAAGATCCACATCTACTGATCATGGTTTTGAGGGTCGATACCAATTTCTGATTTTGTGCAACTTTGAATTTCTGATGCCAGTTTTGTCCACACATATTTTACTTAGAAAAATGTACTGAACACACACACTGGTTTCTGGTCAGGTCCCTGCTTACTTTAGGAACGCTGTAATCCACCCGCTTCTTAAAAAAACGAGTCTCGACTCCTCTCTCCATAGCAGCTTCAGACCCATCTCTAAACTTCCGTTCATCTCCAAGATCTTGGAAAAGGTTGTGGCTAAACAACTCACAGCTGCTCTTGATGAACATGACATCTATGATAGCTTCCAGTCAGGTTTTCATAGAGCTCATTCTACTGAAACAGCTCTTCTTAGGGTCTCTAATAACCTTCTGACTCACAGTGATGCAGGGGACTGTTCTGTTCTGGTCCTGTTGGACCTGACTGCAGCCTTTGACACTGTTGACCATCACCTGCTACTGGAGAGACTGGGTAGGCCTATCAGGATCTGCTCTGGAGTGGTTCTCCTCTTATCTTTCTGAGCGCTCCTTCTATGTGGCCGTCTCCAAGTTTAGGTCCTCCACCACCTCTCTTACCCATGGTGTCCCACAAGGTTCTGTGCTGGGGCCTCTGCTCTTCCTCCTCTTTCTGCTTCCTCTTCAGCACATCCTGAGCTCCTTCAAAGGAATCTCCTACCATCTTTATGCAGATGACATCCAACTGTACATCTCCTTTAAGCCCCATGAGATGTCTAAGCTGCAGCTGTTACACACCTGCTTAGACTCTATCAAAACCTGGATGGCTGGGAGCTTTCTACAGCTGAATGAAGATAAGACTGAGATCCTCATCTGTGCTCAGACAAGCTGGTTCCCAAAGTCAGAGACTCTCTTGGTCAGCTTGCTTCCCACACCAAACCTTCCGTCAGGAATCTTGGCGTGACCTTTGACCCGGCTCTCACCCTGGATTCTCATGTCAGTTCTCTTGTTCGCTCTTCCTTCTTCCATCTCAGGAACATTGCTAAGCTGAGTCCCATTCTGTCCCGCTCTGAACTTGAGACAGTTATCCACACCTTCATCTCCTCACGCTTAGACTACTGTAACTCTCTTTTCACATGTCTGAGCAGAACCTCCCTGAACCGTCTACAGGTGGTTCAGAATGCCTGTGCTCGGGTTAAGACTAAGTCCTCCAAACACACCCACATCACTCTGCTTTTCCTCCAGCTTCACTGGCTGCCAGTCAACTTCAGGGTTCATTTCAAGATCCTGGTTCTGGTGTATAGGGCCTTACATTGACAAGCACCATCTTACATTGGTGATCTTCTTAGTCCCTACACCCCCAGCAGGTCCCTGAGGTCCAGTGATCAAAGCCTACTGGTTGTGCAGCACCAGGCTAAAGACCAAAGGTAACAGATCATTTGATGCTGTGGCCCCCAGACTCTGGAACTCTCTCCCTCTGAGCCTGAGATCAGTGGACTCAGTGGTCTCCTTTAAAAAGCAGCTGAAGAGTCACTTGTTCAAGCTGGCTTTTGTATGACCTTCTTCACCACTCTCTCTTTATTCTGCTCTCCCCACCTGTTCAACCTTCCTCAGGATCCACTGATTACCCTCTTTCCTAGTCATTCTCTGTCTTTCTTAACATTTTTTTAATCACAATTGTCTATTTTTGCTCATTTTAAATATATTTTAACCATTTTCTAAATTATTTTTTATATTTTTTGTTTTTGTGAAGCGCCTCGTAATTTTTATCTTGAGGGGTGCTATAGAAATGATATTTTCTTCTTTCTTCTTTCCACACACACACACACACACACACACACACACACACACACACACACACACACACACACACACACACACACACACACACACACACACACACGTTATTATTAGTTTAGAATTTTGGATTCTGGAAGTAAAAATGTCCACTCGGAAGATCTGCTAGAGCTTGTTGCCCTTAGCAACAAACCATGGACCAAGAAGAATGTTGAATTTTTTACATTTATTGTTGCTTGGCATTGATGCATTCATGATTAGAAAAAAATAAACATGACTGTGTGTGTGTTTGTGTGTGTTAGCAAAATATCTCATGAGTCATAGATTACATTTCAAAGACTCTCCCAGAAAGTAATGGCGGGATGTAAATCTGCAACGTGTCAACCCAGTTAAAGATGGCGAGCACTGCCAATCATACTGATCTAACACAAATACATCTATAACTCAGGCTAGGTAGCCTGCAGTTATTCACAGCCTATACTCTGAGTGCTATGACATCACACTATTTAGTCAGTGAATGCCAGACCTTTAATCATTACAAGTGAATGACAGCATCAACTCAACTCCCAACAAGTCTTTTTCTAACATGCAAATGAGTTGAAACCTTTTGTGAAGGTTGTACATGTTGCAGTGTCCCACTTTTAACCCTACCCCTGTAACATCTTGTGTTCTGCAGCCCAGAGGACAACGAAACAGTCACCGTCACAACCACCACCACCATCAGGTTGAGAAAAGCTTCCTTAAATCTTTTGTGATTTTATGATGAAAACGTGGAAATTAGAAGAACTTGGAGGGTTGTACAGTAACTCTTGGAGGAAAGAGGTTGGGCGGGTGCTGCAGCACAGCAGAAAAAACATCCAGACCCTGAGGAGCAGATATCTTCTGTACTGGGTTACATTCAGATACACTGACAGCTGTGGTTTACAATAAAAGTCTAATAGAGTTTTCTTTATTTTCCAGGGAGATGAGAACTGAGCCCGAGCCCACTACGGATCGGTGAGTTTATGATCGTGTTAGATGGCATTAACGCCAGAAGCCTTTCTCCAGTCTTTTTGTTTGCTGGGTTCTTTCCTTAATAAAGGAACTCCTCTCAACTGGAGCCTTTAGTCTTTTATGACTCAATAAATTCCACTGCAATGGGGCTTAATCTACTGTACCTTGGAGTTATTGAGCTGAATAAGTGTTTGATGGAAAGAAAATTGATTTAAAATTAAGCATCTCAAATGTGGCCGAGTGAGTCTGCTGTCCACTTTGTCTGCCAGACTTGTTCTAGTTACAGGAATTGAGCCCAAACCACACAGGATGCACAGGTACCTGCAGCTCCAGCTTCAACACACCCACAACACAACTCCATTAGCTAAGCTAAATGACAAGATCAGCTCTCCTTTTATCTTTCAATTTGCCCTCATTTCCCTCCTCGTAATTACCAGCCTCCAGATGTCAGATTGATGATGTGCATTAGAGATGCCCTTCCGTCAGACCACACCGCTCCAAAAGTCTGCTTTTAACAAGCAGCAGCAGAGAATGCAGACCCTCTCGTGTGACGGGTCCATCAGACCGCTGTCGTCATCACGTGAACCACGAGACTGATGCTGGTGCGTTCTGTCTGCAGATCTGTGACCAGGACCAGGGTGGTAGAGGAGCAGCGGGCCCCCACGCCTGAACCCGAAACCAAGAAGTGAGCAGGTTTAATCTCAAATCTCAGCCGATAAAGCGTTTATGATGAGAATATATTAACTCACTCTTTTTCTGAAAGGAGTTTTGTTTACGTGAAAGAGTATGTCAACGCGACAGAGCTGTCCTTGCATAACACCAAGGACATGATGGAAAGGTAAGGTTAATTCACTATTAAACACTCTGGACTAATGTTGATCTGATTTAGAGATTTTGATTTGGTTTTCATCACAGGCCAGACGCTGTTACGTTTACCTCCATCGGCTACTCCTTCAGCAGCCCCTCCAGGTAGATCCTCTTTGGCCCTTTAAAGCCAAAAGATGGGCAGAAAACGTTATTTTATCTGTTGATCAGTTAATAATAGTCATGCTCTGGAGTCGCACACTTCTAGGTGTTTTCAGTTCCCCAAGCAATAGTAGGATCTCAGGAACATGCTAAAATATTTAATATAATTTGTATCTGTGAATTTAAAAATAAAAAGCACACAAAAAAGAAAGTAAGTCTACTTTAATTAGAACAACAGATTCAGGTTAAATGGAATTAAATATTAAGACCCCTGTGAGGACAGAGCTTCTGAGGAGGACATAATAATAATAATAATAATAATAATAATAATAATAATAATAATAATAATAATAGCATTATTTGAAAACATTATTTTAATAAAATGTGTGTTTATTGTTGAGCAAGAAAAAAAAGAAGTTTCACATTAAAATCTTTGTTTTTAAAAACTAACAAATCTAAGCTGCTCAAAAGTACTTTTACTTCAGTGAGGCTAATGGTTTGGACACTACTGATGACTCTTAGGATTAAATATAGCAGAATTCAGAGGATGGTACTAATCCTGGTCAAGAAGTACAGCTTTTAGTTATTCATCACAATACACAAGATTTAGTGTTAATTTACTAATATCAATAATATGAGTTTGTCGGCATGGAGAAGAGGAATTATCCCTCCTTTACTGCTTTTCTCTCCTAAAACACTAGTTCACATTTCGCCACAGGTTTCTCTCAGCTCTGTTTTAAACACTCAAAACCCTTTAAAATGTCTAACTTCAGCAACGTCCCCAGCCCTGTGAAACCGTAGTGGACATGATTCATATTGTCCAGCAGAGTTTCCTGTACTGAAGTGAGGTTTTCACCTCTGTGCAGCCGGCTGGGGTGTTTCTGTTGGCTGGTCTTTATTCAGACAAGCCTGTCTTCCCTGATCTTGTTTCAACAGTGTCACATTATTTGACATCAACCTCTTCATTACCTTTAGATAACTTCATCCTCACAGTGAAGCCACTCCCTAAACCTGCATTAAAGCAGCTGTAAGTCCGAGTCCCAATCTCCTCCTGCTCCCTTATCTCCAGTCAGACGTGGAAGCAGCAGGACGTTCGCTCATTCAGCCATTAGGAGGCTAAGCAGGGACATCAAAGGATTATTTACACATATTACATTTCACCCCACACACACGCGCACACACACACTCTCTGTTTCTGTGACATTAGAGCAACTCAAGACTTCGTAATGTTTTCTTCTCCTGCAGAGTCTCGCTGTCGTCCACCTGTACATACTGTGGAAGTCAGGTGGGCAACGATGCCAAGATCACCATTGAGCACCTGAACATCAACTGCCATCCCGAATGCTTCAAGGTAAAATGTTTGAATAATTGCCAAATACGTCTTTCAGCACCACTTTACTATATTTCACAGTGCAGATCGGTGTCGTTTACCTGTGACACTTCCTGATAACAACTTTAAAATTTCAGTGTGAAATGTGCCGTAAGCCAATAGGAGACCTTCTCGACAGCATGTTCATCCATCGTGGGAAGATCCACTGTGAAAGCTGCTACTCCATCCTCTAGTGACACCCAGAGCTCTTCAGTAGCTTCCTGTCTTCGTTCTCTTCATGTTTGCATCCAAACTGAGCTGGTTTTGAACTAAGTTTGTTTTATACTAAGGTGATCCAACGGATTACAGGATTACTTCATGTTTTATTAGGTCACATTTGCAGGGGCGTGTCCAGGGAGTGGCCTGGGGTAGCACATGCCACCCTTAGAATCTGATTGGCCACCCCAGGTGCCACCCTAAGTTCCAGTTTAAATTGACTTTACATTGTCGACAAAAGGCTTGAGTTGTAAGCTCCAAAAATGGTGTGTGGTAGCATGCACCTTTAACATTGTCTTCTAGCCCAGGCCTACAGAACATTTCTGTAGTATTAATATTATTTATTATTTTTTCATATTCACATAAATAGTATTTAGAGTCCCACTCAACTCCAATTGGTGGCAATAATGCAACAAGAAGTGACTTGCTAACCACCACAAAACTAGAGGATGAAGAGAAAAAAATGGTGATTGTGCAATGTGAAACTCCAAAGTTCACTAGAAAGCAAATAAATAAATAAACGATTTGTGTAAATAAAGAAATAAGAAAAACCATTGGTGCCACCCATGCATAAACAAGTGCCCCACATGGGCCACCCCATTTTAAAAGTCCTGGACACGGCTCTGCACATGTGTAATGCTTGAAATTTGTATTTTGTGGTGGTGAAATCTGTTTCTGCCTCCGTGAACAATGAAGGATCTGTCTCATAAACAAGAGGCACTCTGGAAAAGTGGGATTTATTTTTATAAATTGGCACCAAAACTGTTAAAAACATTTTGTTCCTTTGCTTGTTACAAAAGAGTGTTCACATGTAAACGGCTTTGTTAACAAAATAAACTGATTGATAAAATCCTCATGGAAAGGTCATAAAAAGTAGAGTTCTTCTTTTGGACATATATTAAGACAGGAAGGTAAAAAAAAAAAACAGGACGCCCCCTGGTGGCTGGATGCACTACAGGTTTTAAATTCCACCTGATTAAAAACAAATATACACCTAAAGTAATTTTTTCCAGGTGTTGACTCTAGATGGTTTATAGCTCTTACTTCACTGCTGAATGCTCCAGTACAACACGATTGTGCACAATCTCATTCTAAACACAGCACGGCAGCACCAGGAAGTAGGTAGAGACACTGGTCCAGTTAGATGCCTTCAGTTTTTGCTTTTCCATCCAGTTTGTCAGACGTTTCCGCAAACTTCAAAGAAAATATGAGTAAATACAAAATGTGATTTTCAGAAAAATTAATTCACTAAAAACATCATCTAAATCCTAAAGAGAGGATATGAGGAATGCTAAAACAAATATTTTTGGAAGACATCTGTGGATTGATGAGACAAAGATGGACCTTTCTGGTGTGTCTCGTCACATTTAGGGGTAAAACTAACCCTGAACTTCAGAGAGAAACCTTCAGAGCAACAGTTCAACATGGTGGTGGCAGTGTGATGGTCTGGGGCTGCTTTGCTGCTACAGGACATAAATGGAACCATGAATTCTGCTCTCTAACCCATAATTATGCAGGAGTGTCTGACCTTTGACCCAAAACAGACTGGTCATGCTGGAAAAGCCTCCAGTGCAACGACGAGTGGGACAAAATCCCTCCAGTGATGTGAGAGGCCCATCATCACCAGCCAGGAGTGTTACCGATGTGAAATATTCAGTAACACAAAAGAAAAGACAGAAGAAATCTGTAAGGTGGAGCATATTTGATCAGTAGGTTCTCGCTACTTCTCGGAAAACATATTAGAACGATCACTGCAGTCTCAAGCGGTTATGTGAAAAGCAGGAAGAATGAGTCATTGCACATACAGATGTGAGTGTGATGCAGCAAAGAAGTGAGTAACATCTCGAAGAATCAAACATAAACACCAGAGCAGAGCTGCTGCTGAGGCTTGCAGCCTTTTCCCCACAGGGAGGCTGCTTTCCATTTCTCCTTTTTCTAAAATAATATTTTCCTCCACACAGTTGCCTCAAGTGGTCGACATAAATGCGACTTTTGCCAATGACCATCAGCCACCTGCTGAGTAAGGAGATGATGGCAGTCCACTGGCTACTGTCCTGATGCTCTTCACACACAGTTAGGCACATCTCCTAGAGAGCACGAGTCTTTGGCTCAGCTCCAGTCCGCGGGAAAGCTGCTTCCCATGAGCATTTGCCTCTGGAACATCTGCACTGTTTGCATTTATTACACCTCAAAGAAAGAAAAAAAAAGGAATGTTTTAGTGGAAATCTTCTAAAACCCGATCTTCTTAATCACCGCTAAAAACAAAAAGGATTTTCACGAGTGAAGCAGTTCTGGCTCAGGAGTGATGCTTGTTCATCTGGACGTGCTCCATCCTCTGGTGGCCTGTGTCAGTGTTTCCCTCTGGCTCTGCTCACCGCGATGTTCTGCATGTGCTTCCACAGCAGAGAGGGGTCCGACTCGTTGTGTCTTATCAGAGACTCCAGCCCCTCAGCTTGGTCCAGGCTCTGCCAGTAATCCTGAGGCCATATTTGCAGCCATCTGTGGAAAGATGGGCAAACACATTAGGCTCGTCGGGGAGGACGTTTTAATTAGACAATAAACACTGATTTATCTTCTCCTTCACGTCAAAGGTGAAAGGAGGCTGTTTCACACGTGGGGGGTGAATCATTTCTTACAAACTCACCCGTCGTCTGCGGGCAAGTCTCTGACGTCTCCGTAACCCGCGCTGGGCAGAGGGCAGCCCATGTGAGAGTTACTGGCCATTTTAGGCTGAGGGGCCCGATTTGTCTTGGGGGCTTTCCTGTACGCTCTCTCTGCAGCCAGCCGGGCGTTCTCCTGGTCACAGACGTAACATTCAAACCCATTTAAGTAGTTGGGTTTACTCATGTCATTAACGCCCCACTCACGGGTCTCCAGTGCCTCCAGCAGACGAGCGTTTGTGATGCTCCTGTGGTTTTTAAACTCTAGATATCGAGCATAATCATCATCATTCTCATCCAGATGCTTGAGAAAGTCGGCGAGGACTTTGGGTGAGGGGAACTCGTCTATAATTATCACAGAGTGGTCGTTGGGCATCCAGTCGGCCACCGCAGAGGAGCCTCGATAGATGGGCACGCAGCCCTGATGGAGGGGCCGCCAAAGCTTCTCAGTCATGTAGTCTGGACACAGGCCGTTCTCCAGTGCCAGGTGGAACTTGTAGCGCGCAACAAAATTCATGAAGCCGGGCTCTTCGCCAGTAGCTGTGGCCGTGTCCTCCAGATGATCCGGTAGAGGCTTGTTGTTCAAGCATTTCCCGTAAGAGTCCACCTACAGAGAGTGACATGATGGACGAGAAGAGGAATATCGGGCTGTTAGTTCTGATAAAACTCGTAACCCTCCCACTGTCCTAATGGGTGTGACCCCGCGAGGAAAGTTGACCATTGAGCAGGGTTGATGGTCTATCCCTTGGGTCCACGTGGCAGGGGTGAGGAGTGAGCACCACCTCACCCCTGCCACGTGGACCTCAAGGGATAAACCATCCATCCTGCTCTCGGGGTCACCCATAAAGACAGTGGGAGGTTTATATGTTAATGTCCACTTTACACATGCGTTTACAGTCAGATATCCGACTTATTTCTGCTGCTGATCATGCAGACACAAACGAAGCCTTTTCCACCTGAAGGCAGAAAACAAATCTCTCCTGGTTCAGATGTAGCACTTTATACTGACTCATATCAGTGGATAACACAAACTAAAAAGGCCCTTCTTTCACACCAAATCAATCAAAACTGTCAAATTCATCACACAATTCAGACGGCATCATCTGCAACTTGAACTGATCTGTCAAATCCTCACTCCAGTGGACGCAGCATCTCATCTTTAAGTCTGAATAGACTAATAAATGTCCTGCAGATATTCCTGTGTTCAATCCCCAGATGGATTTTCACAAATAGCCCCGTAAGCCTGTAGCATTTACAGAGTAACAGCTGCAAGCATATGGTGTGTGTGTGTGGGTTTAAGTGAAGACTGGAATCAGTGTTATAGCACAACTATTAAAGAATAAACAGGAAGTGAAAATGGCGGTACAATCCAAATGGATGCGGACTGCAAAACTGGAGTAAAAACAAAAATGACAACAACTGACTGCATTTTATACCATCTATTATATTTAATCATGGAAAAAACTACATCAGTAGTATCTGTAATTACTGCATTGCCTTCAGCATTATAACTGTGTTAGTGCGTTTTAAAATAGGCGTGTGCAGGGAACTGAGTTTCTATTTTAATTCTAAATCTGACTCCAAACACTAAGAAACATGCTTTGATTTTGTCAAGCATGCTCAACGTTCTCTGCTGAAGGTTCTGTTGTGGGTCGTGTGTTTTAATCAGTCGGTGAACGTGAAGATGGCAGAATGACAGCAAAACACACTGGCCGCAATAGATGTGCATCAGAAATATGCTTCTATTGGTTTCAGTTATGAGTGAGTAGTAAGTGATATTTTTTCATATGGTTCTATTCAGAAGTCTGCTAGAACTTAAGGGCTTCTGTAGCAGCTTGTGCTGTCTGTCCAGGTTTTTACGTGGCTTATTGATCAAGGAGAGAATGAAGTTTGATTAGTTAGTGTCGATTTGGGCTTTAAACGAAGGCCTGGGAGTTACAAAAATATTTCTTTGCTCTATTTTGCCAACTTTTCAGTACCTGTTTTGTTGTGGTTCCTAGCATACCAAGTCCTTCTGAAAATGCATCATCAGAGACCGACAGACACTGATTGGCTAGGGGTGGAGTCACTGGTTGCTCCACAGTTTTCTGCCTGCAGCTGTTTCCTGGTTCAGAGCCTGACAACAAGCCAGCGATTGAGCAGAAAGTGCAACTTCACCGCCATTTATGTGCTGTGGTGTGTTCCGGTAAGGAGCAAGAGTCAAGATGGCGTTAGTGTTGCCGTCTGTCAGCTCCTCTACTTTTTGTATTTTTGTTGTTTTAAGCCTGTGTGTTACAACCTGCTCACCCGAGATTGGTGAATGATCGTCATACGCTATTTAAAATAGGTTTTTCGGTACCGTCTGAAGCTGTTGAGTGCCGGAATACTTCCTCTCTCCTCTACCTGGATGGCCTTTCGGCATGCTGGGAAACACCGCCATTCACGCACTCTACTAGGAGGAAACATAGGCGGAGAGGCTGTTGGGGTGGACGGCTAGTCAAGCTGAAAGCATTGAAGCTTGCTTTTCTGGTGGTTCACAAGTGGTCTTGTGTTCGTCCACTCGGTTCCTGGCGCCGTGGCGTGTGGAGGACCCGGTGGCTCGTTCCTGTTGCTGGCTGTTCATGGGAGTATGGTAAGCGCTCCCCACCCTTTCGGAGATTCAGTCGGAGACGAGCCGATCTGAGGAATCTCCAATCATTGACTAGAGCTTCTTCCACCATCAACAGTTCTGAAGTATTCTTAAGGTGGGGCCTGGTTAATGCTAGGTCTGTGGCTAACAAAACATTCAGTGTGAATGAATTTTTTACAACGCATGTTCTTGACATCCTCTGTGTGACGGAGTCATAGATTCTTCCTGGTGAGTCAGCTGTTTTTAATGAACTGATCCCAGCTGACTGTGCTTTTATTAATGTGCCGAGGACCACTAAACGTGGCGGTGGATTGGTGGTTATTTATAAAGCTAATCTGAAGATGAAACACTTGCAGTCCTGGTCTCCTAATACCAGTTTTGAACTGTGCTTATTTGAACTTGGTCATCTGCAACTAATCCTCTGTGCTGTAGTATATAGACCCCCAAAATACAATAAGGATTTTTTGCCGGAGTTTTCAGAAGTCCTAGCAAACTGGGCTGCGAGATACGAGCGGATATTGCTACTGGGAGACTTTAATATTCATATCTGCTGCCCCGGAAAACCTTTAGTCTCTGATTTTATCAACCTTGTGAACTCTTTGACTTTTACGCAGTGGGTTAATGGGGCCACACAGGAATGTGGCCACACACTGGATCTTGTGTTATCACTGGGGTGTTCAGTAGATAATCTGACTATTAAGGATGCAGTTTTTTCAGACCATAATCCAATATTATTTCAGACTACTCTGCATAGCAATTTGCTGGCACCTGTTGCCCCCAGTAGGTATAGTCGTCATGTGAACTCTTGACACTGCAACTCAATTCACTTTGCTGTTTGAACAAGCCTTCTTTGATTTATCAGACGAGTCCTCACTGGATGGATTGCTTACTTGTTTTAATGAGACCTGTGAGGCTATCCTTAACACTGTTGCGCCGTTAAGGCCAAGGAGGGGAAAGCGTACGGTAAATTTATGTTCGACAGATGCTACTCGTGCCGCAAGAAGAACATGTAGAAGATACGAGAGACAGTGGAAGAAGGATAATCTGCATGTTTACCTAATTGCTCTACGTGACAGTTGGAAATTTTACCAAGAGGCAGTTAGATCTGCGAAATTTGCATATTATTCCAATCTCATTTCTTTAAACTCAAATAACCTCTGAGTACATTATACAGCAATTAACTCAGTTCTGAAATTAAATGACCATCATGTGGTGCAGGCTTCAGTTAAAATGTGTGATGAGTTCCGTGACTTTTTTATTGGGAAAGTTGCTGCGCTCCGGGCTACCATGTCTAGGGCACCGGTATGTAGCGGTTCTGTTACTGCCACCAGAGGTTTGGTAGCATTTCAACCAATTAGTCTAGATGATTTGATCAAGATCGCTGGGAAGGCTAAGCCGAGCGGCTCGCCAGATGACGTGATGCCTACGCGCCTCTTTAAGAAGTCTTTCTAGTAGTCGCCCCTTTAATATTGCACATAATTAACATGAGTTTCAGTTCTGGTACAGTCCCTGACGATTTCAAAAAGGCGGTTATTCAACCTTTGCTCAAAAAGCCTGGACTGGATGCTTCGCTGGCTGCAAACTACAGGCCCATTTCTAAACTTCCATTCTTAAGTAAGGTACTAGAGAAATGTGTTTACCACCAGCTCTTGGTTTTTATGGATGAGAATGCCATTTTTGAGACTTCCCAGTCTGGCTTCAGAGCTCTACACAGCAATAAGACTGCACTGGTTAGAGTGCTAAATGACATTTATCTAGCCACTGATAGCGGCAGTTCTGTGTTGTTACTTCTGCTGGACCTCACGGCAGCCATTGACACAATAGACCATGAAGTGCTGTTTCACCGTCTACATCATTATGTCGGGATTTCTGGGTTAGCCCTGGATTGGTTCAGATCATACCTGACAAATAGAAAAATGTGTGTAAGGATGGGAAGTTATTCCTCAGAGTACTCTGATCTACCCTGGGGGTACCACAGGGCTCGATATTGGGTCCTCTGTTGTTTTCTCGTTACATTCTGCCCTTAGGTGACATCTGTCGTAAGCTTGGAGTTTACTTCCACCTATATGCTGACGATTGTCAGCTGTACCTGCCTCTGAACACGTCAAGTGGTCTCTCTATTTCTATTCTTATGAACTGTTTGAGGGAGACCAAGACCTGGATGAGTGTAAAGCCTAAATGATCAACAAACAGAGGCTATATTGTTTGCTCCAAGCATACATTGTGACTCTTCCCTAACTGAATGTGGGTCATTTAATGGCCAGCTGAAAACATCGGTGACTAATCTTGGTGTTAAACTGGATAGCACCCTTAGTTTTGACACCCACATCAATGGAGTGATCTCCTCCTCCTTTTTCCACCTTCGTCAGCTGGCAAAGATCACACCATTTTTGTCACGACATGATCTTGAGACGGTAGTCCATGCTTTTATTACGGTGTGATTGGACTACTGTAACTGTTTTATTCGGTGTGAGCAAGGGCTCAATAGCCAGGTTGCAAATGGTGCAGAATGCTGCTGCCAGATTTTTAGAGGGCAGGTGCAAGTATGACCACATTACTCCTGTCCTGGCTGCGCTTCATTGGCTGCCCAATGATGTAAGGATTCGTTTTAAAATACTTTTGCTGGCTTTTAAAACGTTAAATGGTTTGGCCCCTCCTTACTTGATGTCACTGCTTCAACCGTACACCCCCGCACGGTCTCTCTGTTCGGAGAACCTCATGCTCCTCTCGGTCCCAAGAACGCGCCTAAAGACACGTGGTGATAGGGTCTTTGCTGTGGCAGGTCCTAATCTTTGGAACGAGCTTCCTCTCAGCATAAGGGCCTCCACCTCTGCTGCGGTTTTTAAGGCAAGGCTAAAAACCTACTTTTATGATTCGTCTTTTAACGTTTTTATTGTTTTACTTATAGTGATTTGTGCACTCACTGTATTTTTATCTGTATCCTGTGATACAATGTTTTTATTTTCTGGATTTAATGTTTTATGTTTTTACTTGATCTGTGTAGCGCCTTGGTGGCATCTTTCTGCCTGTAAGGCGCGATTTATAAATAAAGTTGAGTTGAGTTGAGTGATGAAGTAACTAGCCTCAGTGGCAGCTGCTTTGTTACATTGCTATGTGTAAGTCACGGTTAACAAAAACGAACATTTTATATAGGCTACAAACAGGGTATCTGCAGGTTTAAGGGAGCCAAATTTAAGACTTTTTAAGACCTTTTTAAAGCCACTTTGACCAAATTTAAGCTATTTTCTTTAATTAAATTTTAACTATAATTTCCAGCTATTGCCTGGAACCGGTGCTAACCACGTTGCGAAAGTGGGATTAGCCATCCAGTTACCATAAAAGTTGCAAGTCCCCATGGCGCAATCTCCCACTAGCTTAAACAGCAAATGTGCTCATCTAAAAAAAAAACCTTTCATAACCAACTGAATGTGTATGGTTCCGCTTACGCCAACATCGTACACAAAAAATGCTGAACACTAAATAGAAATTCATGAAAATTGAAATAAAATAATCTTGTTTATTGGTTCTTTGGTAATTTAAGACCTTTGGAAACTGTATTTAATGATTATTAGTAATTTTTAAGGATTTTTAAGGCCTTAAATTTGGAAAAGCAAATTTAAGACTTTTTAAGACTTTTTAAGGACCCGCGGATACCCTGTACAAAGGTTTTTATCAATTCTAGTGTGATAAACAGTAATTTTAAACACCACTAGACAGAACTTTGCCATCGGGCTGCAAGGTGGCACAGTTGTTGGCACTGTTACCTCACAGCAAAAAGGCTGCAGGCTCAACTCAGCTGCAGTCTCTTTTGTGAGGAGTTTGCATGTTTGTGTTTTCTCCGGATTTTCCGGTTTCCGAGCCACAGGCCAAAATCAGACAGGTTAATCACAGCATACACCAAAAAAGCTGAGGTGTGACCAAGTCATTGCTTTGCAAGTCACAAGTCTTTCCAGTCAAGTTTTCATTCAAGTCCAAGTCAAAGACAACCAAGTCCAAGTCGAGTCCAAAGTCAATGATATGGAAGTCTAAGTCAAGTCCAAGTCCTTAACTTTAAATTTTCAAGTCATAATAGAGTGATCTGTCCAACTTCAGTTTAATGGCAATGATAATAAATACATTCCAGAAATAAAGCTTCTTAACGCTTCATTTGTTTGCTCCAACAAGCAGGAAGTGCTGCAGCATTTAGCAGTACAAGATCACACCCAGAACGAAGAATTATGTATGATTTTTGTCCACGTCGTGCCACTTTTGTGCCACAATATAAAATATGCTCAAGTCATCATCAAGTCAACAGACGCAAGTCAATTCAAGTCGCAAGTCATTGGCGTTCAAGTCCGAGTCAAGTCATAAGTCTTTACAGATTTTATCCAGTCAAGTCAGAAGTCATTAAAATGGTGACTCGAATATGACTCGAGTCAAAGTCATGTGACTCAAGTCCACACCTCTGCAAAAAAGTAAATAAATAAACCTGTAAATTGCTGTCTGCTTAATATTTGCAGTTTTTCCAACTCAGTGTTGAATAATTTTGATGATTTCTCTCATCTTAACTGATCATCTCTTTTGGATTCCTAACAGAATCAGAGTAACTTCTACTAAATGGTACCTCAATGTATTTCATGAGTTCCTGGACATATCTGTCTCTGTCTGATGGCACGTCACAGTGAGACTGCATGTAGAGAACAGGAGCCATGCCCTCATGCCTGAGGCGGTTCTTCTCCTGCAGTGGCACCGCCACGGGCTCCAGAAGGTATTCCAGGGAGGGCAGCCACTGCAGGGTCAGGGGGTAGTCCGACTCCCTACTGAACGTGGCTGTGTAGTTGAATAGCCTAATCCCCGGTCTATGAGAGAGGATGTAGTTGTTCATGGGTGACTCCTCGTGGAAAAGTGCCCAGGTCTGGTGACGGAGACGAGGGAGAGGAGCCTCATAAGCCCTGAAGTCTGTCCCATAAAAAATGATGGATGTTGTCCTCTTGTACAGCTGCACCTATTCAAGATCAAAGTCAGGATTAACAGGACAGCCTGAGATGATGATTATTATTTATGTGAGCATAAACAAGGCGTGCAGGAGAGCTTTTCGTAGATTAATCATCATCATCATCATTATCGAACCTTGCGGTTGCTTGTGACCAGGCAGGAGGACGTGGCACAATCGATGCGTTCAGTGTCCCCCGGAAAATGTGGGAAAAGACCGCCACTCCACCAAAGGATGATGGGCAGCTCTTTGTTCCTGCGGCGGTCGAAGTTCCCCGGTCCCCGGTAGGAGGAGATGGAGGCGAACTCCATGTCGGACAGAGCACTCTGAGGCTGGAAGGCTGCTCGGTCCGCGGCTTCCAAGGAGGACTCAAAGTGAAGCTGATCCTCCGAGAAAGAGGCGAAGGAAACCCAGACCCAGCACAGGAGGACAGCAAACAGCCCTAAACCCACACAGGGCAGCAGCCTCCTCCTACCTGCCATCTACAAACAAACAGCGGCTATTAACGCATTTTTATAACAATATCCTCAACATAATGGGGTTTTCTTATCAACCAAGCGACATGCTAAACAAACTGTTCCAATGTCAAAACACTGATACAATTTCGTACCATTATCCCAAAGAAAAACGCATTAATCTTCCTTTTATGAGTCAACAATGCTTGATATTTCTTTCAACTATCGGTTAAACTTGCCTTCGTTGAGCATTGGTAACGGGATGCTGGCCAACATCAGCATAAACAGTCTCTTCTTCTACGGTTTTGATCCAACCTGACCTTTATCTGACGCCCTATTCAGGTGAGAACTGGTACAGCAGCCACTACTGAAACAATCTGAATTTCAGGGATTGTTTATCACAAAATCTGTCAAAAAATCACGTTTTTTTCACTTCAATTACAGCAACATAATAATAATAATAATAATAATAATAATAATAATAACAATTGTGATCATCATCAATTATTATTATTGTTATTATTGTTTTATTTTATTATTATTGTTATACTGTAGATTTATCAACAAGAAAAAATAGTAACAATGTTATGTACACACACACACACACACACACACACACACACACACACACACACACACACACACACACACACACACACACACACACACATAACAGTAAGGTCATGAAATCATAAAACTATGTTTATTTTTTAGCTGATGGAGAAGATTGTAAGGTTAAATTTGCTTTAAAAATACTGTTTATTTATGATTCCCCTACACGCTTTGCCATCCTTCATGGAATTTGTAAGCTATGGTTGTTCAACAATAATCAAACTTTAAATGTGAAAATTAATTATTATCAGTAAACATTGTGCATTTTAAAAGGATATTTCCTCAGTTGCATTTCAATAATCCTGCAGATGAGACATAATTTTTCCACCACCACAACACAATACTGATTGTTTTTGTATTTCTTTTTACTTTATGTTTGTCATTTTGGACAGGACAAAACATTAAATAGCCTAGTAAGATTTGGGCAAATTCACCCAGAACAGAGAAAACTTTAACACTTTATTATGTAAAGAACCAAAAGCAAAATAATAGAGATAAACTCGTTTCTAATGTACAAAAAGTAATTATAAGTAGCTATGAGACATGTTTGGGAGAAATGAATGGAAGCAAGTTAGAATTACTGTGATAACTATCATAATTATATGACAGGCTGTATCAAAGGAGGAAACATATTTGATTTAAAAACCAGCATTATAAAATGTGACGTCACATGTGCCGTTATGCATCACAAATGATGACGCTAACGGAACCGCCTCCGTGAGCGTTGCTCCGTCTGGCAGCAGGACCCGGGGCAGTGCACGCCCAGACGGGGCGACTACGTCACGACACTCAATCTCAGTCAGATGCAGCGGAACAGGGCAGCGTTCGCAATAATAATTAACATAACTAAGGTCAGTTATTACGTTTTATTGGCGGGCGCATTCATTTCTTTATAAATTGAAACTCCCAGCGCCAGCTCCTATTTAGTTAAACATGGCGCCTCTTTGGAACGGTTGTGAGTTGCTGCTCAGTCTAACGGCTAGCTTGACCAAATGTCAACAAGCCGCGTCAGCGTAGCCGCTCAGCCCAGCCTGCTAAACAAAGCCTGCTGTCTGTGGTCTGAGCAGCCTTTAGGACACACACGAACCCGGTTCTGTTCCCATGTTAAGTTCTGCTGCGGAACAGTCAGAGCAGGCTTGTGTCGCCTGAAAGCAAAGCTGACCAGACAAGCTCGTGCATGTTTGGAGTTCGGGATGAGCGGTTTCATGTTTATGTCACGAATTCATCACGTGTAGCGCCGCTCAGCTGTTCCCCCTGCACGGTGAGCGAGTGTTAAAACTGTAATAAGCAGGTAGTGTTTGTGTTAACTGGGTGGAAACGTCAAAGCTCTGCTACTGAAACCGCCTCTCATGTGCCTCTAAATACCCCTGAAAGTTTCGCTTCATGCCAAGAGCAGGTGCTGTTATTTTCTCTAGTTATAAACGTGTCTGGAGGTTTTAAACTTCCCCAAGTCACCGTATTGTTGTAGATTTATTGTATTTTCTGTTTCTCTTTCCTGGTAAAGTTGACCCTGCTCTTCCACCTGGTGCCGAGGGGCCTGCAGCCCACTGAGGAGGCCTAACTGGGTGGGAGGAAGCACGATGAGTGGGAACAACACACTCCTCAAAGTGATTCTCCTGGGAGATGGTGGAGTGGGCAAGTCCTCCTTGATGAACCGCTACGTCACAGATCGCTTCGACTCCCAGTCCTTTCACACAATCGGCGTGGAGTTCCTTAACCGGGACATAGAGGTGGACGGGCGCCGGGTCACCCTTCAGATCTGGGACACCGCAGGGCAGGAGCGCTTCAAGTCGCTGCGCACGCCCTTCTACAGGGGGGCGGACTGCTGCTTGCTCACATTCGCGGTGGACGACTTGCAGAGCTTCCAAAACCTCGGCGGCTGGAAGAAGGAGTTCTTGTACTACTCTGATGTTAAAAACCAAGAGCGGTTCCCTTTTGTGGTGCTGGGCAACAAGGTAGATGTGGAGCAGAGGGAGGTGGGAGAGGATGAAGCTCGGGCGTGGTGTGAGGAGAACGGCTGCTGTCCTTACTTTGAGACCAGTGCCAAGGATGACACTAATGTCACGGCTGCGTTTGAAGCTGCTGTTAGACAGGTTCTGTCTGCAGAGGACCAGATTGGTCACGCACTGCTGACCAGTACCATTGATCTCCATGGCAACCGGAAAGTGCCACGTACATCTTGCTGCTGATTGGTGTGAATCTTGTGTCAAACGTTCATGCTGAAACGTGCCAGCGTCGATTAGAACAGCCGGTGTTCTGCAGGTTTTTGGTATCCAGTAAAGATAATATGGGTGAGGCCCAGCTGCTCTCCGAGCTTTCTGCTGATGATTGTTGAACTTTTATGAAAGAACAAGTTTTAACGCATAGTGTTGCAGCACATGGTCTGCTTCCACTCTCTCTGCTGGTACTGGGGCCGTATCAAATGTTGCAATGAAGCACTTCTTAATGAATTAATAATATGGAATAGAGAGCAGATCTCTCTCGCTGTTGGAACCTCACCCAGTCCTAAACAGCTGCTCCCGCAGCTCTCTGGATTACGACTGGATTGTCTTTTTGTTTTCAGAAGTTTAAGAATCAACTCAAACACACTCGTCTCTTAATCACAAGTGTTTTCTTCACTCTGTTGATTTGTGAAAAATGTGTTTCATACAGAGAGCTACTGATAATAATTAGATACTTCAAACTTTGGTACATAACATTTTTAATCATGTTTCACTGAAAACAATAGCTTGTTTTCTTTCCAGAGCTTTTGCAGCTGTGAGCTTTATGAGCCGACGTGCTTTTGAAAAGTAGAAATGTGGTTTTCTGCTGCGTTGTGTTGCAGCTGGATGTGCCGGCGGACCAGCTAATATTTCATGTTCTGAATCCTTTTGTTCTCGTTAAGGGGTTTACCAAGCAGGAGGTGCTTTTATTTGAAACATACACTTTCAGTCTTGCCCCTGGTGCAGCTGATGATAGTATTTCTCAGTGAAACATGTTTTGTTCATCCCTGAAAATTTCATGTATTTTTTTCTTTATTTCCTTCCAGCGCGTTCTTTAGGTTTCAGTGTTTGATCAACGACAGTTTAACCTCCCCCCTGATGAGTCGAGCAGCTTCTAATTGTTATGGCATCCTTGTACTGCTGCGTCTGCCTTGTTGATTGCGTAGTTGGCCTTAACATTCCAGTCTTTTAGCTTCGCCTTGCCTGAAGATCTCCTGTGCACTACTGATAAATGACACACGCCTCGTGCTGTTAGTGCGCCTATTAAAGGTCTCGGCTGAATGTGAAGTAGCTCAAGCACAGTCATTACTTTCAGTATCTAGATTGTAAATCACCCCCCCCTCATACACTATTTAGTGAAACGTAGAGTATTCTACAGCGTAATGATTGCCACGTCACCGTATTTACACACTGCTACAGTTCTGTTTCACTTTTGCTTCAGTGTTCGGATTCACTGTTACGATTTCATAAAAATGTTGCATTAGATGAAATCTCGTCACGACGGTGGGACCGCTGTGGGGCTCCGCGTGTTCATCTTTGTGTTACGCGTTGGCCTGAAGAGTCAGGAATGTTGGTGAACATTTGGAGATCCAGTCAGGTACTGTTACATAATGACTTAGTCCATTTACAGGTTTATTTATATGAATAATGATCTTTAATGAATCCGTGAGTGTTGGTTTAAATGGCTTCTGGCTGAAGCTTCACTGTGAAATAAGGGCATTTAAAAAGTTGCAGTCCGACAGAAACAAGGGCTGTTATCTAAATCAGTCCTTGGCTTTTCTTTGTGAGGTGATGCGTTCTGTTCCTGTTGTCTGATTTGTATTTAATCCGTGCCGTTATTTAAAATCAAACTTACCTGAGAACTCTGCACCCATAGGATGGTAGCATTAATCAGTGGTACTCTTAATATTTTCTGTAATATTTCAGAATGTAAAATCATGTCTGTGGGCTGCTGATGGCTTCCACGAACTGCAGAGTACTGATTTTATCATGCAAGAACAAAACTAACTGACCAGTGAATGCCTGCTTTACTCCGAGCCTGTGAGAAATCAGATGTCATCCTGATTGTGTGCTGATCTAACAGGTCACGTTCCTCGCTCTGTTTGCACTTCCATCGGTAAAACTATAGGGAACGCTTGAGTGTTTTGTTTGAAATAAAGCATGCATCATATTATCTTGTCTGCAGTTTTTTTTGCTAAGATATGAATTCAGGGTTGAAAAAGTACTTCAGCTCAGAATGAAGTCCACCTGAGTACATGTTATCAGTCTGTTAGGAAAAATTAGTGTCAGACTTTGAAAGCAAATGCACTAAATTCCTAGCCTGACAAGCCATCCTTTATGTGTGAATTTAGTGTCTGACCACGATGCATGGACAGATCTGTCATGGGGTGGGATCTACGGTTGTCCTTCAAACCGTCTCCACATGCTATAGAACAACAAACACAGCTACAGATATCAGCCTCTATCCTCCATCTGCTCTTGACTCAAAGCCCAAGTCTAAACAGTCCAAGGTTGACGCCAAAGCCCTTTCAAATGAGCCATTATCATTTTTGTCCTTTCGCTCCTTTTGCCGACCAAACTGATGGAGTGCTGTGATTGGCTCGGGCCAATGGTAGCTCTTCTGAGACTCCAGAGGAGCACGGCTAGACCGACCTGCAGAGCACAATTGTTTGCTACTGCTATAATCCGTCTAGACTTGTAGGCTATCACAGCTGATCATACCACTCTGCGTCCAGCAGAGCCATTCACCCGTTACCGTTCAAAGATCAAACATTGCATTTTTATTTTCACATTAAAGTCATGCATTGCACACTTGAAATCAGAACTGGGCATAAAAAATTCATCATGTCTGTCTTCTTTCTAAATCTAATTGGAATTCCCTCGAATCACATTACATGAAATAAACTACTGAGCCCAGATTTTAACAAAGCAAAGTTTCCAACAGCATTTGTTCCAATTTACAACTTCAGCTGCATAACACTAACATTCAACATAAAATCAAAGGGAGTCGGATGAGCAATATGGCCGTCAGGCTGGAACGCCTTACAAAAGTCTACATTTAGATGAATAACTAAACAATTGTTGGTTTTAGTGCTGCTGCTGCTGTGAAACACGAGCCCCATCAGGGAGTGTTGAACGTGGAGTACGGGGACAGCAGCGTCCCTCCTTTGTCCCCCTGCATCCTCGTGTACAGGTCAAAGCCCCTCCTCTCCTCTTTCACCCTGTGCCTCAGCATCTTCAGGTACACCTGGTACACGGCCAAGTGCAGGCAACAGTGCACCTGTGGACACAAGGAGAGAGGAGACAAAACGTCTGACAGCACACCTGAACCCCCGTGTGTAGCAGGGAGCCAGGAACAGGAAACGGTCACCGTTGTCGCAGACTCCAAAGACACAAACGTACAAAAACTGTTGATTTTCTAATCTTAAACACACGTCTACCAGCCCCCTGTCAAACATAACGGTACGCTGCTTATGCAGCAAATTTTACAGTAACAGTTTAAGTTAAAAGTGTTAGCAAATGTAGCTATACGTAGCGTGTTATACAATAACTACCAAAAAATCCCTAAAGAATTAAAAGCCAAACTTGCTTTTTCTCCATGAAAGCACTGCAGTCACACACGAAGAACACCCCAGCTGTGGTTTTTATCACGAGCTTACTTCATAAATTAGCACCTGGTGCTTCTGCCATCTCAAACAGTTTCAGACCTCGGTGGATCCAAACAACCCCGTCCCCTTTGCCAGTAACAAAACTAGTGAAAACGATCTAAAATTCCTTCCGTTCCTCCTCTCCGAGTCCACCTTTTCCATTATTAGAGAGGAGTCTGGGGGCTCAGGCAGCAGCATGTGGATGTGGTCCCAGAAGAGCTGCATTCAGGCTTCAGAGGTCTAACCCTCTCTTTGTCCAGCAGGCCCTCTCCTTTGACACGTAATTTAACCCTTCTGCAGACTTTCGGTGCAGGTGGCTCTCAGGAACCGGCGTCTGATTGGCTAACGTTTCAAAACAGACATGACTGCATTGTCGTGGCTTTTCCCCCCGACCCGTGAGAAAAGTCCCGAGGTCAGTGTGAGACAGCATTTGCATGCTTGTCTGCCCCCATAGCAACCAGATGTGAGGGGTGGTATCCACGGTAACCTTTCATCCCTTTCCTGCACAGCAGCCGCATTCTGCTTGTGCGTGCTACAGACTGAAAACCATTTGTTGCATTTTTTAACTCATTAGTTTGAGTTAGTGACAACTTAAAATCTATGGAAATTATTATTGTGTAAAGATGATTAATATTTTACCAGTTTGAATGACCTCAGTTTGGTGAAATATCAGTTTAACGGTGAGTTACAGTGAGGCCACATACAAAGTGGACTTGCATCTTAAAACAGCTGACCTAAGAAGAGCCGGGGTTGATGCAAACACCAGTTTTGAGACCTTTCCACCAGTTTAACAATACAAGAATAGTCACTGATAAATGCACAGCCAGCTTCAATGCAAAATTCCATTCAAAACGACTAAAAGTAGCCTTTAAATATGGAATCTAGAGGTTTACAAACTAGTGTTCACTCAAACATTTTGAGATTGGAGTTGTTTTTAGACAGCACTGCCAAGTCGTTTAGCCTTTTGATTACTATCAAAAGTATGCATTTCTCCAAACTGAGGCTGTTCATAGAGCCATCTACAGCTGTTAAAATATGTCACAATCTTTCCACAGAAATCCACTTTAAATTATCTGAACTGCTACTTCAAGTGGGAGGTAGAAAGTTTTAGATATTATTTACCAGTTATGACTAAATTAACAGTGATTTCACAAAGAAAATACAACTCATCTATAGGCGAAAGAATACAGTCTCATCCAGAAAACAGAAACGCAAATTTGTTCACAAAAAGTCAAAATATAAACGCAGTTTTAATGAGTCCATGGTGATTTTGTGCAGCTGAAATGAAAGGACAAAGGTGTCTCCATCCCTCTAGCTCCCCTTGTTGATGGTGAAGTGGTGACAGAGCAGACAGGAAGCTGGGTGCCTAACACCTTGGACCTATGCCCTTTCTTCCAAGATACCGCAGAACCGCACAGTTATAGGTGGTTGACACAGTATAGGTCAGCTAGGGAAAGACAAAAGTGGAAAAGGAAAGGAATCAGAGAAAGGAAGTGAGGAAATAGAAAGAGCCACAACATCCTGTCACACTACAAATAAGAACAAAACTGGATGGCCTTAATGGCTGCAACTTGATAGCAGACACCAGCCCTCTAACAGCTTCTGTAATGAAGCATGCCAGTATAATGGGTGCACCATTTGCCTGCATGGCTGGAGCCCCAGCAGACATTACAGCATTATTATGATGCTTGTGTCAGCTGGCAGAGAGGAACAGAGAGCAACTGTACAAGAGTCATCAGTCATGGAGGCCAGAGATGCCTCGCTGCCTACACTTTCAGCGTCACTTAGTCACATGAGCCATAATGCAGTCGTTGTTGTTCCCCAAACTGGCCTCAGCCTTTTGCATAATTACTCACCAGGGCCAGGAGAGTGATGCCTGCACCGGCAAAGGCAGCGATGTACAAGTCATAGGTCATCCGGTACTGAAGGGAGGAGGTTTGGATTACTGCTGCTATCGAGTCATTTCATGTGAAACTAAATGACAGCAGAGCGCAAGACAGTACCTCTCTGGTTTTGCAGACGTTGGACAGCGTCATGCCACACGCTTTCCCTGGTACAGCATTCCATGGCAAGAGTCCTGAAGGGAAAACAACCTCAGTTCAGTTCTAACCGAACTACACGGGTTGCTCCTAATGCCCATAAATTACATCAAATGATATTTCCAATAATGGTTTCAGTTCCTCTTCATTTTCTCTGGCTTTTAGCTCAAACTCTGTTAGATCGCACCGACGATACAAACCTTCACCTCGGCAAGGTTTGCTTGCTACGTGCTGGGGACCGTTCCAGCACTGAATAATAGACATTTGAGGGGTGAAAACAATACGTGTAGCCTCACAAAACAAAGCCAGCGACCATGTTTATGGTAATGAAGTCACTCTGCAGCATTGTGGCTCATTGTTTTGTATATTTTCTCTTTTTAGCAACACTTGAGGGCTCTTTTGGATTCCAAGTGCTGACCTGTGTCTGGGCCCTGTGGCTCAGCAGCTGTTGGCTGAATATGGCAGACAAAACTATTCCTCGTAGCACGAATCAGAGTCAGGATTTTTGTTTTTTCATGTCAGAGCTATTACACAAATGGCTGTGAGATGTTTCGCTGCATTCATGCTGCCATCAGTGTGAAATGGGTGAGTCAACTTATTCGCCCAGTGCCCTAAAACAGTGCAGATTATTGGAAAGATAACCTTTCTACACCCTACGCTCCATGTCTGCCTGTGTGTAGCAAACATACTTTTGCTGTGATGACTTTGTTGTAATCCAGATGATGCATGCTTTTATTTTCTGTAACTGTAAAAACGTAATGTCACCTTCCATCTAACCACCATCTTGACCAGGTCTAACTTCATAAAGATGTTAATCGCAAAGGATTTCTGGGTTGAATACATGTTCAGGTCAATTAAAAAGGGTGGTAGCTGGGAGATCCTGCAGATCAGGCTGATAGAATATCACACCAGACTCAGTGATATTGTGATGGTTCTTTCTTACAGCAACGCGTCTTAATGTGTGGTAAGAACCACAAGTTGTGAGCTACCAAACATCAGCACTGTACTTTTGCATTTGGAGCTTTTAGGGTCATTCTTGTCCTTAGATAGAGACAGCAAGAGCCTGAAGCGCCACACTGCACCAGAGACGCTTGCTTGGAGTCAGAATGTCTACCAGTGATGTGAAAACATGCTTGTTTGTGACATAAAAGCTAAGTTGTTTGTATTTGATTAGCACCATAGAAAGAAATTTAAAAACAGAAAAGATGATTGTTGCTAAAGAGAGATTAAGATATATTCCCAACCTTGTAAAACTGCATTCTGATTGTTCATTAAAATCCTCCAGCTGTCAATACACGAGTCCCTTGTTTAATTACGAAGTAAAATGCACACGACAGGGTTTAGAATAAAGATGAATGATTCATTTAGCATTGGTCACACAGGACTGGTTTAATGGTACTAGGCTTGAACTGGGAATTGTCATCTGATCTTAACATGTCGGTTAGAGCTCTGCAATTAATAGAGTTTGTATTTTAATCTCAATTTTACGAAAACAAAAATCAATATAATCAACAAAAACTAACTCTTAAAAATGATTTAAATCTCAATCTTGCAAGATGAGTCATTGTGAAGACTAAGCTCATGTTATTTTGCTGTGCTTTCAAAAGATAACGCAAGCAAAGATGGCAGAACAAAGGCAAAACACACTGGTGTATGACGTGCATGTAAATCGGTGATACAGCACCTAGAAATATATTTCTATCTGCTTATTTCTAACCCTCCTGAGTTTATATTTTAAACACAGCTACTCTGTTCTCTGACATTAAGGCTTCTTTAGCATCTCGTCTCTACTTTTATAGCAGCACTGGGCCTGTGTTTTTTCCTTAATGTCACTGATTAATTGGTTTTTAAACATGACTTTTAAATGAGCTCCCAGCTTTAGTCCGTGAGGCAGACACCTTGTCTACTTTTGAGAGTAGGCTTAAAACACTTAATTTGATAGGGCCTATGGTTAAAATCTGTTGTTAGCCTAGATCTGGACAGTGGGGGAGTAGAGGGACGTGGAATGTACAGTCGGTAAAGACGGCTCTCCATTGCCCTGACTCCAACATGCCTCCATCTAAAAAGGCTGGGTTATGCAGAGTTATCTCTGTAGTTATGCTGCTATAGGCTTAGACTGCTGGAGGATACACTGACCACTTTCCACACTCGACTACTTTCTTCTACAATCTACTCTTTAACTGTATTATTTCCTGCTATTTCAGCTGTTAACTTTATGTGTTCTTTAAGTGTTTTTCTCCCCAGAAGAAGCTACAACGATGTTCTGCTGAGCTGTGGTAGCCTCATGGAGGGGGCCATCGGCTAGCACACTGCTGCTATCCACTTAAACATTCTCCCTCTCCTGATAATAACTTTTTACTCTCTTTGACATTGAATGTGCTACTACTAGTTTACCAGTTTAATTATAGATTCACAAGAATAAATACAATAAAGTTTATCTCTCACCAAATAAAATATTTACTAAGAAGTCACAATGTAACCATATACACACTTCTTGGTAAATATGTTGTGTGTGTGTGTGTGTGTGTGTGTGTGTGTGTTCCGTCTTCTCGATCCCCAGTGAGTCATGGCATATGGCTGCTTATACTGAGCCAGGATCCTCAGGAGGTTACTTCCTGGTAAAAGGGAGTTTTCCTCTCCACTGTCGCTGCATGCTTGCTTAGTATGAGGATTGCTGTAAAGACTCTGACACTAGTCAGTGACTCGATGCAATTTGCTGGGTTCCTTATATAGGAAAATTTTTACTGATTGGCTTAATGAACTGACCTGAATTGGAATGTTTACTATGTGAAGTGCCTCGAGACGACTCTTGTCGTGATTTGGCGCTACACAAAAAAAAAAAAATTAATAAAAAAATTTGTTGGTTTCTTTTTGTGATTTTAAACTAATGTTTAATATTAATAAAAACATTTATGATTTCCAAATAGGTCTAAACAGTTTCCTGCGCACCTATATTACAACAGTAGTTTCGGTCTCATGGCTTATTCTCTGACAAATTGTACTCACCACCCAACAGCTTCACTACTGACTGAAATCTGTGCCTGCAGACCTTAACAATGTTAACTCTGGTTAGTGTTTCCCAACCAGATGAGTAATTATTTTTACTGTGGGGTATGTTTTGACCAAAATGAAGAGTTTTTTTCCCCCACAGTTATTAGGGTAGCTATAAATGGGGTCGTTACCGTATTGTCTTGCATCAACACAGAGCTGGTTGATACTTGCTGGCGTCTCCGTCAGAACATCAATGGTGTGGCACGTTGCATCCATGTTGTAGAAGAAGTAGACCGGCAAGGCAGACAAAGCAAACACCAACAGCCACAGCACAGCAAGCACATATGTCATCACTATAAACTGCACAAGGAGAAGCAAAATGAGCATCATAAGCCGATCCATGTAAGTGTTTATAGACTACAAATAATCATTTCCTAATTATTTCTCCATCTAAAAACATTTTTGCAAGCCTGAAGATCTCCATCACCCACAGGGGAACAATGTGTACATTAATCCCAGCTAATCTCCCCTGGCGTTTTATAATTAAGCCACCGCGGGCCTTCTCACCGAGGAGCTGAGGCAGCGGCCACACATGGTGCTTCTGAACTCTCCAAAGGTTTGCTTGGCAGTGCTTGTGGTGTAGAAGCCCTCAGCCAGCAGCATGATGCAGTAGAGGAAGAAAAAGGAGGCCAAGCCATAGATGACATACTGGAAATATTGAATGCTGAGAAGAAAAAAGAAAAATAACTTAAACCTCAAAACTGTGCATTAGATGAGGCAAATCTTTAACAACTTACATGTAGGCGAGGGTGATGTAGTCCTGAAGGTTACGGGCAAAGTACGTCTCGATGAGCCTCTCGGTTTCTGTGAGCGCCTGATGACCGCAGCCGCAGAACAGGGCGATGCCAGAGAAGCAGAGCAACGTGGCAACAAGGGAGCAATATGGCACCCCGCCCAAGCAGCGCACACAGCAGTCATAGCAACCTGGTAGTCGAGAAACAGCAACTTGTTTATTCAACCGATGAACTGAACATGAATGATGGCTTCATTGTGAATTTGTTGGACAAATTTAATGCTTTTGATCGGTGTTTGTTGGACATTTTAATTCTATTTCTTATTTTATCTTTGGAATTCCATGGTATGGACACATTTTTGTGGAATAAAGTTTGCTTGATTGAGAGGACTCTGAGTTAAGTCAAATAGGTCCGAAGGTTAAAATCTCCAAAACCAGAAGACCTGAGCATCAACACGGAAAAGCTCACATGTTGTGATGATGATTGGGGTTACAAACACCAGAAACGGAGCTGATTTTCCTGTGTGGAAGAACCTCAAATAGCTGTTGTGAGTTCACTTGGTGAAGCTGTGTGATCCCAGCGGTCATATGCTGTTTGGATGGATGCCAAGGGCCAAAGGCACAGCCATGACCCCACCTCGCACCCCGACTCCATTCACCACCCAGCATGAAGAGTGTGAGAAAAGTGGGAGGACAAGGGTGTGTGTGTGTGTGTGTGTGTGTGTGTGTGTGTGTGTGTGTGTGTGTGTGTGTGTGTGTGTGTGAGTGAGTGAGTGAGTGAGCGAGAGAGCGAGAGAGAGAGAGAGAGAGAGAGAGAGATTGTGACTGGGGGAGACAACAGTCTTTGTCCCAAAGCATTGTGAGGGCACAGGGGCCACCAATGTCAAGCAAACAAAGACCAGAGGCACCTCTTTGATTAACACACACACACACACACACACACACACACACACACACACACACACACACACACACACACACACACACACACACACACACACACACACACACACACACACACACGACAGAAACGGGGAAATGAGCTGCTGGAAGAGGAAACAAACAATGCGACTGTGTACATTGGTGTTATTGCACACTTTGCATGCACACAGCCACGCACAATGGGGAGCTGACAGACTGTGCTTGGTACCATTACAGCAAACACAGATGGCTGGAGGGGCAAGCAGATAGCGCCTTAATTGAACGCATCATCATGGCTTTGTTGACTGTCTGCACGAGAAACAAACTGTGACCTCTATCATTCATAGCACGCAGCTGAAACGAGTCAAAAATTATATACAACTATAAAAACGTGATCTTTAAGGAGTTGAAGTCCGCGCGTCCTCCACGCGCACCTTGTATCAATTAACCACATCAGAAACGCTCTGAACCGCAAGGTTCTTTGAGCTAAATAAAAATCCTGGTTTTAAAAAGATTTCCTGAAAGCGCAAATAAATTAAAAAACTGAGAAAATTCGCATTCAAACGCGACAAGTCCTTCAGAAGTAGTCCTGTCATCCGAAGAATAAAACAAATCTCAATAAACAGAAAAAAAAACTCCAAACAACTTCTGACACGAAATTAGATTTGATTAAATAAAGTCATATAAGCGAGCAGGCGCCGGAGAAGCTTCTTACCCATGTCTGGAAGGATGCGTTCAGGACCTGTTGATTATACCTCCGCCTGCACCGCAGCTGGATGATTATGCGCCTCTCTCTCGTTCGGCCGCTCGTATATCAATCTGAGCTTGGTGTTCCCTTCTCCCCCATCAACAACAATAATGGACAGAGCCGCTGGTGACTGCAAATGCAATCTTAAAGAAACAATGTCGCTTTTCAATCAACTTCAGGGACGGGAATAATAAGGAGGCCAGGGTCCTTACACTTGCAGATTGTCAGTTCATTGTTGGCGGTGATCTGCATGGAAAGACAACGTGCACCCTATGAACGCTCGGTAGCGCCCCCCCCCCTCCTTTTTTATTCCCATGGAAAGAGTTTTATTCCCACTAGGAGGCCCGTGTCCAGAGGCTTTGCATTGTGGCAACAGTGCCTCACAAAGCATTAAACATTAAAGGGATGTTTCAGATCCTTTACACTGGGTTTCTGTTCATATTTTATGGTAGATAGTTTTTGAACAACCTCAGTTTGGAGAAACAGAAATCATCCACACCGAATATACAGTTAAAAGGTAGATCGCTGCACCTCCATGTCGAAAGAAGCCAGTTAAGGTGGCTCGGACATTTGGTCAGGATGCCTCCTGACGCCTCCCTGGTGAGGTTTTGTAGGCATGTCCAACTGGGAGCAGACCCAAGGGAAGACCCAGGACACGCTGGAGGGACTATTGGCGCTTACACATTAGCGTTGTCTCTTCCGGGACCAGAATTTGGTTTCACACACAGGTCAGATTTGCGCTTTTGGTTCCGAGGCGACTCTTTTTTTTCAGAACTCCTCTCCAGCGGTCAGACTGGGACCTTGTCAGTGGAGAAAGCAATGTGTGTGTGTGGCTCAACATCACGAGGACACACACAGCAAATCAATAAAATAATGATGTTCAAAGTCTCCAAAAGCAACACAGCTCTTTCCCGCCTTTATTTGCCTTATTATGGAGGACACCGCAGATTTTCCTGCATGCCCACAAGCTCAGGGAATTCTGCATTCCTGAGAAGTCTCTCCGATTTCTATGTGAAAATTACACCGCACGTTCAAGACCAAACTCACGCCATCCAGCCCCACCAAACCCCGACTGTGTCGACGCTAATGTCTAAGCGCCATAAGTCTCTTGGCTGGCCAACGCCTTAGAACTGGAGCTGGTCTAAGGCCCTGTCCACACGTAGCCGGGGATCTGCCAAAACGTAGATATTTTTCTACGTTTTGGCCTGTCATCCACACGAAAACGGAGTTTTTTCACATGAAAACGGATCTTTTTAAAAACTCCGGCCAAAGTGAAGATCTGCGTTTTCTCCGTTTTGGGTGTCTGCGTGTGGACAGACACAACCGGAGTTTTAAGGTCCGCAACGTCACTTTCCGCGACAAAAAAATGCTGACATCACGTGTGCGACCTGTGTTTACACTAGCCGACAGCATGGATACCCTCAGAGCTGCGCTCGCTTTATCAATTGTCCAAGCGCTTTTTGCTTGTTTGTTTTTGCAAGCGGAATTACTGCTCCTTGTGGAAGACCACAGACGAAGGACGAGGTTAAGAACGGGGGAAGTACTGCCGCCTACAGGTCTGGCATGTCCTTAACAACGTATTTATCCGGGTACGTGTGGACAGAGTTATTTTTAAAATGAGGTGGTGTGGATGCAAGTTTCTGGAGGGGCGGATATTCGTTTTTAAAAACCCGGCTACGTGTGGACTAGGCCTGGGGACAGGGAAGTCTGGGCCTCTTGTCTTGGCTGCTGACCCCATAGATATGTAGATAAACACTAGATGCCTCGTCCCTGCTGTTCGCCAATGGGATGCGACATGGGAACATGGCGGCCATCTTAGCTCAGACAGCTGCCCCCTTTCTTGACATTGGGTTGTATGGTGCATGTACTATTTAAATAACACTAACTTGCACAAATTTCAACCGATTTTCAAAAGGTTTGATTTGTTATAAACCTCACAGATGTGTCCATGAAATAGGATGGGTTTGGCCCAGAAATTCTTGTCATTTCACTCCACAAAGCATTTAATCTTTCATAGATAACACTTCATTTGTAAGCTACAGTAACTTAAAGTATACATAGCCTATCATTGCTAGTTCACACCGTGGGCGGGGTCTTATTTCACAAACACATTCTCACATCTGGAGTGGCTAAAACGGATGATGGGTGACCAAGTGTTTGTTTGGGAGCCCCAACGCATCGGGAGGCAATGCGCTGTGCCAGGGCGTTGCTTTCCGATGCCCGCGCTAAAACGGAGATTTCTCTGAATTCTGACCTTTGTGCTTTGGCTATATAATCCTCCGCTAACCCCGATCCTAACCTTAACCCTCTTGCGCTGCAAAACTTTGTTCTTTGTTGTAACGTTCGTCTCACACACAGTTAATGGGAGGTTTAGAATGAGAAACAGGGTTAAGGTTAGGATGGGAGTGAGGGGAAGGTTGACTAGCAAACAGTTAGAGGTTAAATGTCGGTGAAATGTGTGTGGCTCTGAGCTGTATTGTTTCATATCAGCTCGTGAGTGGCCGAGGCTCAGCTGGAGTCCAATGCAACCACACAGCACAGTCCAGACATCACCTTTCACCTCATAACCATCAGCTGCTGCTCATTCAAAATCAATGTAGAGCAGAGTTTTAACCCTGAGGGAGGAATAATTATGGTTTTTGGATGAATTTCTAGATTTTGTAGGCTATGAGATAGACTAAAATGTCAAACTAATGACTACACAGCAGTATTAGATACTCATCTATACAGATTATCAGCAAGAAAAAGTTGATTTAGGAGTTACCCACTCTCTAACCATTTACATAATGGAGTTTTGACATCACATATAAACTCTAATCTCACAAATTATATATTATTTCATGTAAATGGAATTTGATTAATACTTGGTCTGTTTAAACAATCAGAGTTTCACAACTTTCAATTATTCAAGCAGAAATAAGAATTTCTAAAGATTCCACTACTCTCTGCTGGAAACAGTAACCAAGCATGGCAATTTAAAGGGTTATGAATTATTTATTATTTTCTGATATTTTTGTGATTAAAGGATTTTGGTTTTAGAGGCAATGATCCACTTTGGAGCTCACTGTAACCATCTGTCACCTTTCCAGTCAACTCAGTGTCTTTTCTAATCTAAGGTCATTCAATGATGCATGATGAACTTGTTTATAAAATTATCAGAATACCAAATCCACAGTTCTTAGAGAGAGAGAGAGAGAGAGAGAGAGAGAGAATTACATCAGAAAATAAATTAGGAGAATTACAATGAAATTCTGATGTTGTATATAATTTTTAACATATTAATAAATTGTAAAACAAGCCAAGTATTATTTCATTCATAGTGAAACTGCAGCAAACTCAATTGTTTTTTAGGATTTAAAACACCAAGCAGTTTATCCACGTCTATCTGGTTTAGGTTTTAGGAGCTTTCAACAGCCAACCGACCTTTTACAAACAGGGAGCCTGTGCAGTGATTTAAGGACCAGTGGGATTTGTTCCAGTTCACAGGTCAGGAGTCTAGCAGCTGATGATTGATTTTTTTATCACCGTAAAACCAGCTACGACAATCAGACAAATGTGTCTCATTTAAACAGGGAACACTGGTGATGGTGCTGTTTCACAGGTTACTCACGTACTTTTTAGTACGTGAGTAACCTTCATATTCATTCATAACCCTTTAACTTGCCATGCATGGTTACTGTTTACAGCAGAGAGTCTAGTTAAACGCTGATCTTTAGTTATTTGAAATTAAAAATATATTTAAAATCAAATTCCAGTCCATCACTCATTGGTATTATAATTACACTAGTTGTGCAGAGCTGTGTGTCATCATAATAATGATAAATGTCTTTATAGTGCTTTTTAATATGAACCAAAGGGAACATCTAGATTTGAAATAAAGGTGGTCTGAGAATGGAGTCTTGAGGAACTCCATGTGGGACTATTGTTTTCTCTGATTTGTAATTACAGGAGTTTTGTTCTGACAAACAAGGCCGAACCAAGTCTAGATAACCCCACCCGCCTAATCCCATGGGTAAATGCTGCTTTATGAAAAAAAAAACTTTGTTAAGCACATTCACACAAATGGACACTGTTAGGACAAGGCTGATTTTTATTTAAATGAAAGAATAAAATATGTTTATTAGAAAATGAAAAACAAAATATAAACAGAATAAAAAATGTACACGCGTGAACATTTTCATCTGAATGTGTAATATTTAGAATGAAAAAGAGCAACCAAACAATTAAATCCAGCATAGTCAGACGATGCTCTCCCGACTGAGGAAATTGTCAGATCCTATCTGACTACGTTGTTTACTGAGCATAAAAGATCAGAAGCAGCAGGAAAACCTGATACCTGCCTTATCGTTGCTATCTCAAATGTGTTATTTTGTCACAGAATGCTCTGCTGAAGTCAAACTTAAATGAGGCAAACAAACGGCAATTGTGTACGCTTGAAAATCAAACAAAGCTTTCTGTAAGAGGGTCAACTGAGAGACAGTGAAGGGCAGCAAGTGTTTCTTCTAAAGGATCTTTCAGTAATAAAAAACAAAATGATAAAAAATACCTCCATTTGTGTTTCTTTAACTGCATATGATCATAAAAGCCCCCGTGCGCAGCTAACAAATAATCCACTTGAGTTAATTCCAGCTCTTAACCTATAATTAAATAATAAGCAATGCACGAATGTGAGTTAAAAAAGGAAAGAACACAAGTGCTGTGAGTGTAGCTGAGCATTGTGGATGCATCACTGTTCTCAGGCGACCTGACAGTGCAGCAAAGTGAGAGACTGTCTTCTGAATCATCCCTCCCCTCTGGCCAAATGTCAGAAATAAAACCACCTTTGGCTTCATTTATGTCCACTAGATGGCAGACTTTCTCCTGACACAGAGCTAGCTTTAGCAGTAGTTTTATGCCTCATAAAACTACATATTCAAGTGTGTGTGTGTGTAGTGTGTGTGTGTGTGTGTGTGTGTGTGTGTGTGTGTGTGCCTTTCCCCCAAACAAGCAATCTACAAATATAACGCTGTAAAGAGGGGGTTGTCAGACAGGTCAGAAAATACAAAACTATGATTTTAAATGTTTAATCCACTTGTTTTATTATTCTTCCTGTAAAAAACAAAAAGTTTAATTTCTAAATTAAGTACAGAGCTCTTCATTTCATTTGAGTTAATGCAGTTTAGCCTCACAGTATACCCCTATTAGATTATTTATTTTTGAAGCAGCTCACTCGGGCATCCACAGAGACGCCTCATGTTATACATGCCATTTTCTCCACTAACCAGGTTGTTGCACAATGTGTTTTTCCCCTCAAAAACAAGCGTGCACTACACTGTAACGTTAAAAAGAAAAAAGGAAACTTTGGTTCTGAAAACATCTGCCTTTACTATTACCATCTGTAAACACCCAGTACCCTGACTCATTCATTTTTAATGCATCACTTAACCTGCTTTAGATCTAATGTGTCGCTTAAAAGCATCAAAGCTTGTTGGTATTTAAAAACACATTTGAACACAGTGGGATTTCAGTTGAAGCACTAGTCATGAGAATAGCAAACCTGTAGGGATAGCAGGTTTTTCTCTGCTGTGAGTGAGAAGCCGTGCGATTGGGTGACGGCACCGCGGTGGAGATGCTTGCTTTCTTCTCTCTGCCTCCTCTCACCTGTGCGTAGACACTCACTTACCCCCTGAGCCCTCAGAGTTGGGCACTTTCATCAATTTCCCGCTGAAGGAACATTCAACCTCTTTTGTGTGTCTAAACACCGCCGACTCTCCGTCACTCAGAGTCAGAAATCTGAGAAAGGTCCAATCAACTTAGCAGGCGATTACCTCAACTTTCCTACTTACATGGGAATACTTAAAGCTGATGAAGGCAGTGTACCACTGGCTTGCTGTGACACGTGATGTCAGCTGATGGCCCTGCAGTGCTCATCACCCATGCCTCATTGGGTCTATAGCATAAGAGATTTCTGCAAAAGGCTTTGGGAACAGGTTTCTGCAGCTCCCATTGTGTGGGATCCTTATCGGAAAGCTGGGTTTCCTTCTGCTAAGTGTCTCTCCTTTGCTTTTGACAAACATCTGAATGCAGTGTTTCAGAGGCATGCAGTGGTGTTTTTTGTTTTATTCCAAAAGCCCAAGACAAACACTCTGAAGATGTTTAATCCCGCGTCTGTCTTCAGCCTTGAAACTGTGAGTGAGATGACTCTTTTGTTTGCCTTATTCACCAGAATAACATTTATCTTTGAGACTGAGTGGAATTTCATTTTCTTTTCTGCACCCCTTCTTGTGTTTTCGAATACTTCTTCTACAAAACAAACCAACTGTTATCAGTAACAAAACTACTGAAACTACAACCAAACCGATGCCAACGTGGATGTAAAATGCTTGAACAGATCCAGTAGTCTCCACCTGGCAGATAGGAGACTCCGAAGGCCTTTGAACCAACTCTGACGTCCCTGCCCACGTAGGCGCCCTTTCCAAATAACAGTGCTCTGTGCTCTCGTTGACTAGCAGATTAACCCAGACTGTTGTATAGAGGGGAGCTGGTTTCCCGTTGTCCCTGACAACAATGAAGAGATGATGCATTCCCACGTCTTCTTGCAGAAGCTGTTGACTCAAGGTGATGTTCCCTGATCTTGAGTCAACCTGGAAGATGGAGTTTAGTTGCAGTGGCCCTGGTGCAGCCACAGAGAAAGTGATCTCAGAATTTAACCCCGAGTCCTCGTCGACGGCGTAGATCTTTGTGACCGTAGTCCCAGCCAGGGTGTCAGGCGAGAGAGTTAGACACGAGGTATTGCTGCTGGGAAGGATCACTTTTGGCTGGTTGTCGTTGACGTCCTCCACAAAAACAGTCACTCTGGCGGTGGTGGTTAGAGCGACCGCATGGCCGTTGTCGCTGGCCAAAAGGTAAAGTTCGTAACGATCCTCCGTCTCTCGGTCCAGATCAGCGGTGGTCCGTAGGGTTCTCTGACTGTTATCCACCACAAAGGGCACGCTGCTGTTTACAACTCGCAGTTCTGTGTTCCCATTCTCCCCTTCGTCTGGGTCTCTCACCTCTATCCTCCCCACCTGGGTAAGTGGTGGAACATTCTCCGGGATGAAAAATATGAGGTGAGGGGAGAGAAAAACAGGTGCATTGTCATTCTGGTCCAGAACACGAATAACAACAGTGGCTTGGGACTCCAGGGAAGGAGAGCCGCTATCTTGAGCAAATACAGCAAGTGTGTATGTTGCCTGCTGCTCCCTATCCAGAGAAGCCAAAGCAGAAAGCTGACCTGTCACAGAGTCAATACTAAAGATGGCTGATGCGTATCTGTGCAGCCGGTAGGTCACCCTGCCATTGTGACCGCTGTCTGCATCAGAGGCTGACACCTGTAGCAGTGTGATCCCTGGCTGGTTGTTTTCCTCCACCTCTTGCTGGTAGTGAGTCTGAAGGAAATATGGGGCATTATCATTGACATCCTCCACCATCACCCTGATCTCTCGCCCTGACGGAGGGATCACAGGCCTTTCAGGTGAGCTCCCTTGCACTACCACTGAAATGCAATACTCGCTTTTCATCTCATAGTCTAGAGGCTTTGATGTAGAAAGCAGATATTTGCCACTCTGCAGGCTCAAAGAGAAAGGCACGTCACCCTCAATGGCAAGAGATGAGCCTTTAATGCTGCTGTCACCCTCAAGCTCTAAAACAGCCAAGGCAGTGGGGAGCTGATTCTCCGGTAACACCATCGTCTGGTTGAGCTGCTCAGCAATGAACCCGATCTTTATTGTGAGCTCCTGGGTCGCTTTGGCGAGCACAGAAATGGTTACATGAGTGTCTGCCGGGGGGCAGCGAGGGCCACTGGCTAACACCTTTAACACCAGCTCCTCAGAGATGTCGTTTTGGAGGTCTTCTTTTAATCTGACGTACCCTGTGTGGCTGTTGAGGTTTAAGAGCATTCTGGCCCTTTCAGAAACTTTGGGACTGAGTGAATAAACGATGACGGCATTTGGGCCTGAGTCCGGGTCTGTGGCCACCACTTTAGTGACCACTGTGTTCTTCAGGGCGTCTCCGGGGATGGTGGCGCTGTGCGGACTGTCGGGACCAAAGCTTGGACAGTTGTCATTAACATCAGTCACTCTGACTATTAGAGCAACTGAAGCACTTAAAGGGTTTACACCACAGTCGATGGCCACCAGCTGCATCTGATACAGATCCAGAGTCTCCCTGTCCAGAGCTGCTCGTACAACCAGCAGGACAGAAGCGTCCCTAAACTTTAAAGTGAAAACTCCACCAGAACCTCGTAAATGGTACCTCAGCTGCCCGTTACGTCCGACATCACTGTCCTGCGCCTGGTCGTCCAAGAAGAATTCGGCCCCTACGGCTATGTCCTCGGACACCTCTAGGTGTATTTCACTGTTTTCAAAATGCGGTGGGTTGTCATTGATGTCCTCTATGATCACAGGAAACTGTATGAGATCTCCTGAAGGCCCCACAATGGCGTTCTGTAGAATAATACACCCATCAGCTGTTGTAACCTCGGGGCAAAGCTTCTCACGGTCCATTCTTAGCCCAGCAGTGAAAAGATTCCCAGTGTTTGTGTCCATCCACAGAAAGTCCTCAGTCAGGAGCTGGTATGGAGGTGGGAAGTGTTTACCCAGGGATCCAACCAGGATACCTGGCTCCAGTTCTTCCTGGACAGAAACCTGGAGGACGCCACATGTGATCTGCGTGATGTGGATTATAACCAGCAGATCCTGAGAGGGAGAAAATCACCTGTACAGTCATTTCTGGTACTTTCAATTCTGCATTCTACCTTCGGACATTCTCGAGGTATTTCTCTTTTTCCCAGTTAGAGATAACCTTTAAACTTCACGGCTCAGTGAGCTCTCTGAGAAACAAAACATCTGAACAACGATGGGATTGTGCCTTCAACCGATTGCTATCACAGAAAAATTACACAGAAACAACATTTTCATCAATTAAAGAGATGTTCAACTTAAAATGCTTGTGTAATTTTTTGAAGAGCGGGTCTTTTGACAATAGCCTTTTAAATTTCACACTCAGGAACAACACCCCGTGACCCTTTTACTGATTCAGAAATGCTGAGACGGTAAGGAGTTGCAACCTTGCAACCAGAACTGATAATCACTTTTGACTCACTCACCTGCAGAAGTCCAGCCCAGTTCATGTTATGAGGAGTTCCATGGCCCATTGCCCTTTGCACATGTTACCTGAGTTCCCCAGCAGCGAGTGGTGGCCGAGCACCGAGGCAGCGACCTAAGCCTGCACAGCTGAGGGCATAATTCACTGATGCCCCTCCTACAACACTCAGGTCCATCGTCACAGTGACACACGAGCTGGAGGAGCAGCAGGTTTACCTGCACAAGGCGGGAGTATTGGTTCTGGACTTACGGTAGAAAATGTGCTGGTTTTGAGCAAACATACTACGCCAGACAGGATTAACCTGATCATACCAAAGAGCATGTAAGTCACTAACTCACCTTTTGTGCTTAAAGAGCAAGTCACCCCCAAATCAACTTTTTTTTTTGCTGATAAACCACATAAACTAGTGTCTAATTGTGCTGCAGACACGTGTAGTTAATAATTTGGCACTTCAGTGCATCGTAGTTAAAATTTAAATATTCTGCCTAAAACTGGCAGTGTTGTGCCGTTGTCAGGTAAAAGCTCTGCACTGTATTTTAATTTAAATCTGCCACCGCTATTGGCTAAGAGGTGTGCTATGATGTGAACTGGTACATTATGATGTCACAATGCTGTCGTGAGCCAGTGTGTGTGTGTATTTGTTAGCGGCTCCGCCCTCTCAGTCTGCCAGGCAACAACATTTGTTGCATTTTTCAAACACGAAGTGGGAGTGGAGTTAGACTCTGGTAGGGGGTGACTTGCTCTTTAAAATACACTTTCTACCTCATGTCACCATTTCAGTGTTTTGACGATTTTCTCAGAGCATTTCTGTTTCGATCCTCCACTATTTAGGAAAAACTACACAACTGTGATGTCTAAGATTTTAAAAATGAGATCATTACCAAATGTCTGCAACATGTCATGCCTCTTTATTAGAACGCGTCCACATAAGCTGATTTGATCTTTAACAAAAGTGGAAAAAAAATAACTTCTTAAGAAGTGAGATGGAGTTTTCTGGATTATCCTTGTTTTAACGGATCACTGCGCTATCATGCAGCAAAATACGGTATTAACTGGGCATAATAACAACCAAAAATATGTATTCATCCTTTTGACTGATTATGTTTTCATGCTTTTTGTGCTGGGCGAAGCTAATGTTCTAGACATGTCATGGACTCTGTTGTCTCCTAGACGACGCGCTTAAAGGATTTAAGTTTCTCCACCATCAGCAAACACACCAAGCTCAGAAAAAGACAGAAAACAGCTCTCAGACTGACTCAGTGGGAAATGAGGGGCCTCTGTAGTCAGAGCAGAGTACTACATCAGGAAACTTTTTCTAAGCTAAAGTATCCAGTCAAGTAACTTGTGGAGCCCTAATCTGAATATAATCCATAATAATAACCTAATCACATAATCCTGCCTCTAGATGAACTGCTCAAAGACCCAAATAAACACGTTAACTCATTTAGTCTGATCTCTTAACCCTGTTTTGAAAGAATTTAAACTATTTCCTTTCCCGACTGCGTCTGGTTGCGTAAGAGCTTATTCATGTCTCGCCCGCCCACGCACTCTTTTCTTTTTCCAAATGACAGTGAACTCTGAGGTTTCTCTGCGACCTGATTGGTCGGTCACATCCTCTGACTGAGGGGCTGTGGAGGGTTAAAACTACAGTGCTGCCTGTCTCACTCAGACAGAGACACGCAGCAGCAGCAGCAGCAGCAGCCTGGCTTTTACCTCACCCAAACAGAATGTCCTCAGACATCATCACAGGTGAGTCCACCCTTTCATTAATGAGGATCACAGAGGCGATGAGCACGGGAATCTGTCCGTTAAATAAGACTTTTGAAGAAAAACTCAAGTTTAGGACTCATTTTTTTAAATCTGTATGTTACAACTCATAAATGAAATGAAAAAAGTGAAAAGTTCAGAACAAGTTTGTTTTCTTTCATTTGACACGTTTACTGCTTCTCTGTTGAACGCTTTACTGTCTTAAGTTTATGTTTGACACGTAAACTTTAATGTCTTAAACAATCGGGTAACTTATACACATTTGGAAATACCAGTAAAAGTATTCAATAAACTATTTCTGTCTTTTAGTTTGGCTCATCAAGTTTATTATATACATTTTGTAAAGTTCGATTAAATCTTATAAAATTACAATTAAAACCAAAACTTTTCTCCCTAATTTGCGACTTTCCAGCTGCTCTGCCTTTTTTAAGCCAGTTATGGTTTCTTATTTCCGCCAAAACACATCGAGCTGAACTACTTCTGATATTAATGAGTTTATAAACGAAAACCCAAAGTTTTAACGTTCACTCTATCTTTTTAAAATCACTCTAACTTGACTTTTTTCACTTCCACCCTCTTCCTAAATGAGTCAAGACGCCTCAGATTCTTTTCAGCTGAATTGATGGTCTCTTTCCATCTGCTGTCACATTTTCCGTAGACTTGGTGTTGGAGCTTGAAGAGGAGTTGCAGGAGTTCCAGGATGTGGTGGAGGAGCTGAAAGCTCCGTCTCTAAGCAAACAGCATGCTTACCAGCATGTGCTGCACGAGGCAAAGACTCGAACGGGTCAGGGGGAGGACAGTGGCGTGGATGACTCTGATTACGGTCAGTTAAATAAAAAACAGCAGTTAGAATCGTGTTTTCTCTGAATAAAATGAGTTTTGTGCATCACTTGTTCATAAGTGGTACTGGATCTTATGTGTTAGCCCTAACCAGTGTTTGATGCTCCCAATTTACATAAAATTAGTGGCACACATCTCTACACTCTTCTGTTTTGCTAATGACAACAGCCGTGTACTGGAATGAACTGCAATTACGACTCGCCCATCTTTCCTACTGGCGCTTTATTTTCCTCCTATTGTTGCTCGTTTGTCGACGGTTATGAGACAAAACGGGGGGCTGTTTTCCTCTGCTCCCCGGCGTCGTCATTATTGAAAGTGTGCTGGCCCTGAATGTTTGAAAAAAGGCGAGCTGCTTTCAAGTTTTCATGCCGACACATGGGAGTCACTCACAAACAGGCGTTCACCTTCATTTGTGGAGCACGTCATCATCATCATCATCTCGTGCAGCTCCCGCATTGTGCTAACGCTGTTGTCACTGTCACCGCTGGTTTGCATGGAATGCCCTGAGTGCTTATTATCTCACCTCCCTCCCCGACTCTCCCCCTCTCTTCCCTTCAGGCAGTGAAGCTTCCATGGGGAACAGTCTGAACACCAGTGAGGAGGAGCTCCACACTGCAGGCGTAACATCGGCGCAGAAAGGTACTGCAGCCTCCTATCAGCCCATCTCCATCCAGATACAGAGATCCCTATCACTTTTGCTCTGTGGTCGGCAGAACATTCAAAGCCCCTCCAAAAAGCTGGGAGCTCTTTAGTTTTGACATGACAGAACCTCTCCTGTGGTGGCTCTCCACAGCGCCCTTTCAACGTCTCCTGCAGGGGTTATGTTTGCTGCTATTCACCCCGGAGACCGTCTCTGTGTAAACGAGCGTGCTGTTCTGATGCATTTACATGCACAGACTGTCACATTTTAATGGATAGAATCAAGAGGCCCTACCAGAAGGTGCCATTCGCTCTGCATGGCATCATGCACGGCCTCCCAAACATTCACAACAGACGTTTCTAAAAAAAAAAAACAATGTCGTCAATTAGCTGCAACGCCGTGGCGGCATCAGGGAGCCTTAGGTTGTTTATAAGCGGTCAAACCGTGGCGGTAATGCGGTGCAATCGTGTACTTTTTGTAAAAGATTAGGCGATGGTGGTATAATGAGGTGTGGGGGCAGTGTCTGCACTGCCACGGGCTTCCATTTGTCTTGGACATAACTTGTTTTTACTGCGATCGAAGCCGCGATCGTTACTGTTTTTTAACAAGCCGCACCTAAAGGCGTCTGTCCCCCACAGTCCCCGTGCGGTCTCTGGTGATCTGAGTTTGCATTGCTCCAATTTGCCGTCTCAACTGATTTTGCTCAAAAAGCAAAACTTACAGCCAGGTTTACTTTATTTTTCCATATACTTGTTGGCCGGAGCTCGACAGTAACTGCCCACGTCATCATAACACCTCCCTCCGTAGCGCCAAGGCGTATTCGCCATTTATAAGACAGAGAATTCATGCAGTATTACTACCAAGTGAGGAGGAACCAATGCTGCAAAATTTGTACATCGCCATGCCGGAATGGACACGGTTTTTCCACACACACCTTTGAGGTGGACAGCATTAGCTCAGGGGGTTGAGCGGGTTGTCCAGTAATTGGAAGGTTGCAGGTTCGATCCCGGCTCCAACCAGAGAAATCTGCTGTTGTGTCCTTGGGCAAGACACTGAACCCGCCTTGCCCGCTGGTGGTGGTCGGAGGGACCGGTGGCGCCTGTGCTCAGCAGCCTCACCTCTGTCAGTGCAGCTGTGGCTACATTGTAGCTCATGACCCCCACCAGGGTGTGGATGTGTGTGTGAATGGGTGAATGACTGATTGTGTTGTGAAGCACCTTGGGGGGGGTTGTAGAACCATAAGAAGGTGCCATGCAAATACCATTAATATTACACCGATTTACCGGCACGGCGCGTCTTGTAAAAAGAGCTAGCGAGAGATCCTGGTGGGATCCATCAAGCCGTCAAATGTCTTTAGACACATGAAGAGCAGATTAGCCTCAAAAGAGAACGCTTTTGCCAGTCCAAAAGCAGTCTGATTCTCATGACTCGGTTTATGTTGGAGCCAAAACAAACATCACCTAATCCATGCTGTGTTTTTTCTCTCACTAAAATCTTCCTTTGCTTGTCTTATTTTTTCCTCTTTTTCTTCAATATTTCCTCAAATTTCTTTTCTTTCTGCTTCAGCCAAGCTGGGAGACACAGATGAACTCCAGAGCTTTATCGACATGTTGGACCAGGAACTTGCTGGTGCGTATTTCACTTCATCTTTCCACATTTTACACTCAAGCTGACGAGCCAGCAGGCTGCGGCGTGTTGTGATGGCGAAGAAGCTGACGGCCAGCGTGCTCTGCCACACACAAAAAAGAGCGTGCAGCAGTAGCCACCTTGTTCTTCTCTCTACTATCGCCTTCCTGCTTATCTCTGAGCACCTTTTATGTGTAAATGCCAGTGTCTAGGGGACGAAGGTGGACTATCTACACGCTCTTTTGTGTTAATGGTGTACTTGACTCCATGAGCATCATGATCCTCATATCTGCTCCAACAGAGTGGTGCTTTAGAGGCTCGTGAGGTGCTCCGTGTGTGCACACGAGCCATAAAGAAGAAAACATACATCTGCTGCTGTCAATGGTCTTGACACGGAGAAAATTAATGTTGCAAATTAATCGTAACTCCCCCTGTATCGTTACAAGAGCAACCTATTAGTCAGTGCATGTTTGTGGGCGTCTGTTGATGTATGCCTGTGTGCATTTCTTTTTATAAACTCTGGGTTTGTCTCTCACCAACACCCCCTCTGTTCTGCAGAGATGTGAGCAGAGATAGAGCCGGAAAGAACGAGGGCGAGGCATCGAGCTGAAAGAGAGATCTACACCCGAGCAGATCTGATGGAGCGTTTCTCGCTGCTTTAGAGGGGAAGAAAGAAGAAAGTTTGAAATTCTGAAATGCAAAATAGAAAAAAAAACCAACAACCCCAAAAACACCCAAATACAGAGTCCAGCTGACAACGTGACATCCCTGCAGCATCACATCCGAAATGTGTGACACGTTCCCCAAAACAGACAAAGCTTCAATCTGCTTTAGCTCATTAAGCCTCATTTCCATGTGAGGGTTCCTACAGTGTAAGATTTTATTCTAATAATCACAGAGGCTACAATTTGAGACATTCTCCTTTTCAAATGCAGGTGATCCCTCGTTTATCGCGGTAGATGCGTTCCAGACCTGGCCGCGATAGGTGAAAATCCGCGAAGTAGGGACACCATATTTACAGTACAGTACTAAATTGAATTATCGTATGATCACATTCTCTTTTAGTGGGTAAAACTCAAGAAATTTTTTTTACTTGGTTTTTTTTATAGTTTTATTACAAAAAGTGCATTTTATGATGAAATTGATGAACAAAAACAGGAATTTTTTGATATTTCGCATAGAAAAATGCAGCGAATTGGTGAAAAATACCGCGAATCTGCGAATTTCCCTTGAATAAGGCTCCAAAGAAAAAATCTGTGAAGTCGCGATAAACGAACCGCGAAGTAGCGAGGGATCACTGTATGTCTAACTTACCCTAAATATCCCTCAATATTAGGTCTGCACAAATTCATTACAACAGGAGGGGTATCTCCCACTTCGCCTCGTTACATCAATAGATCCGTTTTGACAATGAGAGGGTCTCAGATTCACTATTTTACCTTTAAAACAGTCAAACTCAAGCTGGTGTCTCAGGAGGTTAGGTTTTATATAAAAAAGGAAGAGGCTCTCGGTTCTTGACTTGTTAAAAACAAGCTTTAAAACTATTTGTAAATGTGAGGGCTTTAAATCTGCTGTGTCATAATAAATGTTCTTTATATGACCACATTGTACATTTAATGTTAATATGATTTTTATATATTTTGTACATATGAAAAAGGCATAAATAAAGTTACATGTGAAGTACGTTTAGCTGTTTCTGTCTGATGTTTCGTGACACGTTCTGCCAGCCTTCTTTTTGAAGCATCAGCACCGTAAACAGGCACCTGAATTCACTGCTTCGAGTATCGTGGTACACATTTCTGCAGCTCCTCTGGTGTTTTCTTTTTCAGTTACTGCATCACTCTTCTGATTATGCTTTGGGTTTTGCTGCTGCCATCACCTCAGAAAACCACACGTGTAGCTCAAACGTGGTTCTGACAGCATGAGAGGGAGCAGAAAGGGGGAATGTGTGATCGGAACCGTGAGAAACGCGTTCGTTTTGACTGTGTAGCGAGGCTTTTAAAACGCACGCAGCATCTGCCTTGAAGAAGGAAGATCGCTCTGCTCCAAGTCACAGCTGAGAGACTGCTGTCAGGGTTGGGTTCATATTCTGCATCAGCATACTGTAGATGTAGCGACGGGGTGTTCAGGTGTTTCCTGCAGTTGTCAGAAGACACACATGGGGAGGTGGTGAAAGCTGTTGTTGTAAGATGTGGTCTGTCACTTTTGACCAGCACCCGTATCGTTTGAAGCATCAACAATGGGATAACGTTGTACTAGCCCGTTTCATCTGAGTTTAGAATAAACAATGCATGATGAACAGTCTACCAGCAGATTATTTCAGAATACACACATGTCAAAATCTTTAAGTGTGCAGCGAAACAATAATAAACAGATAAAAATGATAAAAATAACCCCCAATGAACTACAAGTAAAAATACTAAATAAAATTTGCTATAAATTATATTTTTTATCACAAGATTAAGGCAGTATTGGAGCCTTATTAAGTTAGTCGGAAGGTTGTAGGATCAACCCCGGCTCCCAGCAGAGGATGCTGCTGTTGTGTCTTTGGGCAAGACACTTAACCCACCTTGCCTGCTGGTGGAGGACGGAGGGACGGGTGGTGCCTGTGCCTGTCCACCTCCGCCAGTGGACCCCAGAGCATCTGTGGCTACATTGTAGTTCATCACCACATGACTGTGTCGCAAATAGCCTTGGGGGGGGGGGGGGGGGGGGGTCTAGGACTCTTGAAGGCACTCTATAAAATACAGACCATTTACCAACATCACAATAAAACCGGTAAAAGAAGTTAAAAAAGCTTTAAGAAACAGACAATAAAACAACACATTCATGGAATATTGGCCTCATGGAGCACTGTTCAATACTTGTGTGTGTGTGTGTGTGTGTGTGTGTGTGTGTGTGTGTGTGTGTGTGTAACCTGAGATTAGACAGTCCTCAGGTAGGAGTTCGTGGTGTAAAGAGGAATTGTCCCTGTCTCAGAGCACACTCGACACGTGGATCAGATGATGGGCTGAGGCCAAACATTCACATTTGAAAACTTTTTTCTACGGCCATCTTTCTTCTCTTTGCACATTTAGACGATTCCCTAAACACTCTCGTCTCTGCTGTGTCTCAGACACTGGCAGAGAATGCTGGTCTCACTCTCTTGGGCAATCAGTGAGTGGTTTAAGTAAAATAGAATTAATAAGCTGAAACTGTGATTCATCTGCGTAACTATAAATAGACATATTATGTTTTCCTATGATGAAGCCTGGAGGGAGCAACTAAATATGGAAAAGGGCCCAAGAGTAGAACCCTGGGGAACTCCACAAGAAAGAATAGATGAAAGGGAAACACAAGATTTTTTTCAGTAATTACACAGATTCTTGTTTCAGTGGAGCCAACGAGAAGTTTTGCCCACAGGAAATGTGGATGCCTGCAATGAGCAGTTTATTGAGTTGTCATTGTTCTCTCTTTAGAAATCCCCAGACAGCTGGCTGATACGACCTCCAGCAGTTGGTGATAATACAGCATAATGGATAGACTGCCTGAATGGACCTATTTTTGGACACAAAGTCAGAGCCCAAAAGACAAAAAAGCTGAACACTTGAGAGAAAGTCTCTTGTCTGTTTATGTTTTATTAAAGGGACATTTTGTTCCCATGGTTCAGCTGCGAAGCACGGCCTGCTGTTTAACCCCGCTGACCAGTACAAGAGCCGCTCCTGGTTCGGGGGGCGGAAGGCTGCAGCAGGGAGAGAAAATGAGCTTCACATTTGATGTTACTATAAAGGCAGGAGGAGGAATGGGAACAGAAAGATGCCGAAAGGGAAAATGAGAGTGTTGAAATGAAAAAGGGAAATGCACAGAGGTAGTGCGGAGTAGCCCGCTCCTTCTCTGTTGTCTGTTCCACTTCTAGTAAAAGAAGAGAGTGACTGATTGAGGCCGCAGCTGTTCCGTGTTGTAACAAAGTTTGGCTCTGAAATGATGGAAGTTCCCCCACAAAAGAAGTGCACATCCTGTTTTCAGACTCCCTTCGACAGGAGCAGGAAATGTGCTGGTGTAGCGCAGGTGAAACACAAAGCCGCTCATTCGGCTCGAGTGTTGTGTCTGATCTGAAGGCTGCCTCGCCGTCGCATGAACCCACTCTGCCATTTTCAACCAACAGCGCCAAGAAACGAGCAGCTAATTATGCAGCGTGATTTTCATTAGACACCTCTTTCATGAGATCAGATGTAATATATCAGATTGTCATTTGGGAACACCTCTCTGTTGTTTATCCGCTCATTACTATGAAACGGCGGTTTGATTGACAGAGCGCCAGCGTGAGAGGTCAGCATGTCAAGCCAGTGGTTGTTTAGATAGAGGCAGACTAAATGATGAACGTTCAGAGTCCATTAGCTGGTAAATTAAAACGAATTGATGTTATGATGAGACGGTGAATGGTCCTGAGAGACGAAGACATCCTAAATAATTGTACCCTTTTACAGCCCTCACCTATAGACTCACGCAGCCCGCTGATAAACGTCACACGAGCTCAAAACCTCCACACACAATGCTGGTTTGTTTAAAGCTCATTAGGAAGATAATGAAGACGTAATTGAGTATAGCAGAAAAAGGAGACACTTGTTATTATCAGACAATGAGTAAATGAAGCGGAGATATGGCCCTGTGCACCGAGGCTATCATGGAGGAGTCGAGGGCGGGATGCAGAGCACGTAGCCTTCTGTCATCGGCCTGATGAGAGAGTCAAGCTGCACCTCCCCTCTGTGAGTTACACACACACACACACACACACACACACACACACACACACACACACACACACACACACACACGCACACACACACACACACACACACACACACGCACGCACGCACGCACGCACGCACGCACACACACACACACACACACACACACACACACACACACACACACTGGCTGGGTGTTGCATAACCAAGGCCATTTGCTAAGTCTGGATCAAGGACTCAGACAAAAAAAGAGTAAAACAGGTGCTTCTGCATAATTGTCACTTTTTTCCTAAACAATATATAATGTGACCCCGTGCGCAAACGAGCAAGGCATAAATGAATCATTTGCAGGTGGTGACCTCATTACTAAAATGAACATAGAAGTAGAACAAGTCAAAGTCCTTTTAGAAACTGGTGACAGCTTTATTGAAATCTCCACTACCTGCTGCTGACCATGTGTTTTATTTTTACATTATAACTACAGTCAAATGAGACGATACACTCATTTTTTTAATGCCTGCTGCCTTCCATGCAGTGCATTTTTAAAACTCGTGACTTCCATGCGCAGGTGTTTCCTGCAGTTGTTAAGGAAACACACGAGGGTGCACAGAGCACTTTCCACACGCAGTGCCGTTTTTCACTCACGACTCAAATCCAGTGGCGTAATCTCGCTGACATGCACAAAATCATTTTTAACTTGTTGAAAAATAGTCACATCTAAGTTTAGAATGAGGAATAAAAACTGTCAGTCATCAATTTTAGCCATTTATTCTGGTGTCCATGGGTGATGGAATAACAAACAAGTCATTTGGCCGCCATATATGTCAGCTGTTTCCCACACAGTGTGAGAAACTTTGCATTTACTGAAATGTTTATAAAAGTCATAAACATGGGAAACAGTAATTTTTTTCATATTTTTGATTCTCAGATTAACATTTCACAGTGAAAGCTCTAATAATAATAAATAAACAAATTGAATATCAGTAAAACTGTATGCTCATTTAGACAAAGTCCAGCTGTTTGTCCCCTCTACAATTGAAATGATGTTGCTGCGGTGACATCTGCCTGAGTTGTAGAGCTCCAAAAATTCCCGTTTTCCCAAATGCTCATAATCCAACGGGTGTGTGTAGAAACTGCTTGCGGTTTCAGATTTCTTGCGCATCATATCGTGCACGGCTATTAAAAATCAGAGCTCACAAGTTCCAGCTGAGTTATGACTTTCCCTGCATTTTTGGGATGAAAATTCCAAAGCTGTAAAAAGTGATGCGAACATTAAAGTTGCAACAGAAGTAGAAAAATTAAAATGGAGCTTTCATGCTGTTGTAAGATATTTTGTGAGTTTTGATCATAATACTTTTTAATTCTTTGCCCTCCCCAACATGGTGAGCATGCAACACTGCAGGTTTGCAAAAGCTTTGGTTTTGCTTGCTTATTGTCAGGAGTCTGGCAAAGCAACGCAGGCAGGCAAGCCATGTGTGTGAATATATCGTCAGGCAACAACCCATAGACACATCTCAGTCACGGGGCGACATACAATCGTCTACCAACCTGTCTCCACATACGATTGGACAACGCTAGGACCAATCAGAGCAATGAACAAGGTGACTGATGGGCCATTCCCATCTGTACCGGGTCGGCCCGCGCCGGGTAGCGTAGGTTGTTTACATATCTGGGTGGCCTGGTATTTTTCCGGGCCAACCAAGGCTCATTCTCAGCCCTCTTCTCGAGGGGGTCTGCTTCAGGCCAACCAGGGCCAACACACCCACTGCTGACAGCAAATTCACACCTTCCATTAGAGCAAGCCTCTGATTGGTGGGTAGAATCAGCCCACATGGGCTTAAGGCAAGGATGTGTGGAATCAACCGGGCCAGGCTGGGGCCGACTGGGGCTACCCGGCCCGGGCCGACCCGGTACAGATGAGAATGGCCCAATACTTACTATGTTACTATGGTCTGT